TTCGGTATTTTTTTAATTTATAAATCAATTTGCGATAGCAGATGTTCTAATTACACAGAAAAAATAGGTATCGCTAGTATTCGGAAGATATCGGATCGTTTAAACGTCATTATATCATATGCACGTATGCATCATTATTAGTGGTTTAAAGTATATTAAAAATCTACGATAGTATAATAGAGACGAATGCAGCCTTATCTGATCCTTGACCTATACATATTCATGGTCAAGTTATTGGAAAAATAATAAAAATATAATTATGCTGTATTAATTGCATTTACCTAGCTATAATAGAATTAGCATTAGATAGATAGTAGGGAGACAGATAAAATGCAATTTATTAATGATAATTATATATGTATAATTGGCAATTACGGTATACAAGATCGGTTAATTACTAATAGGAAGATATTCACTTAATATAACTTATTACAACTCCTTGCATCCTCGACTAGTTTATACTTCATTTTTGATTTAACGTATCAGTATTCTGAAAACAATGGCTTACTCCGTAATTTCATTGTAAAATAAAATTTGAGCTAATTATGACCAAGGCGATCAGTGACTATTATTCTCACTTTCATTGATAGGGATCTAGCTTAGGTATTATAGAAATTGTACTTTAATTCCTTTACCCAACTAATATTCACACTAGCAGTAATAGATGACGAAAATAACACTAACTGTAGGTTTACTAAAAGAATTCCACGATTCGTGAGTTATGTGAACGATCAGCATGGTTTTTACTATGTAGAAATAAGGAAAAATATTGATGTGGTAACGCCTCTACTTCTGTATCGTATACTGTATTCTACCCTTTGGTACTACTTCATAGCGAATGATAATATCCTTTCACGGATAGCTTTTGATATTCGAATAGCTATTACCTTTATGATGGTACGAACCTGTGATATGGTTGTATATTCATTTACTGACTCTAATTGCAATTTGAGTAATAGACACAGGGAGATTTTTGCTATGCCATATTAGAAGCGCTGGAACACAAAAATTACGGATGAAACAGCAGCGTACGGTAATCGTCTTCACAATAAATGGTATGGTGGAATGATGAATGTTTATTAATAATTAGATTTATTCCTGATAAATGACATCAATTCGCTACCATATGTTTATGATGAAACTTGGTTTAAATCGTATAAATTGGTAATATTATCTTTATGCAGGTTAATTGCGCCAAAAAAAGTCGCCATTTATATATATATATATGTTACGGCCAACATATATATTTACGCTTTACAACGTCAATTGTCACCCCCTTCTTTTCAACTTAGCACTGTAACTGCTGTACAGTACAGTACATACTTTCAGGGGCTGACAATTGGGTTTGTAAAGGGTGTTGTTGTGTATATAAATACGCATGAGCTATCACGTTTAATAACATTAGCTGAGAATTTTCATTTTATCTATTCGTTATACGTTAAAGCTGCCACTACAGTCGATTCTACGGAAGTAACAATGATTTCGTTACTAAGATCAAGGAGTTGCAATTTGGTAAAAATGCACATTTGCAAAAGATCAAGCTCACTTATAAACCAATATAAGTTACCATTTCTTCCAAAGGTATGCTATTCGGTGCAAGTTAAAAATGATTTAAAACAAAAATGCGTCAATTTAACTTGGGAGGATGGTGTAACGACACGATATCCTCATCTATATTTACGAGATCACTGTCGCTGTTCAGCATGCTACGATTCTATCTCAGAACAACGTTTCTTATTCAATTGTATCTATGACAATTACAAAGACAAGATTGCCAAAGAGGTTCGCATCTGTGATAAGGGTGAAAGGCTACAAATTGATTGGTATGAGGATGAAAAGCATCCTTATTCTGAATTTAAATTAGATTGGCTCAGGAAATATCGCTTCTCGACGGAAGAAGATGAAATGGTAGCTAGCAATATCTACCATCGTGATCGGCAAATATGGGGTAGCGAGATGCTAAATAAGATACCCCGATACGATTTCTATGCATTATTGCAAGATAAATTGGAATTATATCGATGGTTACGCTCTCTAATTAAGATTGGAATTACTATCCTTGACAATGTACCCGAAAAGCCAGGTCAAATGCATAAACTTGCCGATCGAGTTTCGTTTCTAAAATTAACCACATACGGGTAAGATTGATTTGTATTTTGCTTTCTACTTTGCCTATCTCCATGAGATAATGACAACTGGATGGACTTATATAGACTGCTAATATACTTGCCAACAATTTACCGTGCTATTACAAATCGAGACTTGTAATGAAGAATTAAAATGATAACTAATCACTCTGGGCTTACCGTTAGATTTGTTCTCCCAGATATCTGCCTACGCTACTACTATAAATACTGACGATTCTTCCATCGTCAGTAGGCCACAGTAAATCACTCGTGTGTCGTAAACAAAAATTGAATCCGCGCTTTAAAGAGTTAGACAATTTATAGAACAGTTACAAAATCGTTAATTTTATTATTAGCACAAAGATGATATTATAAAACTGTATATAACGTCATAGTGTAATGAAATGAAAAGTGTAGAGATCAAGCTACAAAACTTTAACAAACATTGATTCTACTTTCGTTGCACTCCGGTCGACTTAACGAAACTTTGATACTAAATAAAATTTGGGAAAATAATCGAACAACAATTTATTACAAAACAAGAATGGAGAGAAGTGTAAACCGAACAACCTTACAAATACTTAGCTTTAAGTATTAATAAAATAAGTGACAGACTTTAAAAACTGTAAACGACCAAACAACCTTTCAAAAACAAGAACGTTTTAATTTGCGACAATTCGACCCCGAAGGCCTTTTAAATTCAACAAGTTCTTCAAAAGAATCTTCTTCTACTCTCCCTCTCGAATTTTCTAATTACACTATCATTTATAGGCTTCATAGAGCCGTCAGAGGTATTTAAAACTAAATATTTACTAACCAATCGCTCTTAAGATCCGTTTTAGAAAACTACTTTGCACCATTTAAGAAAACAAAAATCATTCAAAGTTCAGACACAATTTACCCTATGATTCCCTTACAAAACACTGTAAAACCAACAAGTTAACTATAAAAAATGCATCAAACTTCACTTGTAACATAATTTCTATCATTCATACATTCTAAAAGTCTAAAAATCAACCTTTAAACATCAAGATTTAGTCATAAAAATAACGGTCTAACTACTTAACAATCAACACAACCTCTGCCAATTTCCATCTTATTTTCTACTTTCCTCACTAAACTTCGCTTTCTAATGTGACTTTCATGTCCCGTCATAAAATTCCAAAGTTTCAAATTGATATTAAAAGTTTAAATTTCAAAAATCAACTCTTACGATATTTTTCGTAAACAAACATCCAAAAATTAAAACAGGAAAATTATATCGGACATAAATCCGTCCGGTTTCGGAATCCGAATCCGAAAAATCCGGATTTTATAAAGATCACAGTAATCGCTTATCAAAAAAATTTATATGACTATTACGACTACTTTTCTGATATTAGTATCGCTGAATATCGACAGTTGATGTTTTAGCGCCAGGATGTACGTTAACTGTACGATTATAGACTACATTACAGTACTTTATTGTCATGACTTTATTGTCATGTTATAAGTCCCCTTTCCCTAGAGATAGGGTTTTGTTACTAAGTCAAATTCAGTTATGATTTGAATAGACAATCAAACGCCCTTTCTTTAGATCAGGCAATTGCTCCAGGGCTACTTCTATAGTAATCTATGTGATACCTTGTAAAGTAATGAAGAAGAAAAGATGGCGACATGATGATTTGGCAGGGTAAAATCTAAAAACACTATCACTTTCTAGGTATTTTCTATAGTAAAATAATACTAGTTACATACTAAAAGCTATAAAGGACTCTGCAGTACTTTTAGTCCTTTACTACAATAGATAGCGGTAATATCCGCAAATATTGAAAGGGCTTATCCAAGAAAGTCAGATAAGTAATCATCCAAGAAAGACACTTTGTGGATAATGTAGTATATTTAGGAATAATTCTGATGTTCTGGTAGGGTAGTATTAAGGAGATGAAATGATTTTTAGATGAGATATCCTGCTAGTAATACTGCTACAGATACGCTAGCGGTTAGGATCTTCTGGCAATAAGTTTTGAGTCCATTCTATCAATCCGGCTAATTTAAACCCAATATTTAAAAATCTGTTAATGTAGTAAAGTGAAGTTTGTAATTGCAGGCTAAGACTAAAGCAATCCATCACCTTTGAATAAAATTAATTAAGTTATAAATGACTCAGGCTACTAGTTTTATTTATTATTTATACGAGTATCAACGTAGATAATTAATTAATTTACCGTCCTAATTTAATTTATCAAGGCCCACATTTCAAGTTGAAAGTAGATCTGTTGCTAGTAATGTCGCATTTACCAACGCTGGTCTGGCAATGCATACCGATCTTGCATTTATAACCTATGTTCCTGGAGTAAGTTTTCGAAATCTAATAAATTAAATAACGAATTTTTTTCAATAAAATTTTTTGAATACAGAATGACAATAATTTTGCCATACGATAATTTTTATTTAAATAAACTAGGTACAAATGCTGCATTGCATCTCAAAGGCCGGTCAAGGCGGTGAAAGTCGATTTGTTGACGGCTTTCGAGCTGCTACTCAATTAAAGGAAAAATATCCTGAAGCATTCAATCTACTAGTTAAATATCCAATCCGATACTATGATGTCGGAAAGGATTATATTACTTTTAATCAGTTGACACAACATCCAATTATCAGGTATAGGATATCTAAGCGTATTTTTTAATAACCAAGAAGGCAATGGATAGATTCTTATTTTAAAATATCGATACTAAAGAGAATTTAGATCTTTGAAACTTATTTTGTATGTTGCATTAGATTACATGATAATGGAGAGCTAAAGCAAATCGTTTATGCTGACCATCCACGAAGTCCGTTAATGGGTGTTCCACAGAATAAAGTCATCGATCTTTACGATGCTATGAGTAAATTTTTAGAATGTGTTTATGATCCATCCAATATGATATATACCTTGTTGGAATCGGGCAGCATGATGGTTCTTGATAATTTTAGAGTGATGCATGGAAGAGCCTCTTATGAAGTCAAACCAGGAAGTTGTCGGCACTTGGAAGGTGGTTACCTTGACTGGGACGAGGTCACATCACGTATGCGTGTCCTTGAACGAGAACTCAACATTGATTACACTTCAGCAATAGTTTAAGCTAACAAGTAAAACAAATTCTAGTAAATGGCTACGATATCATTCTCAATTTCCTTTCCTTTTTAAAATTTCGATGATGCATGCGCATTATCATAGCAATATCTTCCTGATTGCTTTAGCGTATAATTTGAGATCAATGAAAGTACAAATCGTAAATCAACTTCATACCTTGCTGGAAGTTTGGTAAACCTTTTGTCGAATAATTTTGGCATTTTTTGTTGTATACTATGGGAAATGGTCAGCTCAACGTGTTGATCAACGTATATGTTATGTAATCTTACAAAATCTGAAAATAATGCAGTTAAAATTTCAGAATGAAATGCTTGACTTTATTTCTTTGTCGAGGTACACAATTTACGACGATTTGCTTATGAACGTATTATCATTCAGTGAACGAAATTTATGCAGCATTTCCGTCTGGAGTTACTTTTGCAATCACTATTAACGGTCCATTATAGTCATCATCATATCCTACAGTAATGCGTTACTTCTTCATCTAAGCGTCACAATCCTTGTATTAATTAGTCCGTAGCACAACATATCACTTATAAATAGCAACTGTTAGAGCATTAATGATGTTATGATGATCTATGTTACACATATCTATCGTTCCTAAGAATTGTTCGATTTAAATATAATATTATAATGGTCTTTCACCATTGGCTTTTAGTGGTTTGATTTTGAAAACATTTTAGAATGATACGGATATTAGTCTCAAGTTTTTAAGTTGGCAATCATTTTTTATCAATAATTAATTTATTTAACTTGAAGCATTTTACTATATTTGAAGGATAATCAAGTTATGTATTCTTTTGTCTCTGGTGGTTGATCTTAACTTATTTCTTTTTGATCTTGAAAAGCTTTTATGTGTTTCATGCGTGTCAAGTAGTAAATTACTTCATTAGCTTCAAGGTTGTATAATTTTGGCTATCGATTATACTAAAATTACCCTAATATGCGTAGGTTGATTGATAGTTTAAAATTCAATCATTAGCAGTTTAATGACGAGCATGCAAAGACGGTAGAAAAATTAACAGAGTTTACTGATATTCGATAGAGTAGAAGTTTACATATCATTTCTGTACACCTGAAATGCTACATGCGGTTATCAATCACAACCGGTAGTTCCTTCAGTGCTCGTTAAGCCTGGGTGCATCGAGTAGTCTATGTCGTCAACATAGTTACAATATTCCATTTTTATTTCTTTAATAATTTATCAATTTTATATCAATGTATAGTTAAACAACTGTAATTTACCCTAAAATTGAACTTTCCATTGAAAGACAATTACTTCTTATAGATGTAAAACTGTAGGAAACAACTAATGCAATCATAAGATACATAATTTACAAGATTAGTTATAAATGTATCTACGTAGCACGTAAGCTATCTCATAATGGCACTTGAGTGACTATATGGCTTCGTATTGTCTTGAGTGGCAAATGAATAAGGACAAGTTTCGTCTTTAGCACAATCTATAGTAATAGTAGAGTTCGTCGACTACCGTCCATACCTAAATATCATTACAGAAAGAATATAATGAGATTACATTAGTCAACTAGTCACAGAGTATGTCGATAGTGAGGTTCGCGCCTGACCAATGAATACAAGCAAGGTTATGACATGCAGACGAAACATTATCTTAACTAAGCTGATTGTTACTTTAAAGTAAGATTCTATCTTCTTAAACTTACTTTTGAAATTCCCAGTCACTATTATCTAAAGGGCACACCTGGCGAGTCTTGAGCCATCTTGATATACAGTGAAAGTGGAACGCGTGCTACAGAGTGAACGATTAAATCATTATTGGCTAGTTTGTACACTTTGTTTTTTTTTACGCTAACGGCAAAGCTGTACTATCTGTCGTAGAAGATGTGTATTGTAACAACACGATTACAAGAGTTCTTTCCTTAATACTTGGTATAGCAATTTTATTCGACAAAGAATTCGTGTCCCAGTAACAGTATAACAGGTTAGCTAATTTAACTTACGTTACAAACGCCCCAAGCTACAGTACATTCGTCGCTAGTTGCTGACGCTTGGTTAGCTTGACATTCTATACCTATATCATATGATAGGAAATTATGTATGCGGTTAAGCGTAGCTCGTTACTTTAGGACTACAGTAGTATAAGTTTAGAAATCAATCTGATGATAAAAACATTCAGTATCTATCAGTATAAATTTCATATAAGTTATAGAAATATTGAACTGTAATTACTAATAGTATTTAATAAGGCAATACTAAAACTAAGAGTATACAATCGATATTGGTGAAAATGAATCATTGATTTATAATTCTCAACTATGGATGATCTACTTACATAAATCCATAATATGATTACGGCAAATAGCGCAGTTGTCTACAACGATATCTATTTTAGAGAGGGGAAAATCAATATCAGTCATATTGAAATTGAACAGCCTCGTCATATCGATGAATATTATTCTATGCATAATTCAAAGCTTGGTGGTACTGTATGACCCGATAACTTACCCCAAGACCATAAAGCAACTGCGTTCCACTTTGGTATATAATATAGTAAAAGATAAGGAATAGAAAATGGAACGATCCATGATTAATGGCGCCAACATGAATTACTTTGGAAGTTTGTAACTGATAAAATACTACTGCATTAGTCGTAAATAGTCATGATGATAAGTTAGCCGGACGATGTCTATTCAAGGATAGGCACTATTGATTGTATCATTAAAAGTATGAGTAAACTATGTTTGTATTCTATCGTTCTCCAGTACAATATAGAGGAACCAATGCCATCGAACACAATACTATGGGTATATTAGAATAATCATGGCTTTTATTGCAATTTGTTGGTCTATCGTATATCCCTATAGCATAACATGATTGATTCTCTTCAAATAGTACAGAATAGAATAAGAGTTTAGCACTAGCCTCATTCAAACAACTACAGTACTAGTTTCTAGTCGGTGTTTGCATTTTTGCAAACCTTTTTCACTTCGAAACGTTTCTTCTCCGATTTTATCGATACAACATCGTTGGAAGCCATTATCTAAAATCCATTTCAAATGATTGAATTACAAATTGGCTCTATACCTTATCGCATCATCATCGCTAACTTACGACACTAGTAGAAGACATGGATTTTAAATTTTAAATTGTACAACCTATTGCGGTTGGATAGTGAGGAACTTGTTCTTTGCGAGCAAACCCGTCCAATTTCAAAGCTCACCAAGATTTCCAATGTAGAAATTCTTCAAGCTGCTGCCAGGCATCAAAATGAAGTTATCACGTTTACAGGCTAGTTTTAGTACCGAATCAGTAATGCGTTACTTACTGTACTCTGATTTCCCAGCTACTGTTTCACACCGTACAGTACAGCATATTCAATTCCCTTTTCAAGGCTCTACAGTCTACAGTCCTTTGCATCCAGCACCGTCCAGTACAATACTGTACCGTGGCCCAAACGGGATAGCTTTACAGCGCAGAATCAGTACAGTACAGTACAGTATACACTGTACAGTACTGTACACTGTACACTGTACAGTACAGTTCGTCGACGTCCGATCTGACAACGAACGTACATACCGAACGTCCAAAATCGAACGTCCGTTGGACGTCCAATCGCTCGACGTCTACAGCACTAGATACATCAGGTGACGGTGATGAGAAAATGCCAAATTAAGGACCCTGGTACGAGCTCATGGATAAGTGTCACTTGTCTACGGTATATAAGATGAGTTATGTATGTCCTAGAACAGTTCTGTTACTAGCCTCTCTGTGTGTGATTCTTGTGAATAAGCCGAATAAAAATTTTGATACTTTTCAAAGTGTAAAGACGAATCACTGAGTTTCCATTCATTAAGGAAAACAGTACTTTGCTGTACTGTACTGTGCTGTTGTACAATGTACAGTACAGTACTGTACATAGTCTAGTACAGTACAGTACATACTGTACTGTACTGTACGGTCCTACCATTTTTACTACAGTACTACACTGTACTGTACACTGTACAATATGTAACATAATGAATTATCATATCAAACGTACTGTATAGCTCTGAACCTAGTCACACATACATTCACTAACAGTGTACGAAGAATTAGAAGGAAAGTGTACAGTAGATGAATAAATAAATGCCTCTGTATATGCTGAGTACGCTCAGTCTGCTGTATACTTCAACCTCAACTTTCCTCTGAGTCTTCTTTTGCTTTTTCTATCTCTAAGCTATCTTCACATGATTGGCAAATTACCGCTTTTTGTGTCACACACTGCTCATGTACAGTACACTGTACACTGTACAGTGTACAGTACAGTAAAGCCAGCTTCAGATACTAGTACTGTACTGTACATATTAATATACAGTACTGTACTGTACAGTATCTCATCCTCTACTTACAGTACAGTACAGGACAGGACAGTACTGTACAGTATAGGAAGCATCCTATGCCAGTTTACCATCCGGTAACATTATACAGAACAACTAACTACAGCTGTAACTACAGACAATGCTGTACACAGTGTAGCCTACAGTACTCACTACTCCGTCTTAGGAAAAGTACTGTGCACTGTACACTGTACCGTGGACACTCGGCTACTCCACTGCTTTTTTCATAGTTCTCATAGTAAATATTGAATTGAGTGTATCCCTGCCACAAGCTGGTCTCTAACTCTATACAAAACATGTTATATATATTTAATTTTAGTTGAGTCATACTCGCCATGTTGTTACTTAGCACTTTTGAACTGTTTGCACTCGCAGATACGCCTGTGCCTTGTGGTACTACTGTACTCTAATCGAATGAGTTAGTAGAGTACGCACCAAAGTCCCTAACTGGCTGTAACTTCTTGAAATCTTGGCAATCACACCGGCCTTCATTTGTTAAATCTCTTCCATACAGAGCTAGAACAAGAACACAATATACAGTAACACTGTGCCCATTAGAGAATTTCATTTTTGAAGCAATAATAAATACAAGTGAATTGAGTTGATATCATACCAAGCACAAAACATTCAGCAATCATGTCAGGCAGCCCCGCAATGAAATTAGTCCAAAGCCTAGTAGAAAGGAGAGGAATACTTATGTTTTCTAAAACCTATTGCGGTTTTTGTACAAAGGTCAAGAGGATCTTTCAAAACATTGGCGTGCATGATGCGGAAATTCTAGAATTAGACGAGCGAGATGATGGAGACGAAATTCAAGTAGGAGCTTGAGCCAATTAAACAACTTGAATAGACTGTATATCAATATTCTGTTAGGGTTAGGCTTAGGGTAGTGTAGGTGTACTAGGTATACTGTACGCATGTTACGATGTATTGTATCAGCAATTAGCAAATCATACTATCCTTCATGTTAATCCAGAATTATTTTGCAACATAAAAGTCCATGATCATGACTGACAGCTACGATACTCTATTCACTGCTTAGATAAACTTGCTCATTATAGTGGTTGTGGTCGTAAAGTAGTTTCATAACGATTGATACCACCGCTATTACTACAAAACTGTACTAAGTTCAAATTACCGCTTGCATACAATTAAACTCCAATTCAATTGTGTAATAATTAAAGTGCGTTGCCAAAAATATGTTCAACGTAAAATACCGTCGATAGACCAGTGCATTCGCGTACACACTCCAGATGCTCTTGTTTAAAATGGTCTTGATTGGATATTTTTTCTAGAGCGCTCTATTGCAATTAACAAAACAGCGGACGGTGCCTAATATCTTCATTGGTGGAAAACACATCGGTGGTTGTTCCGATATTGAGAAGATGCATGCAAATGGCAAGTTGATTTCGTTAATTCAAGCTGCTAGAAGTTAAGTGGATGAAAAGATCTCGAAAGGACTACGGCATTTTTCTTGAGTTATTGCAACTGTCATTCATTGGTGTATTCCAGATTATACATGATAATAGTGCAATGAAACTCGGTTCAATGACACGGAGCTTTTTATTAGTTGTTTTATGCATTACCCATGCTACACCTGTTCGAGGTCTGGACTAATAAGTATTATTTCTTAGTAGAAGACTGTGACGTGTTCTTAAGTTGTAAATTGTAGTGCTTTAATTTAAGGAATTTTGCAAATACTAATCAATACACATACGCGTGCCTTCATCCAGCGAACTAACGATCTGAAATAATGATCTTGTGTAATACCTATGAACATCTCATTAGTAAACATGGCAACTAAGAAATTTTCGGATTGCCACCTAGCGATACCATTTTAAATTGATCTATCGTCGCTATTTTATTGTTACTTAGCCTAAGCAATACATGATGGCAGGCATGTCAGCGTGATAATCTATTGCGGTCTTTTGCTATTTAATGGCTACTGTTGACAATAAATATAATACATTCTTATATTTTGGTGTGATGTACCCTGTAAATGACTGATGCATTATTGATCTTGCAGCAATTTACGACCTTAAAGATGCAAGCTATCTCTAAATAGAATGATGCTGAAGTAGGCATGTAAATTTTATAGCGTACGAATGTTTTGTACGCTTTTGGAATGCAACCAGTATATCAGTTTAATAAAGTGTAAGAAGTTAGGACAAGGTACCATCTCATTCTTAGAGTTTAACTAAACTCGTAGTAACTGTAGTTATTGAATAGCAGTTGGAACCTATAGTCATTTACAAATTGCTGACGATTTTCGAGTCATGCAACTAAGCAAAATAGTAAATGTAAATTCAGAGATGTAGTTAGCCTACAGCTTAATACCATATTCCTTTAACATATACTGTAAAAGTAGGTCATCTTGCTCTGCTTCAGTGAGATCTCCATGGTAACCCTAAAGTAAAAGAGCACGTCAATAATTATAATAATTGAGACGTAAGGCAATTTTTGAAAAATCTGTGCTGCTTTCTAACATATAAATATACAATAATGATCTACTACGCATTACGAATTTACGTACTAGCTTTCTGATTCTGTCTTGATATATATGATACAATATAATTGCTGCAGCAACGGAAACATTATAACTCTCTACGAAACCAACCATACTGATGCGAAAGACGTTGTCGACTAAATTCATTGCTTCTTTAGAGATACCTTCCTGCTCTGAGCCAAGTACAACGGCTGTTTTATTAGAAAAGTCGAAAGAATCCAAAGTTTTCGTTTTATTTTCAGAGCTTGTTGCAAGAATTTTGTAGCCACATGACTTCAGTTGAGAGATACATTCTTCAGTTGATTTCCAAGACTCAATATCAATCCATTTCATTGCTCCTGCATCAGTCCTTCCGCATGTCTTCAATCGGTATAAAGGGCTGGGTATTCTATGTGCAGTTTGAAAACCTAAAGCATCCATTGTTCTGTATATAGCTTGTTCGTTACCTTCATTTGTAATCCCTTCCAAGACAACAGCAATACTTCTTGTTCTATTTTTTACAGCATTTGTCATTTTATCAAGTCTTTCTTTCGTGAAAGCACAAGTAAGTTTCTGTAATAACTCTTTATTGTAAGATGCATTATTAGCCAGTGTGCCAAATTCCTTAATTGGAGATTTAGAAGTTACAACAGTCAGCATATCTTTGGCCTTCGTATATCGCCTCCATAGGCTAAAATAACTCATATTTTCGTTGGGACTGCAAGGTATCCTTGACTTTCTGATTATCAAATTTAAATGCAAGTGATAAATGTATGTATACAAGCTTCGTATTGAAGCATCGTACAAAGTTTATCACCAATTTTTCTTAAAAGCCAGGTATGTAAGTCCAATCAACAAGTGCTATATGCGAGATTTACAATTCAGTTATTAGTACCTAAAGAGTATTAATACATCGAAAGAAAGCATTAAGCTTTACACAATTCCTCGTTCCATTTTGCATTGTTTATTAAAGAATAGGCTAAATAAAAATTTTTTTTATCTTAATGTAACATAAGAATTGCAATTCCACCAATTATAGTGTAAAACTATACTATAAAGTGTGTAATACGATATTAATATTACGGTGATTTCGAAGCCTTTTTGGGTCTAAAATAAGCCGTCGACGAGCTAGTATAAGTGATACGAATGATCTTGAAGGATCATGAGAACGTAATGAATTCACCATTATACTGTACATGTAGTATGATTACATCAATGCTATTTGGAAGGCACTGATTCAAGCAAACTCATGAAGATGCAAAGCGGGACGAAGTTAGCAAATTGCAGCTCAGAATATGCAAAAGTGACATACTGTACACTACTCGTAAAACGAAGAATAGTCAAGTAAAATATTTATGCTATCATCAATCATGGAGTACCGACTAAAGAAAGAAATTTTCATATTTATTACTTGTTGTGGAGTGGTTTGAATGCTCCGTTGCTGTTTTTCACTTTAAAGAGCACACTGCGTTGCAGCTGGAGAGTAGTAAATACAGAGAAGAAATTGCAGCGGTCATTCCATTCGTTCATTCCAATTTAATGAATGCTGGTGCATTCTGCGTTTGTGCCTCGCTAGTATGCGTAACCGTAAGGGTACTGTACTACTGTATGGGTACTATACCATGGACTACTCGACATACCCTTGCATCAGGAGCAACTAACAGTCCATGATTATACTAGTGTAAACAACTAAAAATGATGCAGTTCTGTTGATAGATGATTTGATCGTAATAAATTGACAATTTTCGACATTGTGTTACTAACTTAATTCTACAATAATCAAAGCTTAAATTATTTATAAATAATACGCGTGCATGCAGTATCAAGTCACATGAATAGAGTCCAAAGTTACACTGATAATTAATTTAAATTATAACGAGTGTACCCTTACGTAATACCGTACGCTGACCTTTAACGTGTAACGCTTACTATTCTACGTATGTTCGCATTTTGATTAATAACATGCAGTAGTCTTACCTTACATTCAGAGTTGTTAGAAGTTAAATACTTCGTTGTAAACAATATTTGATTGTTTTCTCTTGTATACTGTAATTCTACGGGGGCCTGCACGAACTCGTGATAAAGCTATATACAGCTGACCATGCGAAAATATTGGAGTTTTGAAGTGTAAACCAATTTTTGTCAAGGTTTGACATTGTGATTTGTTGATCGTTATGGCAAAAGCCAGTCCGATCGGGAGCTGTAGCCTACTCATTCGAAATATATGCGGGCAGTGTTTATAATTGGGGGCAATGTACCTAGTTTATAGCATATTTAATTCGAGTAAAGTTTTTGATCATTTTATTTGCAATTATTATAAATATTTTTCATGTATTTACATCACACTGACTTTATTTTATTTTTTTTTGTCGTGTGAGTTAGCAATCCGAAGGATTTTCCGGATGATTTAATTTTAATCACTATATTTTCATTACATCTGCGTATTTAGTTTGTGCTCATATCATATTGTAATTAATTACTTTTTGTTTTTCCTATATATTGTACTGCAAAAATTTACAGTACGCAATTACTGGTCCGCTCCGAAATTCAAAATACATCAATTACTGCAATGATCTAATTCAAAATACCGTAAATTATGCCATTAAAATCCGTATGACCGCATGTATTTGAAACGTCTCTACGAATTTAGGTCAATTTCTTGTAATTAACAGTACAATGCTGATTCGATTTTGCAATGCATTCTTTGCAAAATTTCGCACATGAATATAATTACACGTGTGAAAGTCAAACATTGGAAATGATTAAGTTAACATGAGTGAAGACTACGGGAAACTTTGCTGGCACATCTTCGTGTTGACTAAAATAGAATTGTACCACAAATATCTATCTGCAATTTTACTTTCAACATGAAATATCTATTAGATGGCATGAATAATACTATTACTTCATCCATAGTAATTGATTTAATGACCTTTAATCAGCGGGACACATGCAAAATCGTTTCACGTGCAAGCCTACTAAAACTAACCTGTTATTATTATCTATCTTTTGTGTATCAATAGGCTACCATTCTGAAATACTTTCACATCAGTTTGTACTGTAGCAATAGAATCTACATTCATGCAATACGTACATAAACGTGCATGAATGTGTAATGTATATATAGGCATTTGTTTATCCGCTACAAACCTAGTCATGATGTAGTAAATGTTTAAATGTTATATTTTAATTCAATTTTTATTACACCTCTAGCCTTTTTAGGAAGTTAAAAAAAAAAAAGCGTAACGCTAAACATAAACCGTTGCAAATTATGTTTCTGATTCACTTCCAAGCACTGCCCATGCAAACTAATCATTAACGAGATTTAAGCAGCTTGTTACCTAAATTATTGTAATATTGCGAAGTGTAAATAAGAGGTGTGATTCTATCATATTGTTAAATACGAACACATTGACGGAGTAAGAATTCTACGTGATACACCTCAAGGTTATTATTTGCAGTGCGCTGGATCGTAGCTAATAGATTTTTGCATTTGTTTTTGGAGTATAAAAAAAGTAAGAGGTTATAGACTTACGTAGTGGTCTACCAAAATCTGTAACCAATAATAATTCATTATAGATAATTATAATAGCTCATTATCACAAATTACTAAATACTCGTACAGAGTATATTGTAGTAAATATGATGCTACAGCGATGGTTGGGCATAAAGCAGTTAGTCGGATAATCTGATATAATACTCCACAAGATTGATACCTGGCTATCGAACTTTTAACATAGCTAGCTATTCATGTTAGTTCTGATGACGAGAATAAATGAGTTATTAGTTAGCAAAAACTGAATTTCCAATAGCTATAGGACCCAAACGATCTATTGCTGTGTTAATGCCAAATAATGGGCTGTTTTTCTGTCTGGGATCAGCTGATTTGCGATATGTTCTCATACTTTTTAGCGGTTCTCGAGCTACATCCCGGACGCCAGTGTTCGGGTCGACAGTTGTTAGCAGGCATCTTTCGCAGTTTTTTACTTTACGAAATGTGGTATCTTTAATATGATAGTATTTGTAATGGTCTTCTACATGCGGCTCTTCAGCTATGAAAAGGTGGAGAATAACACTGTTAAACCGAGCTACGCATCGTTTATGACTTATTGCTATCGTAAAAGTGAATAGACAATACTGTTGACAACTGCTGAAAATAGAGTTAAAGGTAGAGAACAAGATGGATGATACGACATATTGCAATCTTAACGTAACTCATTACTGCACTGTAGCCAGCATCATAAACACTTACTTTCTACAATAATATTTGGTCTAAAACTTTGCATGGAGATTTGGCGGGATGATTTTGTATTTAAAACATCCAAAGAGGCAGTAAAAGTCAAATGATATGGAGTCAAATCGGCAAATGCACACTGATCATTGCTTTGACCGTCCACACCCCAAATAGAATCATCCTTGACGTAACGGTTAGGTGTGGTATCAGGCTTAAAGAGCAACTTGAGATTAGACTTGTTCAAATATTTGGAGAACCAATCTCCGATTTCTTTGCCACAGTCGAAAGCTGTAATATTTGTTCTCCATATTTTGATCTCTTTGCTGGTAGCTCCTTCAGCCACTTCCAAAGGTACCGCAACAGGAGGCATATCAGGTGCTGTCAATTTTAACTGTCCATCCTCAATTGAAGGTTGTACAAGTGCTAGCGTCGGTTCACTGCGTAGAGTTAGAAATAAATCGTTCTCATCGATAATAATCCAACGTCTGTCCCACTTAAAACCGTCAATGTTGCAATCGGCCGCGTCGAGTTTGATACCAGCACAAGACTTGATCGGATAGATGTATAACTGTTTGACGCGTCCAATTAATTTTTGAGAAGATTTGCGAATGGTTCTATATATCAAGTATGTGGCAATCAAAGCCGCTGCTGTGATTGTTACAGTGGTTATTATTGTTGATGAATCGCGATCGCCAGCCATGGTGTATTAATTTTTAGTTTATCTTCTGTAGTTCTGGAGCTAAGTTAGAAAGAAAGAAGGAAAAATGATGGCTAGGTGATGCTGAGGGGTGGACAAATTGTCTCCTTTAATTACAGATTAGAGATTCGCCGGTCTTGTTCAATACTCGTACAGTACAGTACAGTACGATACTGGTACAGTACGATACTGGTACAGTACTGATACTGGTACAGTACAGTACAATTCCGTACAAAGAGTACAGTACCTACTGTACTGTACACTGTAGCAAAATCTCCTAGTTTTTGATTACTTTCACGACTACTCTCAATTGCTTTCGTTCAAGATCAACGGTGGCGAAAGATGATTACATAACCACAAAACGCCATCAGTTAGCATACCTTATGGCTAGTTAATATATAAGATATTGAACCTTTTCTGTATCTCTTTCTATGACTTTTATACTATACTATACTGCACATTGTACAATCGTGCTATACTGTGTACAGTAATGCTGTAGTAGTCGATGACTAAACGCGTTTGCATGGGATTTGTTCATATAGTACTGCATCAACAGAGACTGACATGCTCAATTGCTTATCTACCGTAGTCTAACTTCTTCCGTTAAGTAGTCCTTAGATTCATACTGTAAAGGATTATATACTTATGATAATTATATAAGCACTTGTTGTGCCCCAGATCGAGATCCATATTATTGCAATACAATATTTCACATTACTACGTTGAATAGGTATAGATGCTACTAGTAGATGAATGTAATTTAGTGACAGCAAAACAGATTTTCATCTCTTCACAATAATTTGGAAGAGAATAAGCATCGTAACGTATTTTGATGACTTAGTACGTACTATACTGTATATTCGCGATTCAGTAAGCGTAAATGGATCAAAACGGGTTAAGAAATTTTAGTTGCATGATAGTACAGTGCAAGCATATTGGAAGTATTCTTTGTAGTTAAAATAGATAATCCTAGCTTTATTATTACTATTTAAATTTAATTTTTGTCGCGCTAAACATGATATACGAACGTCCAGCTAGTGAACAGTTCATACGATGATCACTATGACAATCATCTCAATGATTTTTCAAATTGGCTTAATTCTTGGAGTGTTCATTATGGTACTGCGACCAACAATAATACGTGATATTCAAGCTGGTGGTGCTTCAAACCAGCTCTATAAATGACTATTAGCTTAAGGGTACTTCACAATCCTGAATCTGGCATCTCTATATCTTGAATCAATGCTTGTAAACTTTAGTTAGAACACCAGAGGCGATTTATTTTTTATATTTCTATTCGAAAGCATACGGTAGATTGGCAGCCAATTATACCTTAGCAATATAAGTACGCCGTAGACTATGAGAAAAAATCGGTAATCATCTAGTAGTTTATGACAACGCACTTTGATGAATGTATAAATAAAATAACATAATCATAGACAAAGCAGCACTAGATTACACTATATACACTACTATGCAAAATGATTCATTCTGCATAGTAGTGTTATTTATTTACTTGTGATTCAAGCATAACGAAGTACAGTCTTGTACTTTGTAATGCACATAGTACAGTATCATAAGTATTATTTACAGCATAGAAATATATCGCAACAAAGTTGGGAACATTCGCACTCGCACTATAGTTATACTTTTGTACTTATATTACACAGTCTGGTATAATACAATAAGAAGAAATTTTCCAGTTTTACATAACAAGCTAGGCATCATTATGATAATTAATTGATGAATTACTGTATACGTGTATTATGAAGCGGATTACTTTTTTCGATGGCGTTCCGCAGCTTCGTACAATGCATGTTTATCTTTCAGCACTGTATTTTCAACCTCTTGCTGATGACTCCGAGAAGGTCGCCATTTACCTTTTGTTCTTGGCTTAGTTTCGTTGTTACCTGATCGATAAGCTTGGGGGTAATTTGGATTGTTATGATTGCGTTGACTGGATAACTCGGAGCGCTGATGATGCCGGTAATGATATCTGTCTTGTCGCGGATTTAACCAAGATTTGACGATGGGTTGAAATTGATGGCATCTTTTGTTTTCATTTTCTACATAGCCAGTATCGCTCTGCTTGTCGTATCGATCTTTGAATAACGTCTCGTAATCGGGACTTTCCATTGGACTAACTGTAAGCTCGCTTATTGAATGTTTAATTGATATGACTAATGATCGTCGAGTAGTATTTCAATGCAGCTATGATATTTGGCTGAATTCAAATTCAAATTGCAATTATGACTAGGAAGGAGAAAGCTGCAAGCCATCAACTCACAGACAGTGCCAAACTGTCAGTATACAGTACTGTAAAGTACGCTACACTACAGTACAGTACTGTACCGTACAGTACATTACTGTGCATTGTGGTTCATACTGTACAGTACAGTACTGTAAGGTGACGTGAGCTACAGTACATACTGTACTGTAAGTTCATCACAATACTATCCACTGTATTCTACAGTGGATAGTATCGTGGTAGGTGGGCTACAGTACTGTACACCCAGTATAGTACTATCCACTGTGTTGTACAGTGTGCGTACTGTACTGCTAGGTGACATGAGCTACAGTACGTCCAGTACAGTACTATCCACTGTACTGGACAGTACTGTGCAAAACCCAGCTGGCTGCTAATTTGGAGCACCATCGCGTACAGTAGAACGTTCGATTACCGATGACCAGTACAGTTGAAATGACCAGTAGAGAAAGTCAGCCTCAACATCGCTACTCAACTCTTTCCAGTGGTGTCCGGTAGTCACTGCCAGTACACTGTGTACTGTAAAAGTGTACAGTGTACAGTGTACAGTACAGGACGCCAAACTGTACACTGAGTACTGTAGGCTCAAATGCAAAGGCCGCGCCAACTCAAAAGCCCCTTGTTACGTGATAGTGGTGTATTAGTGAATCAAGGCTGATTGGAACAGTGGATAAAATTACGTGGCCATTAGTGGATGGAATATTGCAGCCATTTTCATTTATAGAATTGCATCAAGTACTGCTGTTATTTCATTCATCAAGATGAGTAAAAAAAGTACACCTTCACCTTTACTGGAAATGACAAACACAAATGGCAAACGATCGGCTACCAATCATGATCGCAGCAACAAGAAAAGGCGCACAGTGCGAATTAACTTAACGTTAGCTTCTGGTCATAGTCAGGAATACAGTGAATTTTCATATCCTACTTTGTTAGGCTATATTGAGGTATTGTATTTCAATATTTTATCTATCCTTGGATAGGAAATTAGGATAATCAATGAGTGTGGAATAATAAGATAGTTCAACTAGGGTAGGGTATGCCATAGACCTCTACGACGCCTATGGTACTGTAATTGCGCCTGTTTTGTACTTATTATTCTTGTCATTTCAAGCCAAAACGACAATACAGTACCAACAGTTTGCCAACATCAGGATAAAATAATGATAATAGAGGTGGATAGCACAGTCACTGAAATAAGGTATCCATCTCCTTCCTACTTATGACTCTTGTCTTTTGCTTATCATGTCTGCCCAATTTGCATAACTTGTCGGATGATGTGCCAAATAGGTAAAATATCAGTGTTCTGCTTTCTTTCTTCATTCATCCAATCACTACAAGGCCACTAGTAAAACACCACTTCGTTGTCATGGAGAATGATATCATAGGGCTACTGCCGTCACAAATTGCAATCTTACATGTTGTCGTTGTGAAACAACAACGAATCTCGATAATAGCGTCGATACTACAAAATCAAAAATGACGCCATTTAAAACAGATTTTGGGCAATATTTTCTTTCCATTGTTTATTATTTTAATTCATTCAATAAAGTTAACATGAATTCCTGAATATTGCAAAGACTTGCTATATACAGTACAGCTGAGCAGTATCAAATTTACTTTTAGGCTACACTAGGGTTCACCAAAAATACATTATATCGAATCCAATCTTTGTACATCTGTTTGTAAAAGTAACATCTGTGTATACTCTCATTGAATTTTAGGAAGCTGAAGCTGAAATGGAAGAAGTCAATTCCCCATCATCAAATGATGTACCTGCTTTTAAAAATCATTACGAAAAGATAGCAGAGCAAATTGAGAAGAAGCTGGTAGGAACGACTGCATAGTAATAATTGTGGTACCGTAATCGCTTGATTTCTACATTACTTGCTGTTCATTATCAATCATAGCAATGATACGCACCGCTAGGCAACACCGGATACCGACCACTTAAGGCAGTAATTATAGCTATGCAGCTTACTGTCGTCATCATTTGCCCTCCTAGAACATGTCAGGAACTACAACTTCGCTGTCGTTAATTTTAGCCAGTGATTTCTTTTCACATACATATCTCACCAAATGGTTTCACGGTCAACGTATTTATAATTGAGTAGCAGTAGTCACGGACTATTCAATAAAAAAAGTGAATAGTTCATGCAGTAGTCAACTAACTCTATCATGCTAATTACTGTAAATAGATATAAAGAGGAATAATGTCCAATGCTAATTTAGATTTCGTTATCGTTGTACCCAAAAGTTACAGATAGATTTTCAACCTTTTCGGATTTACTTTACTTTATTGTAAACTAGGGTAGCATGATGGAATAAACTATGCAATACCTACGCTATCCTAGATATAAGTGATGAAAAATACTTCACTCTTTCTCCCCGTTGTCTACTACGTGTCATTCAATGAGCTCTTTTCTACAGCTAATAGTGTATTATCGGTAGTCTATTCCGCATTGCAATTATATTTCTCTCTATCCTCTCCTGATAGTCAATATTCTATGCTCTATCATTTTCATTAGTACTCTTATAAATTAATAACCTAGAATAACACTACCCGTAGTGGATACATTTACATACACTTAATTTAAGCGTAGCTCGTAAATCTTTAGTGTTAAAAATACTGCCATTCCCATATTAATCCAGTAATTGATAACTGCAATCCTACAACATCAATTATTATACTCTTAATCATAATTATGGTACATTCCAATACAACACAAAGTCAATGAGTTTATAACTAAATAAGAGTGTAACTGCACTATTAATGCCCTTCACATTTCGTAAAGTTCATGATTAAAGTGAGCCATGATAGTACGTTAGACATCTGCTAAGACACTACCAAAATTGAAAAAAAAAGGTCTTTTACTGTGTTGATCACAGTTTACGATAAGTAAAAACGCCATTGAAGATGTATACTGTATATCCTTGTAGATTTTATAACGTCGTTCCAATGATAAATTATACCCATATTTCATACGCACAAACAATGATGTATATTGAAAATGGTGTTTAAATATCTTGTATCTACACTATCGGATTTCAATTTTGCAGACGTCGACACACGACAGGACGAAACATAGGACGAAGGCCAAGGTACCTAATAACATTAGTGACTTTTTCAGTAATCATGGAACTGTACATTACTAAGCAAAGTAGCTTTTATATCCATATAAATCTACGAATAATGATGAAGCTAGTGTTTTTTATGAACTGCCAATGACATAATAACCTCATGTAATGATGTAAATGTCAATTCTAATGCATTAGTAGATTAACTAAATTATGTTCTTATTTACTTTACTGAAACAACATCAAATTTGTAAAGAAAGCTTATGTATTATCATACTGAAGAATTCTGTTATAACATTCGCTTAAAAAGTAACTTACTTTCACAGATCTAAAGTCTCTTTTGATCAAACCAGATCAAATAGTCAGCATCTGTAAACTAAAATTTGAGTGCAATTTATTCGTATTTTTCATCTAAAATTTTTAGTATTTGTTTATGCTGTAGGATCACGTCGCATATCGAGCGCATGGTTACGATGCCAATGACACTTTTATTGACGATAACCAACATGTTAGTTAAAACGATAAGACTGTATATTTTTCTGTTCCTTAACTTTTCGCAGTAAGCAAATTGGTTGTATTCCCTCCAGTTGATATTTCCAGCCACAATGACTCTATAGTTGCTTGGTAGCTAGTATTGAGCCACATGCGTCTGAGATCATTCTCAGTATAAAAGTAATAGATTCATCGCTGTATGCTCATTAGTAAAAGTGATATGTAGCAATAATAAATTTTGATAGAACTGATGATTAACTATATTTACAGAATATATCGTTTATCTCAATACTTGTCATACGGGAATATCTGTACTGTTGTGAATTGAATTATAGACATGTTCTTATTCATTTATGTTATTAACTGAATAATTTCATTTTTAGTGTGACGAAAATATTCCTAATAACGTAACCTTTAAATATGGTGGATTTTACATCAATTCTAATGAAGTGGAATATCGGCGATTAAATGATAGGTAATTTAACATACTTTCATGTAACTTTTCTTCTGCATATTATTTAAATTATTTCAACTTTACACTTATAACGAATATTAATTATCTTATGCACTTATTATATTTATATACTGTTTGGTATTTACTGAGGTCAACACCATATCTAACTCTCTTAGTATAACAACACAAATTAATGAACTACTTTCTCATTATAGTGATGACGAATTCGTTAAAGTATCGAAAAAGAAGGTCAGCGTGATTTAGGTGTTACCATTACGTAAAATTTGCCTGGCGTTTGAAATATCTCTGTAATTACAGATTTCAAAGAAACTCCTTAAGAAAAAGAAAAAGGATAAGACCGCTAAAGAAAAAACAAAGTTTGTACTCTAAACTATACATATGTAATTAAAAATTGCAGTCACACCCTCATCACTGAAACTAATCGGAACTTTGTTACCTATCAAGATCGAAACCTAAATCAAAAGATTCGAAGTCTAATGCTGAGAAAGTTAAAAGACCACGTAAAGTTAGCGATAAACCTAAGGAAAAATTGAAAAAGAGCCCTACTAAAGTGAAAAAGGAACCCGTTGGTCCGTATGATTGCTTCTAGACATATCTCCGGTATAACATAAAATCTAATGCTAACATATTGTTAATAGATAAGATTAATCCACAAACAACCTTGCCGAAAGATTTACCGATGGAAATTATAGAGATGGTTAATCAAATAGTTGAGGTTCGTAATTTATTAGCCTTTTAGAATTTATTAATTTGCCGTACATTTCCATCCTATTATATCGATTGAAGATGAATAACTTGGGCACAAATTACTACAAAGTTATAATGTTATATGAAATAGTTGAGATTACATAAATGAATTTTACAGTGCATCATTATCGCATTAGATGCGAAGATGTTTGACGCTAATTTAATCTCTACATAGATTGGTGGTAGTTTGAAGGACAAAGAGAATTTTGAAGATAGTCGAGCTCAAGAAATTCTCAATAAGTATGCAAAATGCGAAACGATTGTATTCGGATACTTTTAGCATCATGATCTCGTAAATCAAATCAGTTGCTCATCGTCTTAATAATATTACCTTTACAATCGATAGATTAGCGTCAAAATTTCGTTACTCAAATGTTTGTAGGAAAATGCGCGAGGTAAATGATATTGGATCGTTAGATGAAGAAAGTTTTCGAGATTACGGCTTTATTATAATCTTTTATTTTCTTAGAATGTCTGTATTTATTTAAAACATCACCTTCCCGGTTGTAAGATGCCAGTTCGTTCAGTAATAATCAAAATGATGTTGAACGAAGTTGTAAGTTTTTAGTGTTTAAAGACTGAATTTTGGTGATCAGATGTATATGGGTTATTATTATTATTATTATAGACTGATTATTCCTAATTATGGGTTATTGTAGAAGGATGATCTAAATGCACGGATGAATGAATTAAAGGAAGGTAATCCTTGATTTTGAGAAATACGTTTGTTGTAGCATTGGATGTGAAACTTGGAGCTAGACTAAGGATTTCTCGATTAAATTACCATGCCAGTAAACAATAAATGTCTTCCAAGTAACTAAAATTTTTTCTCCCTTATTCCTTTAGAAATCGACAAATGCATGGAATCACAGCAAAAAAATTATGATAAGATGGTTTCTCAGTTAGAAAGGCGAGCAAAAATCTGAATTAATTATGGAAATATTATTTATTGACTTTACTTTCATGATAACTACATTTTTCGTATAATCACGAAACATTGGAAAGTAGTTGTCAACCGCCTACTAAAGCAGAAGTAAGTTTCGTATAAATTTGTGGAAGGGTATTTGCAATATTAGTTGACAAAATATGATATTCATTGTGGATAGCATAGTCACGGTGTGTCTAATTAAATATTATTCGTTTACAGACAGGGGATAATAAGGAAAATTCAGATGATAGTGATATGAACGACCACACTGAAAAAGAAGTAATGGATTAATGTACTGTGTATTTCCCAAATTGTTGTAATGTGAATTTTTATGTAATGGATATATGGACAATACCTAACAATTGCCACGGTCTTTTGATCTTTTGATGCTGAGTAATTTATAATAGCGATTTTTTAATTTATCGTTGGTCAGCTTATTGATAGTAATCAACTTGTGTTTGAAGTATTTCAGGATAATTCATCTGTATTTGCGATGCATTTTCTGCTATAACATAACGTTGCAGTAATAGCTATATAGTTACAGGACATAAAGTATTAAATTTTTTGATATAGAAGTCTAAGGAAGATCAAGAGAAGCAAGATAAAAAGCGCCTTCCGAGAAAATCTTTCCAATGGAACGAAACGTTACGGTACTAACCAAATTTTGTCTAGCTGTGCATGAGTGATTTTAATAATCCCAACCACGATATTTATACTTAATGCCACCTTACTTGGAAATATACGTCGTGATGTTTATAGCCAGCTGCTGGAAAAAATTGTAATACTGAAGGAAGAATTCACTAAATTGTCATCCAATCGAGTTAGTCTTTCTGATAATTGGTTAACGGAGTTAAAGGTAACAGCGGCGATTGTTTTTACAGAGCTGATGCTTTGAAAGTCTTTCACACTCGTATTCTAAAATCCCTTTACCATTTTAGCTCTTTTTCGACAAAGAAGTAAAAACACTGTGGCCTAAAGGATGGATGAATAAAAGGTAAAATATAATTGCAATAGTTGTAACGATTACATATGTTTTTCCAATAATTATAATAAATATTTTCTGTATTTCGCCGAAGGGATGTACTAAGGGAAGTTAAGCATCTTGTCCACTTGCCGAAATCTGAAAAGTAATCATATTTTTTGTTGAATTACTATCAACAAGCTATTTTATATTAATCTTCTCATTTCAGTAGTTTCAACATTTCTTTTTAAATTTTCTGTTACAGATCAAAAATTGGTCAAGGTATTCCTTAACGGTTTTACAAATCACCACTATGTTCACATGAGTGACATCTTATTGTATTGATATAATCCTTGGGAAAAGATAGTGTATAATAATTAAGATTAACTCAATTTGACCGGCATTAAAGAGTATTAAAATTTGTATTGTATAGGTCCCAAAAAGAAGGAATCTTCAAGTAAAGGCGGGAAATCAAAGGTATGGATAAAAATGATGGAAAATAATTTTTGAGATTGTATTAAGCAATGGACGTGATAGCTGGCATGTAATTATTGAAAACTGATAAAGTTGAACACCTGATACTGTCAGCTTTCTTGATTGTGACTTTCTTTTGTTTTCCTTAGCAAATTAGTAAACGATGGGATTCACATTCACAAGCGACCTCAAGCACTCCTATTAAGGAATCAAGTGAAGGTACTATCTCACAATATATTCTTTCAAGTTACTATTAGTATATCCATACTCCTTTTGCAGAAAATATGTCGGTAATCGGACATCTGTTGCATTAATATTTTAGGTGAGGCCGCCTCGCCAGCAAAAGTACCAATGTTTGGAAATACTCCGCTGATATAACGTACTCTAGATTAGATTAGGAATTATTAACTTACGATTATTATAAAATTCCTTGAACAAACATTCCCCTTTCTTTTGATTATTTGTATTATTTTTATTAACAATTATACTCAACTGAGATAATTTAGATTCCTCTGATTATCAATCAGTATTGGTAGGCGCCTGGTAGCAAGTGTACAATTGTTACCATTATTGGCATAACTTTTTACAGTATTAACTGTGAAATCAGCGGAATCACGTAAACTTATGTTATTGAAACCATCGTTCGGATGTATTATAATTAATTATGATACTCGTAAATAGACATATACAGGAAACTATTGAGAGTAGTCACATGCAGAAATAGTAGACCCCTTTAGATTTGAGATCATGTAAATTCTTTTATTTATATTAACAGTTAGTTTGATCTATACTGTATATAAATTTTTTACATCGTACATGTTACGCTACTTTGTAGCGTTACGGCACTAGGATATAATATGTGTGTCATGTATTTTTACGGAGAAACTAGAAATATCGGTAGTGTACTGATCTGCATGGCTGCAGTCCATTGTAAATTTCTCTATGCTTAGTTCTTGTGTGAAGACATTTGATTGTAATTCATAAAGCTGTAAGCCATAAATTCGTACTTATAGCGAAAAAAATTTTGAAAGTTAGGAATACTATATTCGAGTAACATGATAATATGCGGATTGTAAAGTTATTACAAATAAGCTTATTGGATGTAGTATCTGCAATATGTGAACTGCGATTCCAGATTACTTACATTGTTACTGCAAGCACAAAATAAAGCGTATGATTTTGGCGTATTCAGTAATAGACTTGCTGTTGTTAGGTAAGACCTAATAAAATCTATATGTTACAAGTGAATGTAAGTATAATTCGTACAGGAGGCCTCCTGATAAACGTATAAAATTATTGGTAAGTACGTTAGTATGAGCGTTTGTCACATGTTGGTTTATGATAGATTAAAACCCAACGGAAGTTCAATTCTAGTCACCCGGTAAGGGTAAATTGCTACTATTTCCCATTTATACGATAACAGTAATTTCTAATTATTATACTGTTATCAACTATACATACAACGTGCTGCGTTAATGATAGATTGCAATTCTCCTCATTAACTAGCAGGCAACAGAACGATTTCAAAATTATTTTCTATTCTTGTTACCTTAATTCTTTGTACATAAGCTTAGCAAATATCATAGGAGTATAGATTTTTCCCCCCTTTTATAGATCGTGCTTTAAAGTTTGTACGGTATAATAGTTCTTAGATATTATTCATGCAGAATCCGGCTGAGGTAGAGAGTCAAGTACGTTTTTGCGATTGTCATGATTTCAATTAATTAAAAGTGGGTAAGTGCCTTGATCGTGTGGCAACATTTTGCAGAAACCACTGCAAGATGTCGAATAGTCTGCTGACTACTAAAGTAATGGTGGATTATAGTCATTATAATGAAATGGTGCAATGGTACTATTATCTAACTCACTCTGCGGTATCATTGATAAAGTAGCGATTTAATTAAGGTGTGATATTCTGCCAAGATTACGAAGAGATAGCTTAAAGCAACGAATGTGCAACATATTTTAGCTGACAAATTATTTGCAGAATATGAGCTTCTTATTGTCTGGAATGTATAATGATTGACATTAATAAACTTCTAAATATAATCGTAGATACCTATTATATACTTTTCACGGTACGTACTATCGTAAAATATTAAATATTAAATGACTAAATTTAGCGAATTTAACATCTCTATATATGGGGATTAGAATTGATTATTTACCGTAGGAATAATTGAAGTTATAATGTGTGACAGTAAAATTACATGCAACACTGCAATGAAATTGTTATATATTAATTGATTACAGTACAAGCTCTTGTGGCTGCAATTCTGACTAAAGAGTAGAGGTACTAAATGGATTCTATGAATGGATGTACAGTACTTTACTGTAATTCGACTGTGTAAAATTAGTCAGTAGATGTCCATATCCATAAGTATTGTTGTACTGTAAGATGATTCATCAATGATAGCTGCTGTTGAAGGGTATATTAAGCCTAGCAGATAGTAGAATAAAATCAGTTCTCTAGTTGTGTAATGTAGAAGTGAAGGTGACTGAGCTCTTGTTAGTAGTCAAGGGATACTGAATCTCGAAGACTAGAAATTTAGAGATTTGTTTTCGAGTAAACCTTGTCACAAAGCTGGTTTAATGTAATACTTTTAAGAACTAGATGAGATAAATTTGATATTAGTTTTGAAGGATTTGGCCTATGGGTCTTGAATAATTAGCTGGCTAATTAGATAGGAAATAAATCGGACTAGTTGAAGGCTGAGATAGAGGAAATTAGCCTGCAGCACTAATCAAGATCTTAGAGAAAGGGTAGTTAGTTAAATCAACCGTAGAGCAAATCGATATAATCCCTCAGAAGATTGCCCAGATAATCATCTATTTGGGCGAGTAATGATTTTTTATAAATTGTATGGGTTGGATTATTATTTCGTCTTTATCATTATCGTTTCAACACCACGAATTGTCTTGCTTAATTCAACTTTTTATTTATAACTTATAGTTAGATCTGATCTAAGATAATATTGAAACCATGGCTAATTTTAGCCTGCAGTATACATGTCAAAGAATGATTTAATTGAAAAATACTCTGCGCGCATTAAGTGGTTGAGCTGGACGGAAGTTATTAACCATCAAAACGCCAGGATCGATAGCATCTCCAGTGTAAACTTGAGTTCTTAATTTGTTAAGCTGAGAAATCGAAGAGTTACAGTAGGTAAATAAAATATTTTATGATATAGTTAAACTAGGCTAGAAATACTTTGTATTTATAATCACATAGATGTAACAAATAATTATGAGTGGTGCTAATTCTAATTGAAATTCGATACATTGTACTTAAGAAAAGACAGCTAAAGTTTAAAAATAATCTTGATGACTAGTAGAGAACGCTGCCTTTTTCATTATAGTTAATTCAGCCTAATAATTTACATTAAAATTAAACATGGATAGAATTTCATACCTGAGCATCAGTTGCGTGGATATGATTATTAAGAACAACCCATGTAACAGATTCATCACAAGTTGGTGTAGTTAAAGAACCAGCGTAAGTGGCATAGTAATGATGATGGGGCATTAATTTAGAGACATCAAAATTTGCGATGTAATGGGTATCACCTAAAGATTTTGTGATAAATACATACTGAAAGGATTAGCATTAAAGTGGTGAAATAATGCCAAATGAAATATTGTCAAAGAATTTTAAGATTTTTTTCACTTAGAGCAGCAAAGATAATTACATAATAGTTAGGGATTACATAGAAAAATTTTAATCGACATACCAGCATATTTAACGTATTGGGCGTTGTTTGCAATCTTATCGAATTCGTTATGATGTTTAGCATGGAGCTAATTAGAGAAATGGTTTTAAATAATTAATTATGGAACAAGATAGGAGACATTTACAATGGTAAAATTAGCCTAACAACGGCTCAAATCGGGTTCTATTTTGCGGTAATGATTACTAATACTAAAGTATCGCACAATTGCCGTTATTATATGAATCATGGAAAATTAAGCAAAACCTATTGACCATTTCTTAATCTAAATTAGATCAACAAGATGCATACTGTGTGACAAAGCATTAATTTTATAGTGGTATAGCAATATTTTGCTTAACACATAGATGGTCAACTAACAATAACATACATCAACAAGACCACCAATAACAGCGAGGCCATTGGCATTATCAGCGGCATCAGCAACGCTAAGGTACATGTCACTATTATAAAAGACAAAATGGACCTAAAATTTTCAAAAAAGTAAGACTTCACTTAGATAAAAAATGGCATATTTCTGCTAGTTATTAATTTAAATAATTATATTGATTATCAACAGCCATTTTTGGAATGAGTTTAAATTTTTATATGATGGTAGTTGAGATTTTCAACCTCACCTCTGCAGCGAAAGCACGACCATTAAGACGATGTTCTGATCCTTTAGTAGCGTCCGAACCGAAATGCACGTGGAATTGTCCAAGTCTATAGTTGTAGCTGAATGGTCCACCAGTAACAGAGTAAGAAAAGGTAGGATCTAAGGTACATTGGACAGCATGGCCAGTATTGATTAAAGTACAGCCACCAGAAGGGGTACCAGTAAATACTAATGGAGACATGTTCGGGATGTGAATCATGTTAGCAGTTACAATATCGATAGGTGATTGTTTCTTGCCGCCGCATAATTTGAAATCGTTAGCCCATGAAAGAGGATCAACTAACATGATAAAAATCAAAATTAGGAACGAAGGCTGTGATGAAGTTAACTCAGTATAATATAATTGAGGTAAATAAATGTGACTGCAAATATCCTTAGATTATACTTTCTTCCAAATCTGATGACTACTAGACTTTATCTTTAACTACTGGTTCTAGTTCAGTAATGGATATCATATCGTGGTTGATATTATTAGATGAAAACAATGCTAAAAGGTAATAATAGAATGAAATTGGACTGCATATACTACTTTATAACCGCTATTGTTAAAACCAACTTGTCAATTCAGTAAATTAACTAGATATTGCGTATATTAATTATATGCGCATCAGAATATGAATCGCATAAGAAAATGATTCACAAATGCAAATGACCAATTTGAATTATTCTGTACTGTAGCTATGAACTATTCTACGTCTATGTTAGGTAATAGGATTACATAATGTCGATCATTCATTAATTAAAGACTGCTAGAAAAAAATAATGACTACCGATAATTGTAATTAGCCATTTCATAGATATATATGTACGCGTATAAGGAAAATTTTTGCATACTGGTCGTTTTATTTCTGTATTTTTATTTATTTTATACCGAGGAGTGAAGCAAAACGTATATGTTAGCAAAATAGAATTAAGATTAAATCAAGTTTTTACTTCCGTGGCCGCCGTATCCCCAAGTGCTAGCGCTTGCGTCTAAAATAATTATAAAAAAAGACTTTTACAAGAAAGAAATATCAAATTATAGGTCATTTTTACTTTATCTACAGCTGCAATTTCAAATTAGAACTACTTTGAAACATATTAAATTGAATGCATTTAATTTACCAGCAACAAGACAAATTAAAATAATTCCAGAAAAGATTTTAGCAATCATGATGGCAATTTTACAACTGAGAGAAGTGATGATAATAGTGTCACAAATTCACAGCAATCCAGAGCGTGTGGTAAGCGAAAAATTTCGTTTCTGCGAGTCTATTTATAGAGTTACACTGGCAATGGGGCGGAGATAGCTTAAGTAAACAAATAGGGTCGAAGTCACAAGGCAAAAGAAGTGCTAGCATTAATTAATTAATCAAGGATTGTTTCCACCTGAATTTCTGCTTGCATAGTTGAATTGATAATATAATTAGGCATGATTTGGAATTATTTCGTTCGTCATCAACATATTTCTATGTCATTATACACATTTATTATTTATATTGATTTATTATCGGGTAATCAAGGATATGCCATGGTTATTAATTGGCAGAAAGTGAATATATCTTAAGTGAATTAGTATTTTACTAGTAATAACATTAGATATGAAGGTGAAATGATAGTTGCGACATTATCTATTCCATAATACTCAATCACTACGTATAAACGAATTTGTTACAATGTATGCCCACTATGAAATGCATCGAGATCAACGTGAATAGATCAAATATCACCCTGTTTCTGCTATTTTTTGATAAGACAAAAAATATTATTAGCGAAAATAGTCCGGTAACTGTACTAATGAAAACAGATTGGATAGATAAGAATTAAGTGTGCCTTAGTTTGATAAGGGAGATAATAACCCTTAAAACTACGAGATTAAAAATATAGGAATCGAACGAGTATAACAGGCGAGATAGGTAATAAGATTTTAGTTGAATAAAAAGATTGATATGAAGAGTTTAGAAACTGAATATGAGAGATTGACAGCATCGGATATTTACAGTATATGATTAATAAAGAGTAACACATCGATTGGATAGATTTCGCTACTTTCAACATGTTGCAGAGAAACATCATAGTATTGATTATTACGGCAGATTGCATATTAGCCTATTCAATAATGTAACATCAATCCTTTTTTATCAGCTTGATAACTCCTGTATCTTTCGATGAGCATAGAGGACAGGTAGTACAGCTATCCAGTCATACTTTGTTCTCGAAAGTAAAGCTCTAACAGAATGGAAAAGGTGCTACAATATAATATAGGATTCACGAATTATTGTTATTCTTTAATTATTACTCTTAACAAGAATTTCATAATCCAAGCAGCCGTCGATTATGGTAAGCTTTAGTTTCATTAAATGAATCGATTTTGTTCTTTGTTAATCTTGCGATCGAATAAATTAACTAAGACACGTGGGTAAACATCATTAATTGGTGAAATCCGATAGTATTTGTGACATTTGATTAATTTTATACTCTATCATGTTCTGGACAGAATAGAAATTGTTTTCTATCTCACGCAATATTATTGTCACTGGCTATCACGTTGACCATTAAAAATTTTTCATATCCGAATAATTTTAAATTATCTTCTTAATTAGTCATTAATTAATTATTACTCAATACACGGCTTTAACTTAGCCGGTATTGAAAGTTATGGGGTATGACTCCGATCCGATCCGATCCGTCGATCGCTTGTTATTGCTATAATGACCAGTCTAGTTCCATTTTACTTATACTATTACAGTTGGTTAGCAAAGTTCGTTGCAATTAGATCATTTATGTTATTCATTGTAATCATTTTTATCATTATAAGGTATGAATAGGTAATAATTGTTTACGTAGATGCGGCTACAGCGACGTAATTTTATCGGCAATTTACATTATAATAAGAATTCATAAACGGACAACTTCAGTATGGATGTGATACTATTATACTATAATTAATTAAATCTTTAAAATGGAATTACTATAAATTCAAAAATATTAGAACGAAAGATGCAGAGAGATCGATAAATTAGCGTATTATAGGGATTGATGCAACTCACGCTTTTATTGGATTAAGTTGATTATTAATTTACAAAATTGTAATCATTAATGTAGTAATTTGATGCTCAGGAGCGAAAGTTATTTCGAAAGTTAACGATTATTAAAGCTTATCATGGACGAGCGATATTTAATATGGTTTTAATCATTACGTTATGGGTTTGCATATCAAGGCCAATTAGTAGTTAATATCATATTCATGTATGTATGTTGGTAGTCTACTCTTAGTCGCTTTGTAAATAAGTGAAATGTCAATTATGGCAACTTTCTCCTACAGTTAGGTTAGGTATCACTGTAAGCATAATCATGCGAAGCGAAGTATTTTATGCTGTAACTGCAATTTTTCGGTCATCAGAAAGTGAATTCAACTGAAGCAATCCTGTTGCCATATATTCAATCTAAAATGATCGAAAATACGCTTTCTGAATTAAACGGATTTAAAGCTAATTAGTTATATATATATATATATAAAGTGCGTTCATCAATTTATCTATCAATCAAACTATGTTAAAGAGTGTTATGTATGGATCACGAGATTACCACTGTAAGCTGTAGACAATGCTATATGGGAAGGATCATTGCTGTAGATTAGAAAACCTAGTTATTCAATTTTCCCACATCTGTCTTAGTATTGTTTTCTGAAAACTATTATTTTACGAAATACATTAGTTGATATCATTGCTTGAATGTTATTTCACTTAAAGTCAGAAGACTTTAAAAGAAAAAAATCTTAAAATTGATAAGAGACCTATAATAGTCGCGGATGTATGTAATCCGAAAGACAATCGTTTAAATTACTTTAATTTACAGTAGAACTACTTCACAGATTATCCGTACATTTAATGGGTTATATTATATTTTCCTTTATATGTAAGTTATCAATATATAACAGCGAGATGTAGCACTTAGTGTGATATACATTACTTCATGTCTACTATGCTTATAAACGCTACCTCCGATGAAGCCTTAATTGATTTAAAATTAAAAATTGTTATTGTCACCATAAAATAGTAACTGTGATCATTAATCTTACAAGTCGCAAACGCTCTTTTTTATTTCAACTTCATACAAGCTATGATATTGCAAAGCTAGAAATGAATCTTAAATCTAATTAAACGTGATAACATTTTACTACTGATGACCGATAAATAGTTGGACTATGGACGCGTCAGTGATGGTCATTGTAAATCTATAAAGGATAAAGTTGTTTTTTGTTAGTTATTCATTTCGAATTTTGAATTTAGTAATTACATAATTAGAAAGGACTTTGATATTATTATTGACGTATTTTTTAATTGGTTAATGTTTACTTAGTTATTATCTACTGTTTCTTAATCATTAATTATTTCTTTACGCTTACTAACGGGTGATAGACAGACGAATTTAACGGGAGGATTGACTATTTATTGCTATACTTATCGCCTGGGAAAGTAAAAATATGCTACGTGTTTTTTTCTGATCCACCTTGTATTACTTAATTAGATAACAATGTAAGTTAATTGTATGCTTATTTTAAATTAATCTGTTAATGAGATTAAAGGTAATAGAAATTGATCGTTTCGCAGTCTGGCTGAATGATTTAGTTTAATCATTATAGTCCAGATCGAATGAGGCCTTGTTTTAGTGAACCTCTGTTGCTGTATATCAGTTAAGTAGTGAGATTAGATTTTTTCTTATTCAAAACTTATTTCGATACCAATCCGGGGTTAAATTCCTAATACATCTCATCAATATTATGCTCTAGACCCTTAAAATAATGTAAAAGCTATTATTAAAGATAATTGAACAGTTATTGTCGTTACTGAAATCCTTTTGTACTCAACATGATCCACTTATAAAAATGTAATTATTTTCACGCAGTATTTCGTGTTTTAACTTTGTAGGAGATCATTTATTAATTACCATTTGGTGCTATCTTAGGTTGTAAATTCTCTGTTCTATTGTTATGAACATTATCTTTCGGTTAGCTATGTAATGAGATTAGTATATTATCATTTCTATTTACATTTGGCTTCTGTAAGTTAAGACGAGTAATAGGGTAGTAAGAGTATATTTGAAGATTGTTGATATTATACTTCCTTTAATTATTAATTTGATTACGAGCAGCAATTTTTCAGTTAAGATACTTATATTTCATCTTTGCTTCAGTATATATTAGCTTTAATTGTTATTGTATTTATAGGATTTAAACTGTTGTTACTAATTGATTTTGTATTTATCAAAGTAATTGCAATCAATTAATGCAGCATTGACATTTTAGACTCTAATTCTAGAATGAGGATCATCTAACTACTGAGCTCTAGTATACGTATGCTCATATTATTTTTATCATGCTTAGAAGCTATGATTAACTATAAATTGGTTCACATATGTTATCTAATAGGCAGTCATTATTAGATTAACTGATATTAAATTTAAAAGATGATATTTTGTAGTAGATACAATTGTAGTCCAGCTGATAAATGAAGTACAGACTTGTAGCAAGTTTATTCTTTTAATCCTGTATCATATGTGTCAGTGGTACAGATCAGTACAAAAAACTTTCACGTACAAGTTCCATTGAAATATTTCCATGCTACAGGAATTATTTTTCCGTCATTATTTCGAACCAAATTGAAGTTTGCAGATCATTTGCAAAATTTGTCATTATATTTGTGAAATTATCAGATCCTTCTGATTAGTTGTTATAAATTTATTACATTTGTAACGATTGTAAACGTATTACTATTCTAATTGATCTGAACATATATATAACTATTTTGCCAACCCAATGGTATTATCAATGCGATAATGAATAATATTTATTTTCAGGTAGCCTGAAGTTGTTAATGAAGTTTTTGATATGCATATTATATTGGATAAAATTAAAAGAAAGTCTAAGGTTCAAGATAAGAGTCCGTTCGCATTACATTATTTTTGACTTGTTTTGTTTGATTGGCATTCTCATTTATTGATAAATATTTTTCATCTGTCAAATAGGTCGCGACCTGTTTATAAGATGATTCAGCATAGTTCTAAAACCCATCGGTTAATTTGACAGTTTTAGTATTGTTAACATAATATTTGCACAGTCATGACTTCATAAGTCATTGGGTTCGAAGTTCTACATCAGATGCTGTCCTCGTGAATTCAATTTGTTGACTGTTGATTAAGTCAATGTGCCGGCAGTTAAATCAATAGCGTTCATGTATACGTTTTATCAGCATAATTATTGATTCATCTGCTCTAACATTCTTAGAATTAAATTCGACGCCCATCATCAGGCTAATAGGTTATTATTGTTATTAGATAATAGACAACAAGATGATTGTTATTACTCATACAGATAAAGAGATTAGCTTAGATAAGGCACAATTATTCCGATGACTTATACTCGTGCGTGTATCCATCTAAGTAATGGTATGCACAAAAATTAGACAGGAAACTCAATAGAATGCTATAATCGGTTTATATACGTAACATTATTCCTGGAAGTAAATTAACGCCTGGAATTTTGCCTTATTAGATTTAGTATTTTGTTGAAGTGGATGGATTAATGGTCAGATTAATAATTAATGAGATGAAAGTTTTATTTGCGTGGGAGGCAACGGACCAAGATAGATAGAATAACATTTGCACGCAGCCTCCTCATGCGGATTCTTTTCTTCCTGGAATATTTTTAAAAATTTTCGTAATCTGACCATCATTTCTCGTACTTTTATTACTTAACAATTAGCAATATTGTCAAGGTGGGTAATCTGAAATAGTAGCCAGTTCAAAAGAAATTTATATATTATTGTGTTGATTGCCTATTGCGATCAGGTGAATTTTAACGACGGATATTACTAAAGTAATCGATATTAACAGTTATTTTTTCTATTATTTTATTTAAGAAATGTTGAGCATCCATGTTATATGCATTGCAAGATAAAGTAGTACCAATTCTCTTCTAGTTATTAACAAACACGCTAGTCTAACTTTATTTGATTACGTGTACGATATACTCGTATTTTCATTTGATTCTTTTCTTCATGTGCAGATGATATCATGTGAATTATGTGTTTTACATAAACGAGCAAGCAATAAGGGTTACTGCAATGGCATGCTTATTTTTCGAGAGTACATCAACGGACAAACATTACTGTTGTATTTATGGAATGTTGTATGGCACTAGTATCAAAAGCTCTTTTTGATGTTTAATTGTTTGATTATGGGTAGACAGCGATTGTGTCTTGCAGTTCATTATTTCGCGAAACTATTAATGCATTAAGAATGAACTCGTGACCCTATGTTGACATAAGCAGAGAACTACTCATTTTGCTTGATAATTGTCATCAATAGGATGAGCATAGCTGTGGTAAAATCCAGCTAAGAAAACAGAAAAACATTCAATAGAGTTTAGCATGTGTTTGGGATAGTTTATTGACTGGGTGTAGACGTACTGTGGTTGAAAAATCGTCTTTAATGCCTAAGTTTAGTATTAAGATGTAATCCTTCATAAACCGCAAAAAAGTTTGTTTAAAAATTCTCGGAATTAGTTGCAAAATATTTAGGAAGTTACTCTATGAAGTTATTTTACGATAAGGTAGTTGTTGATTTACAACGATCAAGGGTATTATTATTTTTGTATCCAATAGAGAAATACGCATCGATGAGCCATCGTCAAAAAAGTAAACAGATGTGAGTAATTCGGAGGGGAGTAGGGGCAGGTGGCTTTAATTTGACAGGTGAACACCGAAAATCTTGCTGGATTTCACTAAGAATTGACAGATATGTTTGGATAAATGTATTGAAGATATATAGCCGTTTCAGCGGTATTTCTGGATATGTCATAGGGAAATGAGTGGATCTGATGTCCATATTATACCAGTATGTGATAGTGTATTTTAAAAAGCAATTATTATAAATCGAAATTTGTAACGAGGAAAAAATTAAAACTATTACAGAAATTACCCTATGAGTCTAGTCTGTCAGGTTTGTCTTCCCTGACATTACCCTACAGTACGACTGTAAGTACTGACGATTGAGATCGTCAGAAGGAACAGTAAGACAACTTGTTTCTCTTAGACAAACTGAACGTAAACTTTATAGAAAAAGTCATTCAATTTATAGTAGATCGAGATATAAAGATGAATTCTATTAAAGGTACCAGTGCTTGGATACTATTATATAAAATATGCATAACGTCATAGATAGCGGTATGTTATCTGACGAAAATAAGATCAGTATTTTGTGGGAAAAGTACATGTATCTATATTGGTATATTATATATAATTAACTAATGTATACTTATATATATATTGATATGCTTTATGTCAGAATACGATCCTATTGGATTAATGTGCTTCAAGTTGTGTCGTCCTTAATAGATAGCATGCTTTTGAGGTGTATCGCTTTTGTCCTAGTGTCAATTTTGAACAGGAAATGGATTCAAAATGCTAATAGAAATATGTCTATAATAGAGTGGATCAATGCTACTAGGAAACTGCGGTCACTGCTATGAAAGAAGAGTGGTCTTGTTTGGCTTCCTTTGCGGCTACTTATCAATACGATCTACCAGATTGGAAATGTTTAAGGGATACTTCTTTTAGCTCAGGTTATTTACTCATGCCAATTCGCTCATTATTGATCATGATATCTATCCCTTGACTCGTCTCTTACGTTGTTTTTTGCAGATATGGTTCTATTTCGTGCTGTAGGAACTGAGCAAATGGGTTATCCTTCCTGGCGTACACGTACCCGCATCCAGTATCTGAAAATGAGGAAAATCTGTCCGTCTGTTATGTAGGATAGAAATGCTATAGCATAGCAAACGTCTTTTCAGTGCGCCAAGTAGAATGCATTCTATTGCCAATTTTTTCTTCATGGAAAGCGGGCTAAGCTATTGGTATATATAGAATTAATATCAGGGATCAGAGATATTTGAAGAGCAAATTCCTCTTGCTATCTATCTGGCGTTTTGTTCAGCGCGCTATTCGCCATGGTAGCTCTCTTGGTACAGTACTGTACTGTAGTCCGTCGTATATACAGTACAGTATATATGACAATAACAAATCATACAGTATATACAGTACTGTAAGTCGGATATGTAGAATTAATATCAGGGATCAGAGATATCCGTCTGGCGTTTTGTTCAGCGCGACTTTCGCCATGGTAGCTCTCTTAGTACAGTACTGTAGTCCGTCGTATGCATAGATGACAATAACAAATCATATATAAGTCGTATATATAGAATTAATATCAGAGATCAGAGATATTTGAAGAGCCAATTCCTCTTGCTATCCGGATGCCTGGCGTTTTGTTCAGCGCAACTTTGGCCATAGTAACTTTCTTGGTGCACTACTGTAGTCCGTGTGGTACAGTACTAAGATCAGAAAGAGACTGTAGCTTAGAATACAGTACTGTACTGTACTGTACTGTACAGTACGCTGTACCCGATTAGAAGTACTGTACAGTCTGTACTATATCCATTGTGGCGTTGTGCATGTACCACGTCGTACGTACGTCGCATAGTATGTAGTGTATCATGAACGACGCACGTACGCACCATGAAATTGAGGCCGACCGGGCTTACAGCGCTGTAGGAAAATCGAAAACCAGCAAATACCCTTCTACAGTGTATTCTATGCTTTATTGCAGCTGTTTGTGCACTAAACTTCGTTGCGTATGGATGTCGTGACGGACGGATCAGAGCACCAGTGGGGAACATCTTGCAGGTAAATCGACAGTATGATTCCACCAGCTGGTCCCAGCGCCAGTGACGGTCATCCGCAGTGCACTTCACTTCAACATGTACAGTCACACCTAGAGTTAGACACACACACCAGCTGATCCCAGTGCCAGTGAAGTTCATCTGCACTTCACTTCAACATGTACAGTCACACCTAGAGTTAGACACACACACCAGCTGGTCCCAGTGCAAGTGACGGTCATCCGCAGCGCACTTCACTTCAACATGTACTGTCACATCTAGAGGCTACACACACACAGCGACGATTGGGCCAATCACAAGACTGAAGGTGACGTGTGTACTAGTGTCAGCGGAAAGAAAACACGATCGGCCAGTGCGGTCATCCCCTTCCAGTTGCTTTTGTTGGCAAATGCAAAATGGCGAGCTCGTCTAAGAAGAGTAATATCGATTATTCCGCTTCCTCGCCTCTTACCTTATCCATGGAATCATCCATCTTAAGACAGCAATCGCTATCCGATGAAGATCAGTTCAATCAGTCTGCTTCATCGTTGATAACCAACGATAAGACAAGGCAATCGTTGGAGTCGTTATTACTCATGATTCCGAAAGTCTCCACCGGTCAATTATCCCATCAAAAAATGATTGATGGCATCTTTAGCCTTGTAAGTATATTATTTTTCACCAGGATATTTTACTATTTGCTTTATCTCTCTTTTCAATGGCAAGGGATCATCATTGTCGGCAATAGATTCCATTTGTAGTTCAATGTGATACAACATGGCTAGCGATCATCATTACCTCCATCCACTTGTAAAACGTAAGAGCATCGTCATCGCTAGTAGTCATCCTTTTCGTCATCGATGGACAAGAGGATCATGGCTGCATCTTGACATACAGTAGAATCGTATTGTCGTCAATGGACGATGAAGAGAGTTGAAATGAAAAGTATATAGTACTGTAATGCATAAGGGTAGAAGCAATATTAGTCCATGCTCTATTATTGGCTTTGCCGTCTGAGTCAAAAGTACTTTGAAGTGGCTTAAAGTCCGCTTTCAAATTAAGCGATTGTCATTCTGTAGAACAGGATCAGTACGATCGTGCCAATGGTAGTGCTAAACGATAGGATAACAAAAGTGTTTCATTAGTGCTCTATCAATTTTAGCGATTGTCATTCTGTAGAACAGGATCAGTACAATCGTGCCACTGGTAGTGCTAAACGATAGGATAACAAAAGTGTTTAGTCAGTGCTCTATCATTGCATTTTTTTGGCCAGATTGCTAGACTTATGCAATAGTCTTAATATTTATACAGTGAGGATCAATGGATATAGAATTGAATTGCAATGATTTCCCTTCCATACAACTACATCATCTGAATGGTTAGATCGCTAATCCAATATCGTCTTGAGGATAGTCTTTCAATGCTATTCCTGTTACAATCAGATATCACTTTCTTGCAATGACATCATTGACTGTACACTTGAAGTTGTTCTATCGTGAATGGAAAGCACTCTACTATCCAACTTGTACATGCATAGACTGTCCATCGATGAGTAATATCTTGGCATAACCACCATTCCATTGGACAGTCAATGGCTCCAATGGATGATATCAACGACGAGTCGATATTCTCCATTCACATGGATACTCGTCCTCACAAGCAAGATCAAGTGGTTATAAATTTCATTGTGGAACCATGTACACTAGATAGTCAACTACAGTAGAACTACATGACAACATGATTGAATAAACTCATTTTTATTGGACAAAGGACATTGGCTTACTAACCAGGCAGTATCATTGAATTCGAATGCCATCACAGTTGTTGGTATAGCATTGATCGTAACCTGGAGTTCTAATCCATGAATTAGATCATGATTATCGCTGATCATCCATCAACCAACATCATCTTCGATATCCATTTTACGACGATATTCTCCTATGCCATCGTTACTGAACAAGTACCACGATTACCCATGTGTAATCTTGTAGTATAGCGTCTTCATGCACATGTTACCACCATGGTGATATGCAATCACGAGACTTTAAACAGTCGACATAGACGTACAGTAAATGCAATCACCGACTTGTTCAAGTAAAAATCCTCCCCTTCTTATCCCTTAAAAAATGGATCTTGACACGTTCTGATCCACTGCTATGGAATCTTATCCCCTATATTTTATTCACTGTAATGGTTAGCACAAGTGTACAATCGATCTTAACCATGAAATCCAATCTGGCCCTACACTTATAACAGCAATAACAATATTGAACATCATCCAGTACTCTGCAATTGCCAACATGTACAATAAGAAGAAAAACCTACGTACACTCGATACTGTTTCAATCAGTTGTTTCCTTGCTCATACGTACAACAGATTACACTCTAAGTTTCAATAAAATTATCCAACTGGCTTTCCATCGATGATTAACAAAACTGTAGTATTTACCCATATTTAATATTTCATTGATGAACTACCGAATGAGATCAAGTACATCGATGACCAGTATCTGAGCAAGAATAGAAATGCTATCGAAGGTAATTGCCATTGCAGGGAAAATAGCAAATCTTGGAGGTTTAAAAAAGCATGATTATAGAGCGTAAAATGCCTATTTTCATACCATTTAGAAAGCACAACAGCGATGCTACGTAACATACGAAACGAATTTGTATCGTTGATATCAAAGGTGTAGTCATTTACTTGCATCATCCCATCTTTATATGATCCCCAAAAAATAAACTGCCTTTTCTATGTAGTAGTTGGATGAGTAACAGCGATATTTCCAAGTTGGTTAATTGATAATCAATTGGACTCTGTGTTGAAGATGGCAAACCTATCAAAATTTTAAGATCTGCATATAATAATGGACTTGACGAAGATAGAATGTATCAATAAGATATTCATCGATTCTGGTAGAATATCTACAAGCAACCGATAGATTCAGCATTGGTATCGGCTTTTTTATATAGCGTATGATGTTGATTGACGAGGAGATGATCCATTGATCACAGCACGTTGGTAGCTTGGGCAATTATGCCATCATTTATTCTAGATTGCAACTGTATTGAATACGGCAAATATGAGTACTTAATATAACATGGCAGCTAAGCGAGAAGAATAGTAATTTTGACAGAAGTAGACATCTTGAAAAAGATTTCAGTTATTTACTGTCCAAATGATGACAATCCGTACGATATACCTTTTAGACCTATATCGTTTAGTAACGGGTATATATCATCACAGCTTTGGGCTTGAATGATGAGTCAGTGATAGGACTTGCTTACAAAAATGGCTGCTATACTTTATCGTGTCGCTTTAAATGATGCCATCATTAAAGATGATGTGGCCTCTTAACTCTTTCATTGATTGGATTCAGTATGATATAGGCAATAGAGCAACTTAATTCTAGTGAAAGGTTATAAGATGGATTAACTAGACATCGTGATTCTTAGTAGAGTATCAATCTCTCGTAAAAAGGGTTACCAAACAGTCCATATACATTATGATATTGAAATACTTGTTCATAGTTGATCATGGATAATCTTGACAAATCGAATTTGTTCAGAAATGATATCAAAATGATAAAACATGCATAATTCTAGGATAACAACTAGCGGTCAAATAAATTAGTTATTTCTCCACCTATAGATTATTGGTGATCAACAATTTGATGCTAAAAATGCAAGAATACAAAGTCATCATGGCATATTACTATTTCTTGAACTGTTAGATAAATGCTTGGATGCTTTAAAGGTGCGGGTATATTATTGATTTTTGAAAAATTATAAATATGAGAAATAGAGTGTTTTAGCCAAAATGAAATCATAGTTTTTCTGATTTGTTTCATCAACATTCTTAGGCAACTTTATGGAGTACGCTAACTGCCATTTTGAAAAACAACATTCATAACTTACAGTTATGTTCTAGAAACAATCTTATTAAACAAGCAATTTATCGATTAAGAGACGCAAACCGTCATGTCGAAGGTTGGTGTAGCATCATATAAAATTTTACAATTATTTTTTGTAAAAAGTCATTGTTGCTGTGCTACCGACATAAATTGTACTATTAGCTGTATTAGTCAACGATAGAGACGATCTTGTTCTATTTTTTTACTTACTATAGATGCAATACTGGAACTTATTGTAGTGCTAGCACGCCATAGTATCAGTGTCAAAGAACTGAAATCATTGATGGCTGCATTGAAGGGAGAAAACAGTACTTGGGTTAGTTGATACCAACTTTTCTAACTACCTTTTACAACTCTATTTCCCTGATAAATTAATTGAGAATATTATAACTTGGATGCGTAAATGTAATTGTATATTAACGTAAGTTATTGTTTTACTCATTTTAATCTTATTTGTAGCCTAAATATTCTGTAAAGTTGTTAGCTGCGATGCGTCAAATCATTAATCGCGATCAGACAGATGCTAGTGTCTTTTTTAATTTTTCAGGAAGACGAGGCGGGGTAAGTAAAATGTTATCAAGTTGAGCTGTCTATCAACGATTTAACGATCGATCATCATTAGCTAACAGTAAAACAATTTCGAACATGTAGACTATTGCTTTACCACCAATTCGGAAATGGCCAACACAAACAGGATTTTCGATAGTAACATGGTTTCGTCTCGATCCGCTAGTCAATAGTGGGTCTACCAAAGATTTATCTCCTTATTTATATTGGTAGGAAGAATTGCCTTATACTGCTGGTTTGCATTAAGCTGTTATTGCAAAGAGCATCTTCACTTATGTTATATTTTTTTGCTTTTACGTCTGTAAAGCTTTCAAAATGGCAAGGGTATAGGCTACAGTGCCTATTTTGTAGAGTCAAATCTTATGATAGAAACGATTACGAAACCAAAGAGGAAAGGCTACAGTCATGTTGTTAATCATAAGTTCCGTTCAAGAAAAGTAATATTGGATAGAGGATAGATGAATATGTTTTCTTTTATACGCATATTGTATTGATATACATTAAGTTCATTTATTTTTATTCAATTTAGTGGTATATGGTTGGAATTGTGTATATATATAACCGATTTAGACGCAGTGAACTGCATTGTTACGTTAATGGTCAAGAAGTTTCACACGATGATGTATCCATAGTTTCTTGCGATGAGGTAAAAATTTCGTTGACATCAATATGTCAGAACTTATAATCTACTCGTCTTACTACAGTCTCAACAGCTTTGTAATTGTCATCGTACGTAGTTTATTTACTTATGGTCTACTGCAGTTATAGTCATTTATACCTGTCATTTATTTCGTGTTATGATCCAGCCATTTCATAAGTGTTTCATCGGATCTTGTCCGCAAGCCTTGCCTTCTACCGTATTTTCTGGCCAAATGGGGTCATTCTATACATTTATCGAGGCGTTGTCAAATGATACAATGGCAGCGATATATTACTTGGGCCCAGATTATAGGGTATAAAGTGATTTCATCTTATAAAATCATTTTCTATCATTATAAATGTAAATACTACAGTTTTATAAATATTTACAATCCACGTAGTGTCAGTTCAAGCATGGATTTGAGACTGATGTACCACTCTCCGCATCTCAGGAAAAGGTAAAATTTTAATATGTTACTACTTACAATACCAAGCTAAAATAAGTCAATTCTTATTCTGTTGAAATACTTTATCAGCTCCTTTACGATGGACGTTTATCTACTGCAATTATGTTTACTTACAACCCCAAGGCGTGTGATCAGAAGTTATGCCTTGAATCGTCTCCAACTGATAATGCAACATATTTTGTACATTCCCCACATGCGATAATGCTCGAGGTTAAATGTTTACTCCTGTAATGTTCGACGAATAATCAAGAGTTTAAGTACTAAAATTTTTACTGCGTTTTATTGTATAAATTTTAGGGTGTATATCCAGTTATTACAAATTCTTTCCAAAGCGCCCTTAGATCATTAGGTGGTATTCAGGTAACTAAAAGAGTCTTCGATATATTATATATTTTAATTAAATGCTACGGTTGTTTTGAATGAACATTATTTAGCAGTAAGCGTGTACCCTATAGTAGTCTATTTATACACGCGTGAGCGTAACTGAAACAATACCCAAGTTATTTCCGCAACTAAAACTGAAAAATTTTTTATTTACTACAGATTATCTTTCCCTTATTCGATCAACTCGATTATAATGTGTATAACGCGTCAAAAGAAAATGATAATAACGATAGCGTTCCTAGTGACGATATCGGGTTTGTAGAAAATATTTTACTAATTGCTGTAACGTCACTAAAACGCTATAGTAATAATACTATACGATATTCTATTGACAAAATGGTCTGAATGATCTTTTGCAGTTCGATGCTGTTGTCCCTCTTGTGTGACTTACTACGCGGATCAACTACTTGTCAGCAGCAAATTGTGCAAGGCAATGGATTTCTTGTTTTAAGTCGTTTAATAGAAAAGGTTAGTTTCTAAATCATTCAGAATTTGTACTGTAGTTGCTAGCTTGAGCTAATGTATGCTACCCATTTTTACCCCTGTAATAACAGGTCTCACCAGCCAGCTTAGAAGATAGTACCTTAGATACGCTATTGATGTTAGGAAAGTAAGCTAAGTGGCAACAATATTTAAGCTATTTATTTATTAGCTTTTGTATATCATCGTTGTTTCTACTCTAATAACTCATAAATTTTCGAAATATTGGCAATTATTCCTTGTGTTAGATATTTATTTAGTTCACCTGGTAAAGCTAATTTATTGAACCAATGGATTGACCATATATTGTTAAAGGCTTCATTATGGATCCATACCAGTGCTAAAGTAAAAATTTGTTTTAATTGGCTGATACAATAATAATATTATTAATTGCTTTCTTTGTAGCTTAAAGATTATATCCCGTTAAATTATTAGGTTCAAGTGAAATTATTTAGTATGTTGGCCACTGAATTCGTTGCAATGCCGGAGCAATTATCACTTCATATGATCGATTTCAAGAGAATTATTGGTGTACCTAGATTAATGCATATTTTAAAATTCTATTATTGGTGTAAAACAACTGAAAGTTTTAACGCCAAGGAATTATCAGGTCAAATTAACTGATAAGATTATGACTCAAACTATTTCTGTGTTATAATGTTTATGAGATTACTAATAAGTTAATAATATGTTTTAGATGGACCACGACCTAGCTTAAGTAACTTGTTGTCTATCCGTGCATTCATACTTTTGATCATCAAGCAGTTACTATTTAAAGTAAGTTGAATAATTCTATTTAGGACTTTCTTTGCGTTTTTCAATATTAAATGACTATAAATTTCTCAAAAAATATGTATATTTATAGAAATAAGTTACGTATACGAACTGATATACTAACATATTATATGTACATAGGGTAAAGGTATAGAAGATGAAGAAATGAAGAGTTTATTACATTACCTTACGTCTGTGAAAGAGGTATCTGTATTATCTGTAATTACAATCACTTTACTATACAGGAGCACAATTGAGCATTATCCTTATTTCAGCTTTTATAATCATTTAGCCTGAGAATTTAGGAGATGTAGTAGAATTTGTCTTATCAGTTATCTATGAAAGCCCAAGCACATTTGTTCCAGCTTTCGATAAACTGAATGGAATTAGGTTATTACACTTCGTCGAAGTGAAAAATAGAATTATATTTATGATACCTCTTTCCTTAAAATATCTTTAAATCAATTTAATGTATCTTTTCCTTAATTTTTGTTTAGGGTTATTTGTTATCTGCTATCTTTTAACGATATTACTATACAAGTTAATGCACTAAAGATTATTGCTTGTTTCTTAAAATATTGTGGTAACAGGTATTGATAATATCCTAGTAATTTATTCCCAAAGATATTCGTTACATGATCTTATTATCAGTGTGTGCTAATACTATATAAATACTTGTCCATACATCTAGGAGAAAACAACAGCTAGTTTTAAAAACTGGCCTGTTTCTAGTAATTGAACGAAGGCTTGAACTTTTATCGAATATTTTGCCGTCGGCTACGTACAACTCCCTTTATGAAGTAATTATATTAAGCATAATAAGGCTCTTCTGTCGTGTATGAATGAACGTGTAAATATAATACCTTAAATCAAAATTTATTAGATTTTAACCGAGCAAGTTAACCGGCAAATCCTAAGCGACAAACATCCGGATGCTGATTCCTCTTGTCGTCTTCAAAATCCACGTATAATATTTATAAATTTTCTTAAAATAAATCATTTATCTTATGCTATCTTATATATTCCAATGTAAAATGTAAACTTGTACTATTACTATTAGACGTATTTCCCTGCATGGCAAGATTAATTGAAAGATCACTAGAATACGAGTTACAAGAAAAGCTATCGGCTAATCCGAATACTGAGATAATCCTTGGTTATTCACCCTCAATGCTATTAAAGAAGCGTATTTTATCCGATTTAATATTATTATTAAATAATAATCACGATAACAGAAGGTAATTAATTTATCGATATTTCATCATAAAAATGACAATTTAATCATTAGATATTACTACCTTTATAGATTATTCCTTCAGTTGGAATGCTGGCAATATTGGTTACTTGTACTAGGATTTAGCAAGAATACAGAATTATTTGAAGGTTATGATTGTTTCATGATTTCTAAAAAGTTTACTTGATTATTTTTAAACGTACCAAGTGTTAAAGGAATATAATTTTTTAATCTAGAATGCAAGCGAGTATCAGATATGACTTGTACAGTATTTAGGATCTTGCTTGTTCATGCCCTTAAAGTTGAAAATCAGGGCTGGCGAATTTGGGCTGATACGGTAGCATTTAGCCATATTCAGGTAAAAATATTCAATGGATTTGACATTTCGTATATCAGATAATCGAACAGTCAATTAAATTACCTATTCTTTTATTAAATTTCATTAATTATTGCTACTTGCACTATAGGCTTCGTTGAAGTCGTATGCTAGAGTTCAACGGGTTCCGAGCCGTAATATAAAATCTGAACGTAATGTGAATACCGCAGAATTAGAGAAGGGTACACGTAGTGGTGGAGAACTATTGGCTGCTAAGAATAATGAACCTTTAGGTAATCAAGATAATGCCGCTTCTTTAAGCGAAAGTAAAATCGATCATACCTCCAATCCTGATAATGCTACAGCACATAACGAACTTTTAACCAGATGCGAATTAAGTGATGATAATTCCGAGCTTAAAGGTATCATAAGAGTCATGACTGTGTTAGTATTAGATGCTAGCAATTGTTGGAAATAATTGTATATCTCCTTGTAATACGTCAATGTTTATGCTATAACTTATCATATTTTACGTTATAGACGACGGTAAGAATATAATGTCTGATGATCGCCGAAATGCTGGTGTATATATAAAATATATATAATAGATAATTTATTTTAAGATTTAATCTTGCAATCATTTTTCGTTAAATTTACTATTACTTTTTATGTCTACATTTTAGGTATAGATGGCAGTGATGAAACTTTAAAAGGCAATAGCAATTTAGGTATGTACGCCTAATAAAAATATTTTGAGAGTAAAAATTTCAGTAATGATTATAATTTTTATCATACCGATATTGCATGTAGTATTGACGAAATGTTATTAATTCAAATAGACGACGTGCTTATTAAAAGCGAAGAAAATTCCAGTGATTTTGTGAGTAATGATCAAAATATACAATTGGCAGTACCAACGATAGTCATAGAATCGGCAGGTTTGACAAATATTTAATTTTATTGTACATTTTATGAAGCTTTAATTAGTGCGTTCTTTAATGTATCTCAAAAATTTACATTTGTCTTTCAGTTGAGGAAACTGACATAGTTGCAGCAGTTGACGAAATACCTAAAGTCCGTAGTAACGTTGATGTTGAAGATATTAGAATGCATGAAGATGATCTTATTGATGCAAATAATAGTGAAGAGAAGGGAAAGGCGCGAACAAATACAGATGATTTGATAAATGAACAGGTATCATCAAATGTTGTTACGACCGAAGAGAAATTAACCGAAAACACATTACTTGATAGTAGCAATAGCGAAATGGATAAAGAAATTATAACAGATAGAAACCGTAGTGATTCTGGAGAAGCAATAACACATAACGTTGCTGTTAATATGAACAGTGATGAAGTATCATTAGGCGTAGTTGTTACTGATTATGAAGCCAACGAGGAAGTGACACCTGATACTAGTATTGATAAGATAAGTAAAAAGAATTTGGATAGTGCACATGATGGTAAAACAACTGAAATAGAATTAAGTTGTGATGATGCAAATGAAGAAGTGACAGCTATTACATCTGATGGTAAGGGAAATGAAGTAGTACCTGGAGTCAATGATGAAAAGTTAATTGACGTTGTAGTACAAGAGAAAGAAACTTCTGAGAACAAGCTGTTAGAGGAGGAGATAGAATTGGATGCTAAGAATGAATTGGCAAGTAAAGAGGCATCCCTTGCAGCCAGTAATCTAGCTAGTAGTAGTAATGACTCCGAGCATACTGGGGAAGCGTTACAATTTACTCATAATGAATCAAGGCCATCTGCTTTCGGATCTGGTACTCTTAGCCATGATGAAATACAAATTCCTGGGGACAGTGAGCTCTCTTCGCCTTCTGTCTCAAGTGATGTATCGTCCAATGCCGCATCCTTCAGTCAGAACGATAAAAGAAGGCAGATACCAAGTTTTTCATGGTCCAGTGTTCATGAAAGATTACTATCTGATTTATTATTTGCAATCGAAAATGATATTTTAAGTTGGCGAAGGTAACAAATGTCTATGAGATTAACTGAAGGTTCATATGTTTTGATTTTTCGATAGAAAATATTTCAGTTTAACAAAAGCTTGTTTTTTGTTTTGTAATGTGCAGTATATTATACTATATATGTTCCATTCAATGAATTTTATTTGCACTTAAGGATATATCTATTCTGCTGTGTGAATTTGCTACTTTATGGCATTATTGCTGATGACTACCTACTCTATAAAGAATTGCTTCAAAGTACATACTTGCTGATGCCTAATCTTATTTACGAACTTAGCCATAGCAGGAAGAATATTTCCGATTTCGTCAATGCAAGAGAAAATTTTGTTTACGTCACTAACGTGCTCCATGTTATTTCCATGCTATCCGATCATCTAATATACTCTTGTGGCGGTATTATGCCACTAATGTCATCGTTAACTAATAATACGGTAATTGAAAATAACGAACTTTTTATTACGGTAATTTTTACTTAATCAACAACATTTAAACACTCTCAAAATAGGGTAATTTTAATGCTGTACAGCCAACGCAAGGGATGGAGATTGAAACTGCATTCAAATTCATTGATCGTATTATGGGGATTGTTGATGTTTTGGTTTTTACTAGCGTCGTTGGTTTAAGTCCTATTGAAGCTGATAGAGGTTTCGCAACCGGCGGTTTTCTCCGCCAGTGTCTTCGATTGAGTAAGTATAATAATAACGCTGATTTTAAACTCGTTTTGATTGAATAAACAAGTTTATTTATGTAATCAACCACGATTTATTTTTAGCATTGTGTTCAACTGCATTTACAAGTCTTCAAAATCAGGTTAATGATAAGGTAAGATAATTCTATGGCGATTAATGCATCCACTCAATTGAGTTTTACTGCAAAGCTTAAAATAATATACATTTAATATATTTTATTAAATGTAACTATTTGATTAACTCATCGAAAGTTTGTGTCTGTGTTATCATTTGTCATGATTATATTATAGATTAAACAAATCTCTTTTAAGAATATTCATTCAGATATAGCTAATCTAAAGGCTTTACATGATCAACCGGACCCTGTAAGCAGTCAATTATTTTTGCTAATCCTATTATCTAATTTCCCAGCTTATACATATTACAATGTTATTATTTTCAGATGGAAATTTACGATTTGTCGCGGTCTATGGTGGATCCAACGAAACTTTTTCAAGATATTGATATGAATAGGCTGAGGGCTGTAATTTATCGAGATGTTGTAAGACATTTAACAAAATATTTTGTAGTGTTATCTATTGTACAAACTTAAATAAAAAACAGTTATTGTAAAATTTATGGTAATGCTAACATTCATATTAATAGGAAGAAACCAAGCAAGCTCATCAAATCGTATCTGCTGTCCTATTCTTTATTAGCTCAGTTACAGTTGCGAAATACAAGGAAATTCTTGACAGCATCAACCCTCCGAAAAGAATAGAGCAGACTAGCAGTAATGAGACCGAGAAGCTTCAGTCCAGTGAGGGATCCGGGAACTTAAATTTAGACGTCATCCAGCCAAGAACTCGAGCTAATACTTGGGGCTCTAGCTCTTTAGGAACTGACGCCAAAATTACGATTAAACGTCGATTTAGTGATGCTGAAGATATCGATACAGTCAAGGGTAAGATACAGCATTCAATTGTTTCATCATGTTTTGTTTATTGCGTCAGTTTGCATAGGGACTACTGAAGAAAAGAGAGAGGGAAAAGGGGGAAACTGATTTTTCATAGATGAAAATATAAGGGCCGACTTATATAGTAAAGTAACTGACAAAAAAATCGACCCTTACGTTCTTGTCAATGAAAAGTCATTTCCTTTCCCTCTCTTTTCTTCCATAGTCCCTGGTTCGCATTGCTATATAGATACAGCATATTAGCAGTGATCGACTGTGTATATTGGTGAGATTTAACGCGTTTGAAATTTAACTTGCAGTTCCTGCTGCTGTCTTATCGCTTGAGAGTCTATCACAAAACCAAATTTCAGATATTGCCGCAGAGTCTATTGCATCACAAACGGTGACTAACAGTTCAGTAGTTGAAGCTTCTACGGACGTTGCTTTCGCTATCTCTAGCGTTGACAATAAAAGCAATTATAATAAGCCTATTGATGTTACTGATTTAATGGAGAGCTCTATGGGCAACTGCGTTGGTATCATACAAGAGGCCATGGTTGATTTTTATCCTTACTTATCTCGTACATTTGTTGGCTCTAACGGCCAAGATCTTCTACGAGAAGGTTTCTACTCTAATTGTGAATAGTTATCGTTCGATTGTTCAATGAGAACCGTAAATTTAATATAAAATGATTGTATTTGTGATTATCATCAGGTATATATTCCTTGAAAAGTGGCAAACCAGTAGTAGAGCTGATAATGCTCCTTTCCTCTCAGGTTTCGTTTTGCAGTTTGATTTGTTAAAGTTAATGTTATTGCTCGTCTGTCGAACGTATTCAGATAATAAATGTGCTTACTATATATAGGAATGGCAAATCGCTCTTCAAAAATATTTTGGTGCGGCGTTTATTGAATTAATTAACGAGGGACGGTATGAACGAGTATTTACATTTTATTAAATTCGTCATAGATATTTGGTAGAAATTATTTGTGATTGAATTTCGTATATTTTCATAGAATAATATCTCACTCCGTTCGTGATCAAATTATGTCGTTGGCTAAAGAAGCAAAAGTGATATTAGATGATCGTCTATCTGATGAATTTACGAAACGAGAAGCTTTTGAGGTATATAGAAAATGTCTCTAATGTATCTGCTTGCAATTATGTAAATGTTCAATTCGGCTGTTGTTTTAGTAATGCTGATATGCTTGTATAAATGATCGTAGATAATATCTAGAGATACAGTTAAAGAACTCATTACTGAAGCTCAGCAGTACGATCGAATGCTTGTCTCTATTAAGAAACGTCATCGAGATGTTGGTGAATACTTATGGAAAAAGGTTACTTAAATTGGGAATATTTCCGGACTAACTATGATACTTTGTTTTCAGTATTCAGCACTTTATGACTTTTATAAACCTGCTAGACTTGACTTTGCTACTCCTACCAATTACTGCATACTATCTAAGTGAAATTAAAATATCAATTATTTATGTTTGAAAATACAGATCTATGATTCTCTGACGAATGAACTTGGAGTATGGAAAGGAGATAAGAAGGCTGAAAAGTAAGCCAAATTTAAAATTTTGCATTCTAATTTCAGGAATATATCTAACGGAATCTTTTATGACGCTGTATTTTTCATGTATTAGTGCTATTAGATACTTATGTCTGGATAGATGGGAAGACACGAAGAGAAGGCGCTTTAGATTAGTTCCGAATCCGTTTGGATCTTCACATCCTGGGGCCACGCTTGAGTCTCATCTGCGAGATATGGGTAATGTCAACTGATTCTGCTATGAACATTTTTTGTACATTTGTTATCTTGTACGCTAAAATTTTACTATCTATTAGGCCAAGACTCTAATGAGAAGGCGTCCAACATTTCTTATGCTCTGAGAGCTCGACAGCTATTTAGAACCAGGGCAAAAATATCGGCTTCAAGTGATACCGATGACGAATCCAACAGATCATTCGATATTCCTGATGACAATAATGCAGAATTCGTGTCTTCTCCTGAGTTAGATTTTGGATTAGGAGGTACAACGAAAATAAAAATCAGTTAACCGTTATTATAGTTATTTTTTAGTTATAAAATACTATTTATGAGGAAAATTAACTAAATAAACATTAGAGATATTCTTCTTCATCATGTGATACTTTAATAATATTTAGGACCTATAGTCTGCGCTGTGGAATGTAGTATGCTCGCACCGGGTGTAGTCCTACCAGGCAATTTAACGTTAACTACTTCAACGCTATACTTTACTGTTGATGACGATAACGTGGAAACCAAAAGTATTGACCCTCAGGTAAGATTAATCCCTTAATCATAATAAGCATATGATGAGCTTGTACTAACAAATATGCACATTACAACTTGTTGCATTTAAAATTAATTAAATATAATTGAGAGTATTTAGACAGCTAATTCCTTTATTTAAGTTACGCATATTAAAAAGCATATCTACAGAAAGTTAATAATCAAGTACTTTCTGCAAATCGCTCATATACGATAGATTATAAGAAATTACGTTCAGAACTTCCCTGTTGCGCAAGCTATCACGTATATAGTATTACGGTACTTTTTATTGCTGCGCTGCTCTTAATTGTTGTATCTTAATACCGGCTGCCGTTCATGTGAATTAAATTGTAAACTAAGTGTCATAGTTTGCAGATAGTTTTAACAATGTAAGGAGATCCTTTATGACAGAATTTTAATTTCTCATCCATGGCAACATATGTAGTCTCTATAGCTTGAATAGTAATGAAGTGCCCAAGTACTTTTAAATACGATATGATTGTAATTAATGCAAATTAAAAGAAACAACAATGGCTGATTTCATTACCATAACAATGAAATAATAACGGAACTTCTAATGTATCCATGGATTATCTATAATTTACTTTTTTACCTATTCGATCAAATACAAATTATAGTGTCAGAATCAAAGTATTAATGATTATTTTACCGTAGTAAGCTAACAATACCGTTAATAATATAAAATATGAATAATTTTTACAACGTCAAAAACAATTATTTTCTTGGTCGGTGACACATATCTATAAAAATCAAGTGATAGTCTAGTAGAGACAAAAAACGTTGGCCTACGCGACATACTATTGTCATGAACATCATGTCACAACAACAACTGTCTGGCCATCATTTGTTCCTAAACGTAACATTTAGACGTATGTCTGTGATGGCCATAATATGTGTTGTTGATAGCGTGGGAAATGCAACCCTATTACTTTCGGATAGTGCGCAGTGAAGGATTTTTTGGCGGATTATTATTCAAGGAAGTCTTAAGGATAATATTTGACTTAAAAATTAGTTACGACAACCCAAATAATGATAACAGAAAAGGGGTGTAGTTACCCTAAACGGTTAATGAAGGTCTTCACTATAAATTTTATTTAAAGTATTACTGTACTATCGGAATGTGTCCATTAGAATCAGAGATAGAAAACACGTAAAATGCTGAATTAAAGATTTAATGAAAGTTGTTTAGTGATGATAATAAATTAATAAATAAATAATTATTACGCAAATTGATTGATAAGGATTAAACGCATAAACAGTTTGGATACATACAATCAGGTTATATTTACGTATAGCATAAAATTTCGATTGGACCCTTGCTGGTACGTGATTTAGTTGATAAATAGTGATAATTTGTTACCCGGGGATCTGGTGTATTGGTTAAATAATATAGTTAATAAATTATAGTAGTAATATGTAAATACATTTGTATCAGGTTAGAATCAGAAAATTCCATTCAATATATATGATATGATATTGTATGTAAATGTATATTTATCATTTGGAGCATACGCGTATGTGAATAGGTCAATTAATAATATTCGAATTAGCATAAATTGAGAGTATACGCCGAATATAGTTATACGTATAGTTAATATCACCGTCATTATTACATAGGTTATGTTCGTATTTGTATATGTATTTATTAGTATGGATAGGATAGTTTTGATAATTAATATTAGTACATTTTAAGTTTTAATGGATTCTTGATTAATTTGGTGTAGTTGATCTGGGTTAGTAATGATTTGTCTTGTAATACGCCAAGCCTGTTTAGTTGCTATATCTAATACTGCTGTTGGCCATCCCTCCAGTAAATTAATTTTAGGAATAAAGTAATGTGGGCAGCATCGGCTTTGTAGACAGGAAACAAGCTGTAAAAATATTCCTTTGAGTCGATCTTGAATACAATCTGGCATCCATTCATGTTCAAATGGATGCTTCTCGCACTCATAAAGCAGGATAGTTTTCATGTGATAATTTTGTAACGGTTGGCCAGGCAATTTTAAATGTGTATCTCTCAAATAATTTAAAATAGTTAAACACAGTCGTCTACATCCTCTTTCTAATAATTTATCTTCAATCTCCATGAATGAGATGCACCATGCTTCGCTCTCATTACTTGATAATGTAGTATGTTTTTCTTGTGTACCATTGGCTAGTAAATGAAATCCAATTTCGCGTACTTGATAGACCATATCTGGACACGGCCACAGAGCATACATATGTGGCCATGTCGAAGCACAACGCGGCCAGATACCACAGCACATAAACGCTAGTGTAATTTCAATAATATATTCATGATTAATACTGAGGATAACGGAACCAGCGTCTTCAATAACAGTCACCGTATCATCCAATTTAGCTTGTATGATTGCTTTAGTCACCAAGTTATGAAACTTATTTCTTAATTTTTTAGCCGACAGATAGCCCGATGCTGTAATAAATTCTGTCCACAACGATGTTGATCTTTTTCTTTCATCACTGAGTTTGAGAAATGCATAACCTGGTAGACTACCACTGTCGATAAAATTTAAAACACCCATATGATTTAAAAATAGTTTAGCCAAGAATCGCTTGCTCGAGATGACTTCTAAGCATTCATATTGATTTTCTAATTTAACAAATGATGAGATAAATCGAGCATCTTGGGCTTCGACTTCTTGGAGAATTTTCTTGGTTATTGGGAATACGGTTTTAACAGATGTGGTCAACTCGTTACTGTATTGAGCTAGATAATTATGTCTAGGATAGTAAAATGCTGGTGAAGTATCCTTCAATATTGCATCCGCCATGGTAGAGCTGTTAAACTTGGAATTAAGTAGCTGCATGTTGATCACCGTTAATTAAGTTAGCGTTAGAAGAACAAATATATTCCACACGCATATACGACACAAGTAGAAATAATCTTAACCTACATCTATCGACGATATTTATGTTCAAGAATTATATATTACTTCTGATTAAAATGCCAATGGCCAATCGCCTTATGGCCATTTTGTTGACATTGTCATTAAGTTATATTGTTCTTGGGGGCTTTTGTTTAATTGGAACAATATACGATGAAGAAGATTTAGTTTACCATATTTATCTTTCAAGTTAACGATTTGTTTCTCTTTACTTGGCTTATGTATTCTTTCACTACTGTTTAAGAATAGCAAACAAGGTTCTTGAGGGATTAGATTGGATACTGTTTAAACTTATAAACGTAGATGGAGAGAAATTGAGTCATAGATGTTCAACTGGCTGACCATTTAACTTGATTAATAATAATTAAATTGACTGAGCTAGTTTAAGGTTGAAGTGCATTCATCAGACTTTTTATGAAGTTCCTGTAACTTGGAATTCGAAAGGAGGTAATTGGGAAACGATTTTGACATGTAATCATTTCGAAATCTAATGATTTTTTTATTAGTTTTTCTCTACCATCCTAAAGAAATGCATTTCCTTACTTATTTTGAATATACAAGAAACAATTAGATTACTTAGATGCTATTGATGACTTCTTATTATATTCAGATATTATGACTACTAGTGCAGATTATTATTCATTGCCTTAGGCGCAGTTAAGTTAAATAATAAAATCCAACTGAATGATAATCGGTTATATCGTTGATGTTAAGAAAAAGGTTATTAATATTGGTTTGATGGGTTCAGCTACATTTTACTTTTTATGTCAGAGTGAAATAAATCTAGTGCAATTCCACACTATGTTTTTATCAATCGTTATAGTCCAATTTGCTTACTTCAACAGAATGGTCTACTATGATCAAAACGACAACGAAAAGTAAAAATATAGTTCTGCTCTAAATATGACATTAGCATGCGAATAGAAAATGATTCTATTCACGAACTCATCGTGTCGATTGTCCACTTGACATAATCGGTTTAATCAGTGTCATCTATTTTATTTATATAATTTATAATTCAATTACTAACATGTCATTTACGCCTTCTATCACATCTAAACAATAATTAAGTTCTTTTATTATATCATTATGCTATTGATGTTAATTTTATTAGCATTTATAGGGTCCACTATTACATTTAAGGCTATATTATTTCGGTTGGCAATGGTCGTGGTTATACTGTTCAAATAGATGGACTGTTACTTTATTACAAGATAATATTATGTTATTCTTCTTAAGAGAATTAATACATTGTTGCACCGTATTTTAATTTTATTACCTGACAATTGCTATCGCTCGATCTTAATTAGTAAGAGTAATATTTGAAAATTATGCATTTGCATATCATTTGGTAAGGTCAACTGAGTGCGGAAGTCTGTTGGCTATCACGTAGTTCCGTTGAATTTTGATAACCATTATAGCCGCAGTCATTTTTTTACTTTTCATCAATCAGTTGTTATGAACATCAAAGGAAAAAGATGATTTTTACAGTAGTCGTTTATAATTTACTGTAAATTATGACTTCACTATTTCTTTGCCTTTTATCTGTGATTTCATTACCTGCGAATACAATTAACGATTGTTTAAGATTTCTATTTTTAGTTACTATTAATTGAAAGGAAAAATTAGCATTGTATTAATGTTAGCATTATATGGACTTTCTAGGTCATTATGACAGTAAACCGTTGTGTTCTTTGATATTTGACACATAGTCATAAGTTCTAAGAATAATTGATGGCATATTTGTACTATACAGATCATGAATTAGAATTTGAAAGATTTTTTGACGCAAAGATTCCATGTCAGTCAAATATTATTCTTTTGATTGATGAACTGATAATTTGACGTCATAATAGTACGAATCTTGAGTATTAAAATCAAATTATCCAACCATTCTTATGTTAATATTAATATGGAAGAAAAAGCTCCTCTGACTAATTTATTGTTTCATAAGCATTCAGATAATGCTTTAATAATATATTTACACCAAGGGTAAGTACCAGTGTAGAGTGCGGTTGTAGTTTGAGTATCATTTACGCGTGTATTTATAATTTATTCACGTTTCGATAAATTAAATTATATCTTGCATGGGACTAGAAATGTATAAACACGTTGGACAATGTTTAATCAAATAGTACATGCCTGATAATATTTCGGTTTAAGCAGGCAACAATGTATGGATTACATCATTTATACTTGAATTTTATGCTTTTACACAATGCAATTGTACATTGCTTACATTTCGAGAATAGGTGAAAAAATATTATTAAAAATCGATTTCAAGCTATTGTTTCATTGGTAGCTTGATTAAATTGGGCATGGTCGCTAATATGATATAGCGACATAAAAGTTGTTTAATGCCATCATTAGATAGATTAATAATCATAAGCAATACATATTACTTACTTTTTTGGTTTTGATCGTTCTACTGAAATTTGCCTTTCCGTATATGACAACAAATTAGATGTAATAAACGTATTGTAAGCGATGAGAAATTATTTCATTAACTAATTATCATAACTTTTAAATAGAACGCGGTCAATAATTCGATTTTAATCTTGTTTAATGGACAATGTATCAAAATTTATTCTTGACTTCAGGTTCTAGTTTATGTCAATGACATTCATGGGAGATGGAGTTTTGATAAAATCCGTGCTGTTTATAGTCGTCGTTATCTATTGCAGAACTGCGCTATTGAAATATTTCTCGCAAACAGAAGTATGGTTTCATTCATGCAATTTATTGCTCTTAGCTGTTAATCATATTACTTCATAAGTAACGTCATATAATTATAAAAAACCTTTTAGGATCGGTTATGTTCAAATTTGCTGATAGCCAAACAGTTAAAAAGGTAATTAACAATTTACCATCAATTGGTATTGGAAAAATTTATGGTGCGCCCCGAGCCAGGTTAGAAATGACAAAAGTATTCATAATGACGGTGTGAATCGTGAATAGTTAATTATTTTGATTGGTTCTGTCGGTTAAAATGTCTTATTATGCTCCTTTTAGGGCAACAAGCACGTTAATTCCAAGTCGACTTGTTCGTAAATGCAATATGACGCAGAAATGGATCAATGAAGAAATAAGCAACTTTGAATATATTATGTTCTTGAACACTATTGCAGGTAGAACATTTATAATTCAAAATTTTAATTCCGGTTGTCGTCAATTGAATATTGCATATTATAATGGTGTTAACCCTTTAGGTAGAACTTATAATGACTTAAATCAATATCCCATATTTCCCTGGATATTAACAAATTACAAAGCGAATGAAATTGATTTAAATGATCCTGCTAACTATCGGGACTTATCTAAGGTAAAATAATTGTAATTAGCTGTTAAGCTTGGCGACGTACGATAATGTCCAATTATGCATTTATTAATGTCGATGTACCATGTGAATTTAACGACATATTCTATATCTTATTTTGTAATGGCTTCATAAAAGCCTGTTGGAGCATTAGATCCGCATAGGCGTAATAAGTTTAAGAATAGATATGAATCATGGCAAGATGATGAAATTCCAGCTTTTCACTATGGCACACATTATTCAACGGCAGGATTCGTCTTAGCTTTTTGCTTACGCATGGTAAGCTTTATTAAAGGCATGATTTTTCACCAAGTGAATCATTAATCCTAGCAATCATTGTTGATATTAACATTTACAGGAGCCATTTTCAACGCTATTTATAAACATGCAAGGAAATAAATTTGATTCACCAGATCGTTGCTTTAGTTCTGTTGCTCAAGCCTGGGAGAATTGCCAGCAAGATACAGCAGATGTTAAGGTACTTCATAGGGAGCTTTAAAAATTACTTCCGCATTTAACGCTAATTAACATAAACTATTCTTGTTTAAAACCTTAGGAGTTAATCCCAGAACTATTTTATCAGCCGGACATTTTATTGAACAACAATAAGGTACATATTGACAGGTTCATGATAGCAAAATCTGTTCATATTTGAATGAAATTAGCGTAGAGAATTTAAAGACTAGTAACAGTAAATGCATTTTCAGTTTGATCTAGGAATTACAAGTGAGGATGAAATCGTTAATCATGTTAAACTACCACCTTGGGCTAAATCTTGTCATGATTTTATTGAAATTCACAGGATGGTATGTGTCATAAAGCTTATTGTATTTTTATTTAATAATTATTTGTATAGTTTAATTCCTTTTTACATGACCCATTAATTGACTTGTCATATACAACTGTTTACAATAATAAGTAATTATTTTATAATACGTTGCTGTTAGGCCCTAGAATCAAAATATGTCTCACAACACTTGCATGAATGGATTGATTTAATATTTGGTTATAAACAAAGAGGTGCAATTGTTATCATGGCTACCATATGCAATATATCTTCTTAATTATTATAATTAACATTTAGAACTTGATGTTACTTAGGTCTTGAAGCAATTTCGTCAATGAACGTGTTTTATTACTTGACTTATGAGGGAAATTGCGATCTTCAGGCAATACAAGATCCCGTGATGAGAGCGGTATTTAGTCATAAGATAATTATTTTGGTGCAATTGTTTTTGAACCAATTCGTGAAGTTTTTTATTGGATCCGTTAAGTATAAATTTTTTACATAAATACAGGGAATTGAGCAGCAAATAAGAAATTTTGGACAAACTCCATCGCAACTGTTCATGGAACCTCATCCACCACGTCAAATGAAGGTAATAGTGACCTTCACTCTTGTTGTTTATTTCAAAAAAGTGTTTAATATCATAAGTATGAAAACGGGTTTATCATGGCACATACTTTTATTTTTACAGTCTCAATCTAAGGATTACATAGACAGAGGTAATTATACAAGATATGATTTCCTAATAATTATCATTATTGATACGCATCCAGGCTAAATTATTGTCTTTGACCCAATCATAACTTAAAAGACATACAAGCAATTTAAAATTTTATTTCATGATATTTTCATATTTTAGAAATTACAATGAATTTAGTAGTTACGAACAATGTTCCGATAGCCTATGTGAAGAGTTGTACCCAGTCTTCTTCCATGTCCGCTTCAGTGATTACTATTAGTTACAATCAAGTTTATGCCGTTAACAAATGGATGATGTCGACCAGTGGTATAATTAATTATAGGATTCTAAAATATTTATTGCATTTATAGATATATCTTGAAATAGGAGTACCTACGTTGTTATACTAACAATAATTCTATCGGTACTATGACTTTCTAGGTGGTGGGATTGAAATCGATCCAGCGCTAAGTAAATAATAATACATTATCTCTTTTACCTGCTACGAAGTTAATTTTTAATATAAAAAACTACAGTCTTACTTTTTTCAAAACAAAACTATGAAATAATTAACTGTCTAGAAAAAATTCAATATTAAAAGCTATTTCTTTATTTTTATTAACGCTTAAATAAATAACATTAGCTACACCAAGTGGCCTAGCGCAGCGACGTTTAGGAGAACCTATGGATCAATCTGTTACGCCATCAACACATTGCTTCTGTTGTATTTGTGAGAATCGATTTATTTTGGCTTGTGGATATTGGGATAAAAGTTTTAAGTGCTTTTCGACAGAAACCGGTAATTTATATGCAATAATGCAGTTTCATGATATTAGAATTTGCTATAGTTCTTGCTCTACCATCGTAAAACTAATTATAATGACATTTAGAATAATCATAGTGAAACATTATTCCAGGATTGAAACGGTATATCAATGTATTTTATTCGAAAAATATAGGTAAATTGACTCAAAGTATATTTGGGCATTGGGATGTTGTTACATGCTTATCTAGTACGGTAGATATTCAATCCGATAACAATGACTTAATAATCGTATCGGGATCGAGAGATGCTACAATTTTGGTTTGGTCTTGGAATGGACGTCGCGAGAGAATTGTTGGGGAAAATAATGTTATTGGTAAACTTAAAATAATTTTAATTCATCTACCACTTGTATGAATATCTTTGATTTCTGTCTTGATGCTCAGTTGCTAATCTGGTATGTATTGGCATTCGCTAGGAGACGCTGGTGCACCTAGAGCTATTGTAACTGGCCATGAAAATGGAGTTGTTTGCGTTGAATGCAATGGAGAATTAGGATTAATTGCCAGTGGATCAATAGGTAATTTCTTTTGAGAATAATGAAATATCCGTAAATACTTCATTAGTCATCGAAGCTACTGCTATAAATTGTTCTCCATCTAATTATAATATAGGCGGGCCATGTTTGATACATACATTATCTGGTGAATTGTTACACGTGATGTCCGTACCCTTGTATTGCCAGCGACCATTCCAAATTTGCATTTCTGATCATGGCACGATTGCTGTCAATTTCACTGATAATAAGGGTTACTTAATAGTTTTTACCGCTAATGGTAAACTTTTATATGAACGGGAACTGGAGGAACGAATACTAGTACGTATTCAAATTAGCAAAATTTTTTGCTTGATGTGTATTGGGCTATTAATCAATAAATATTTTAAGGAAACTACTAATTATTAGAATGACCTAGGATGATTGTTATATTGTGTTCTCGTTAGGCTATGAAATTAAGTAGCGATGGCAAATTTATCATTGCTGGTGGATTCCGAAAGTGCATCGAAATTTGGCAGTTGCGTAATTTACGTTTGTGTCATTCAATGACTAACTGTGATAGTAGCGTTCGAGCTATTGATTTATCCCACGATGAAAGGTGAATTAATCGTTATAAATATTTATAGTTTAAGATGCTGCTATAGAAGAGTGTATCGCTACTGGTGTTATTGTAATGTGACATAAACACCTGTTCTACTGCATATATATCGATACGGAATAATTAACTGATAATTAAAAGGAAATGGAATTAATTCATTCGCTATACTCAGTGTGCATTCCTTGAGATTTTGATCATCAGATATTTGGCAGACTTGTGATTATCATACTTTTAGCATTCTTATTTGATACTGATCTTAAATTAACGCTAAGAAGGATGCAAAAATTTTGCGATAACTAAGTTCAATTTTTATGGTAATGGTAATTAGGTTCGTAGTTGCAGGATTGGCAAGTGGAGGATTAATTGCACAAAGTATCAACTTATCCAAATGGTCAAGTAGCTGTTTTTATTCGTAGACGGTTTATACGAACAAAAAATGGTTGGAGGCAATTTATTTTAGATATTATTAATATTTTTAATAATAAAATTATTTACAGTTAAATGTATTTATATTCTGGACAATTATGGTATGGTATATGTTTGTTAACCATTTTTATAGTAAGACGGAATGATATAGGAATTCGTGATAACGCTCCAACGTTTGCATTACAATTTATTCAGAGTACTTGAATAATTTTGTTATGTCATATTATGAATGCTAGTTTAATATTTTATATTGTACATACTCTGCTATATATTAAAACTACTGTGTAAAGGCAAGATATAGATGACAGATAATTAGTAATTGGCATATATTTCAGGCCTTTAAGGGTATTAATACAACTATGTAATGAATGAATTATTTTATACAAATCCAATGAAGAAAAATGGATTTGCAACTGCTTAGTATTAGAATTTTATAAATTTAGATTTATAATACAGCATCTAGGTTTATTTTACGGTTGCAGCTGTTTAATTTGTGTAGTAATATTATTCTATAGAGTCTCACTATAAAATGAACTGATTTAACCTGCTTATGGAACAACAGGTTTGAATACTCAAAGTTGACTTATAGCACTGCTGAGCGATTGTAAGAAGTTTTAAATTATCTTTTTTCGTATACTTAGGCATACGAGATTTTCAAGAATAAATTCTTTATCTTAAAAAAGACTTTGATGTAGCTAATGTGTTATACTGTTTTGATAAACCCCCTCTTCTATGACTGATTACTTTACAATATCTACTCTGTATCAGCTGTAGACACGCTTAAAATAAAATATAACTAAACATTAAGGTGCTCCATGTAGTATAAAAATTGAATTTTATTCATAATTGCAAACAAATGATTAAATTGCACTGCAGATTAGATTATAAAGATGAAAGAAATAAAAACAGGAATAAATTATAGCCTTCAAAGTCCTATGTATTCAAGCGATGATACTATATGTTATTCCGAAACTAAATTTACTAAAATACTCACGCTATATGAGTTGATAAGCACAAAAAATTTTAAAAGTATAAATTTAAAAAAGTAATGACAGGAAATAAATCGTTAGGTCCAAAAAACGTTTAATTGGCATTACTTAATACATATCAAAATATTATATGCGTGTTTCATTCAATTAATTATGGAGGATTGAACTGATTACCATGAAATCATAAAATTAAATTAAACGACTAGAACTACAGAACCAATGACTAAATTTCAGACTAACTTTCCATTATTAGCAATCTATTAAATCGTGATACTGAAAGGAAAGACAAGAATTTCCTTATTAAGAGATTAACAATCGCACCAATCCGGCTATGAATAACAGGATTGTCGCTGAAAGGAATTGAGCTGAGCGTCCACTTCCTGAATCGTATCTTCCGAGTAATTTAGCGACTCGGTCGGTATCATCTGTGATTAATCTTTGTAATCCCCAACCAATCATTTGGTTAATTAGGGTATCACTAGCTTTCAGTTCCTTTTCTGATAGTGTCATTTTGTAAATGGTCCAAGCACCTGCGCTAACTTTATTGCCGTAATATTTTTCCAGCCCTTGTAGACTGCTTTCTTTCATCAATCGACTATACATATTATAATCGATATCGAAGAAAGCTCCTTGATAGGTTTTCAAGACAGCGCCTGTCATGAGTAAATACTCGGTAAAATTAGGCCCGTTGGGCAGAACTCGTAGACATTTGGATAAATCAGGTAAGCCACCATATTCTTTTTTTGCGTCATAATCTTGATCAAATTCACCAAGGTAAAAGAATGTACCAACAACAAGATTAGGGTTTAATTTTTTAACGGCTGCGGTTGTAAAAGCATCAAATGAGTTGACAAAAACTTTCTTTTCCATATTATACTTGGCGATCATGTCAACTACTGCTTTAGCAACAGCCTCTGCGTTTTGTTTACGATTCGCATCTCGTCTAGTTGATTTAATCTAGTGAACAGAATAGAGAAAAGGATTGATAAAGATGAAAAATATTAATGAAATGAAGTAGTAAAAAATTTTCTGCAATATACGCGTATAAACTTATATCAAGGTGAAAAGAGATGATAAAGTAAATGTTAGAATATTAACAAGAATTGCCTATAACGGTGTAATTGTACATAGAAATATACCGTGCAATTGCAGATATTTTAATTGCAAATGAACTGGGATTGGTATATCTATTACTTTATGATAATATTCTGTTTTAATTAAAATGGCTAAAGTAATTATTAGAAAGAATAAAAATGCTAACTAACATTTCATATTGCTCAAAACTGTCCACTGTCGCATTTATGTGTGCTTATAAATTAGAATATAATTGTCCATTTCAAAATACTGTAATACTACATCATGAATTCTATAATCTAAATAGGTTAAAACATTAAAGGAAATTATGGGAAGGAAACAAATACAGCTTTATTACATAGTGCAGATAGAAAGTCATCATGATCCTCTATGAAATCGTCTTGATATTTTAATGTCTAATTAGTAACGATGGTATAACTAACTTCAGTATAAATTAGATAGTCTTTATCTTGGAACATTTCATAGATATCTTCTAGCAATGGAATTGGACGTTCTTTGTCGAATTTAAAGATCTTTCCCTCTATAAATGGATAATATATATATATATTAAGAAGATATCGATGATAGGGTTACCTCAAATGATCGATTATATAAAGCATAGGTAAAACCTGTGATTATAAAGGCTCAGTTTTGTTTAAGATAGGATTAAGACGAGAGACACTATGAAATTAAACTGGCTACGATAAAGATATAAAGTAAATATAGTATTATGTACATTATTTATCTATTTCAGGAGTTCTTACCTAGAAAATTTATTCTATTACTATATGTTAAGGAAATACCGGAACTAATTAGTTAAAATTATTAAATATTTATCGGTGAGAAATCAAAAGATAATAAAGGATAATTTATGCAATTAATAGTGAGTGTAAGCTATGAAGAGACGCTTTAAAAAAAGTACTGGAATAACTATAGAAAATAGAAGATTAATATCAATCGCCTCAACTATCTAATGCAAACGTTCTCTCCTCTAAATGGGTCAATTTATCGTGCATTATGACACTGATATTCAATTGTTGCGACATTTAAAAATTATTACCTAGATAAAGTATATAAAAATTATGTTGTGATTGCCTGCGGATATGTATAGTGTTATAAAAATAGGTAATTATAATTGTAAGGTAAAACTAGATAAGAAAACATTAAATATCAATATGAAATATTATAAAAATTTAATATTAATATGGAATCGCTCTGTACTTTTAATGTGGATATGTAAACATTGACTATCTGAAATAGCACAGCCTAGACCATAGCTGTAAATATAGTTAGCGAAGTTCACGTATCATGATGGCATGTTGTATTATTAGTTGAGGTATACAAGCACAAGTGTAGGGAAGTAACGCCAAGTCATATTGATACAAAGCTGTAAGGATGTCTAATAATTAGTGAGTACATGATGATTCGGTCAACTGGAGTGCATACTGTACTGAACTTGGTGTAACTAAGTGTTGTAGTCCATGTTGGCGTACCTGACTGCTCATAATAAGTACACTTATTTAGACTCGTCCTACGTACGACATAAAGTAGGGACCTAGCGTAATAGCGCAAGCTATTACAACCAGTTGTGAATAAAGGGAACCAATTTAAAAGGTACTTTTAGAGCAACTACGAGTAAAATAATAATATAGATACATAACACCAACACAGATGAAAAGAGAAACGGAGGCAGTTTATATAATTACCGGAAGTTGAAAATAGTTATAGAAACATAAATCAATTTCGATAACTTCTATCGTCAAATTCAATAGATATTTCTGTAAGTAGAGGATTTTCACATTATTAATCTAGATGCCCATACTAAAGTTGGTGATAATTAAAATAGTCAACGAGTGAAAAAGGTAGTCTATCATACCGTCTTAAGTGGAAAATTGGGAAACCGAGTTATCAAAGAAATTCCGTGAGAAAAAAATTAAAGATACCGTAATCAATTTTAGCTTATAGAAACAATTTGGGTTCTGCTTTTTTATTTAATTAATTTACGGATCTTTCTCTACATGAATAGATTCATCTATCACTGATTTGAAATACGGATGTTCACGCTAATAGTATTTTGAATTATCGAGGCTACAAAATATAAAAAAAAATTGGGTATGGCCGCTTTAATAACAGCTTAAGTGAATATTTGAGTACTGAGACGAGAAGCTATAAGGATAAGTTAGTGAAAGGCTTCGTAGAAATAGAAATACAAATTTAATTAATTCTTTCATCATCAAGTTTTATAGATACTTTATCTAAAGCTGATTGAAGACCAATTTATATAAAGTTGATATTGGCGTTTATAAATCTAAAGATGTGTAATCAACAAGCCGATAATTATGATCATTCAAAGTTTATCTCTATAGCATTTCTGACGAAATATTCAGTAGAGAATATAGACTGAAGTAAGTGAAAGAAATATCAAAGGGAAATATAATAACTCCAGTTGGAATACAATGATTATTCAAATTGTAGTCGTCTATTTTAATGACGATAACATTTATATTTCATCTTGTGAAGGATATCAACGCACGCCGTTTAACATTCATTGAAAATCGAAAATATTTAATTTAGATCAATACTAGATTACGTGATTGCCTTGTCCTAATAAATATCACGTAATTGATTGATTAGCTTGACGTGGTGGCATATGCAAGAAGATATGATTGGAACGTTTAATGATTGAGTGACATTAAAGTGAAGCTGGATTATATGGCATCTTGTCACCTCATCACTATCTCGATTGATAGATGGATGGAAACGAAATTTCGAAAGGGGTGTAAAAATCTATTTAAAGATGGGCTAGACAGATATATGTAAGATAAAAGCAATCCTGTTTTAGAGATCGAAAATAATCGTATAAACAAATATGAGTATATATGTAGAAATATGATTTATCGTTAGCTTATCATACCATCGCTCCATTACGATGTAAATTATACAGAAATCTCTTTCATATCTGGTACTATTTTGTTATTAAATTGTATAGTTAGAAACACAATAACAGAAAATAAAAGATATGAAGGTTTGATGAATTAAATCAACATCCTAAGAGTCGATTTTGAAAATATTTGAGATATTTATTTCTACGCTATTGCTACCAAAGATATTTAATTGAAAAATTTTTGTTATAGTGGCATTTCAAAGAGTCTATTATTGATCATAAAGTAAACAACTATACATCATGAAATAATGGACTTTTTAAGATTGAATGAGAAAGTAATAATGTTAATATATAAATAAAGAAATATAGAGAGAAATTATTATGTCTAAAGCTGTATAGGTCATGACATGACATGGCTTAATTTTCGATATTCAAGTGAAAACCCAAAACTTTTTGCCTATCTATAGGTATTGCAACAATTAAGCATAAAAGCAAGAGCAATAAATATCGGCATATAATATAATCGTATTAAGTCGAAAAATCAAGATAGAAACTTGGATAGCGCCTGCGGCATCATACGAGTATCGGCAAGTTTATAAATAAATTGCAGCTCCTTAACTTCGATTTTATTACGATCTCATTTACCGTGATCAACCGTTGCTATAGACGTTGCAATTAAATATGCAAAAGAAAATTAATCAATATCAGCCTGTAATATACTCGTGTAATGCCGAAAAACCAAGACAGAAAGTTGGATAGTGTTTATTTCATCATCGAGGCAAGTTTGTAGATAAATTGCAGATGTATCACTGAAATCATTACGATCTTACTTGGCATAATCCATCGTTAAAATTAGTACCACTGTCTAGGGAAAGTAGTGAAGGGTGATAGTATAGATTCGTTTTGATATGCATATTGGAGTACTGAACTCAATAAGACTATCAGGGATAGAAAGATTTTCACTAAAATCCATTGATGTTGACGTTTACTGCTTTTATGAGAACGGCTACTAATAATTGATAAAGCTTGTTAAAATTTACAAAAGAGACGAGGTAAAGAGGGGTGGCGTTAATTCATTCTAGCATTAAGCAAAAGCCGACCATCATTTTAATCTAACAACAATCGATCACAATACTATAAATAGTCAATTTTCAATTAGAATTAGTCCTAATAACTAATAGAGGGTTATGAAATATTCAGTAGAGCTAATGATGACTGCTGTACTTGTAATAAGTTTCTATCGCGATATAATTATCGGGATAGTTTCTATTTCCTTGTATAAAAAAGAAAAGGACGATATTTTTCAATTTAAAACAATGACAGCGATAAGGATGAGGGAGCTGTCTAATATCAATGACAGATTTAACATATATTCAGTAAAATAAACGATTTTAACATTTGAATTTTAATTGAAATGATGTGGAGTAAATTAAAATCACGTAGATCGCCAATTGACAGAATGATGATCATAAGTAAAATTAAAATGTAGTGGTACCACGTTAACAAAGACAATTCCTTAAACAATTTATGATGTATTTCCGAGTGTGAGCGCAATCTTGGAAAAATAGCCATTCTTGCAATCATATTATGACGGGGCACAAGCTAGCAAATATACTGTCAATGATGGCTTCCTAATAAGAATAAATTAGAGTACAGGAAAATAGAGTCATAAACTCAAGCATCAGAACTGCAAGTATGACGTTATCCCGGAAAAAGTCAAATCTCTAAGATCACTAAACTGCTATAGAATTCATAAAACAACGAGCGATGAAATTGCCAGTCAAAATAAACTTATTTCAATTACAACTACTATATAAACCCGAAAATAATTTAGTAAAATTTAGAAAAAATAATGCCAGTCCTTATAAAGCCCGTGAAATAGAAGGAATGGGAACTGTTTTTCATCTGACGTGATGGACGGAAGTTGTGCAGATCCTGTGTATGCTTTGATGTCCGATAGACAGGATACAGCAAGAGTGATGGCAATCATGCGACATGTCTTGCTATTATAAAATGCGAATAAAACAATTCAGAAATAGTTTCATAATTGAACCAAAGTAAGGACATATCAAGCAAAGTCTTCATGTTATGATAAATGAGCCCTGAATACCCTAGTATAAGATGTCAAGAGAAAATTTAAGAAAAGAGGAGTAAACGAGTCAGCACTAAACAACAATCACATCTTTGATCCAGTTAGCGATAGAGCACCTTTACAGGAAATTAAAGTAATAGACGTTTGGTTAAGGTAGGTTGACTCTATCTTGTGGTAAAGTAATTAACGATAAATAACTTACATCATGATGGATCCTATAAAATATTATATTAAAATTTGATCATCACGAGTAATGAAAGGATAACAAGATTATATTTTTACGCTGATCGTATTTAGGAAATAGGATGTAGAATCAATGAGCAAGAAAGAAAATGAAAATGCATTATGAAAATATGAAAATAAACAGTAAATTCTTTCTCTAGATACAGTATCCTCTAAAGTCATATTAAAATGGAAATGAATGATGTCATATAGAGTTTTTGAAGGATCGTGGAAAACACTTCTCATGGAGGCGAATGAAGCTATTGATCATAAAACAATAATTATTTCAGGCAATAGAATGTAAAGCCAAGTTGAACTATTTCATAAAACTGTAAGAAAGTGCAGAGCGCCTAATTATAATTATAATAGAAGTCCATGATTTTTATATTTTAAAACTAAATTCCATAGAAATAAAATAATATCCGTAATTGTCATACGACGCACTTACATCTGGATCATTTTTTGAACATCTCATTATATTCTTAATTAATGATTTACTGAAAATTTTCAATATTTCGCATACCTCTAATATAGAGTCTGTATAATATCGTGCCCATTTCATCAAAGTAGAAAGTACGGTGAATGTTTATATTTTAGTCTTTCATAAATGATATTTACTGTTAATAAATATATTTTCGAGATTTAATCATTTATGATTCAAATATTAGCGGTAGGACTAATAATTAAATCCCGATAATTCGATTGTAAATTATTTCGGACCATCTTTTTATCAATATTAAATAATGAATAACTGAAAATTTTAATACTTCGCACAACGCAAATATAGCATCAATAATATATATTATCTGTATATATCGTGTCCATTTAATCAAAATAGGAAATATGATAAGTGTTTCTATTCCTGATTTTCATACATGGTACTTACTGTAGATGAATATGTTTTGGAAATTTTAACATCTGCGATTCAAATATTAACGGTATGACTCATAATTAAACTATGAATTATTTTTTGACCATCTAAATATTAACAGTAAATAACGATTTACTGAAAATTTCAATATTTTACACATCACTAATATAGTGTCAGTATATAGCGCGCTCCTTTAAGCAAAGTAGAAATTACAGCGATTTTTTTACTTTTTTAACTTTCATAAATAGTACTTACTGTTAATGAATTAATTTTGGAAAATTTTATCATCTACTATTCAAGTATGAGCGATGTGACCCAATTAAATCGTAAAAGTGATTGTAAAATTTTCAATAGCAACAAACTCAATGACTAGACTCAATGCAAGAATTTAACTTAAACTATTCTAAGGGTGGATTTTCACTTACTATAGTCAATCTCCTTCTTTACCATGGCTTTGGATATTTCTTCGTATGTTGATTCGTAGATATTAAGTTTTTTACCAGTCAAATGCTATAAGATAAAATAATACAGGATAACCATTAAAATACTATACAGAAGAAACTACTAAGTGAAATAAAAATGGAAAGAGGAGTGTCATAATATGCAATAATTGAGTGGACCTAGAAATAAATGCAAATCAAGAGCGATAATTTTATCCTACTTTCACAAATAATAACGATAATTAAATTGAATTTTTATAGCATTCAATCGATATTTACTTCTAAATCTGCATCATGGAAGACAGCTAATTTATTATCTTTTGTCAAAAAGACATCCAATTCGAAACCGTCAACATATTTCTTTTTAAGAAGACTTTCAAATCCATCCATAGTGTTCTCTTGGTAAACCATGGGATTACCGCGATGGCCAATAATCAATGGCTTCTTCTTGCTATGAAACAAGTGATCTTCTGGAATAACACCCGTTGCACCAGATACACAATCTGGGAACGGCTTGCGAGCTCGGCGGAATTTTCTTAGTAATCTGCCAACATCATCGGCTATCAATCTATGATAGAGGGGGTCAAAATGCGATAAGTCATGATCTGTAAAAGAGCTTTGCAAAGTATTATAGACTTGGGAATATTAAACATTACACTTCACCTATACGAATAGGTATAAATTCGTAAATGTCATTCTCAAATTGGAAATTAAATCTATATGCTGCATATACTGTATACTATATATCACGATATATAGGAGAACTTTATAAAGATTTGTAGATAGTTCTACTATAGACTTGGGAATTATTAAATATTACATTCCACCTATAGGAAAAGGTATGAATTAATAAATGTCATTCTCAAATTGAAAATTAAATCTGTATGCTGCGTATGTGAGTCATGATATATAGAAGGACTTTGCAAATACTGTAGGTAGTTTTGCTATAGACTTTACTATAGACTTGGAAATGTTAAATACTATATTTTGCTTATACAAAAAGGTGTAAATAATAAATATCATTCTTAAATTGGTAATTAAATCTGTAAGTTACTTATAATATAAGCTACGATATGTAGAAGAGCTTTACAAAAAAATTGAAGGTAGTTTTAGGTCCCTCTCTCCTTCTCTTTAGTAATGCCAGGTTTTACTATAGCTTAGAAAATTTTAAATACTACGTTCTGCCTATGCGAAAAGGTATAAATTGATAAACGTCATTCTTTAATTGGAAATTAAATCAATAAGCTGATAAAGCTAAATAGAATCTAATATCTTACGTAGAATATTAATGTATCATTAATTCTGAAATACCACAGTTTAATTTTCAATCTAAATCAATTCTTGATGAAGTAATATAATTTAATTTTATAGCTGATTAAGGATAGGTTAGGCTAAATCAACGTCTTGTCCATAAAACTATGCCACCACGTGGAATCTACCGATTTATGCATATCTCGCGGTCGAAAATAAAAATAAAAAGTAAAAGACAATTTCCAAAGCAAATTATTGCAACTATAGCAATGAATTGTAAAATACCAAAGTCATACGAATACTATAATCATTCAGATAGAGCTTATAGTATAGAAATTAGCTAAGGAACCAAATATATTAAGCGCTTAGAACTCAATTAAATATATTTAGAAAGCTATTTTGAGCGAGCGTATGTAAACTATCGAATATTATTACCTATCAACTCCCCATTTCATCATATTGTCAATTTCTTTTTCTTGAGCGTCAATTTGTTCTATCGTTTGTGCCATCCTATAGATAGTGTAAGCCCCACCGCTAACTTGACCTCCGAATAAACCTTCCATTTGCTTTTTAGTTAAATTACTAACTAAAGGATTATTATAGACTAGCGAATTCATAGTAAAGAAAGAGCCATTATAAGTTTTCAAGACTGCGCCTGTTTCAAATAAGAATCTCATAAATTGCAATCGATCGGGTATGGCTTTGGAGCAAGCTTCTAATCCAGGGAAGGATCCATATTCTGCATGGCTATCATACGTAGCCGCTTGGAATTCATCGGGATAAAAGTAATTACCGACTACTAATTTAGGATTGCTCATTTTAGCAGCGCGAACTTTCCAAAAATCGAAAGAATTAACCACGGATTTATTTTCCAAGTTATACTTTCTAACGATATTACCAACAGCAGCACCGATTTTATTGATATAATTCATATCTGGCTGTTTAACAGGTGTGTCAGGTTTCATCTTTAAGAAAAGCAAACAATACAAATCTCTCCTTAATATTTAGCTGTAAAAATTACCAATTTCTTAATTTAAACGAAAATTGAAGCATTCATACCACAAGCGTATCTGAGGCCATAAAACGAAATGATCAAACTAAAAAGCAAAGAAACGCGTATATCCCACTTTGAACAATGCTCAACTACTACTTTAGGCCCATAGTATATCAATTTACAATAAACTTGTTTTTTTGTAGCTTACTATTGGAAAATAAACTATCTTTCATTTACTTACCTTTGGATCCATTTACCTCACTTATCAAGCACTAGTACTACTTAATGTAACGAATTCTATTTTTTTTTGAAACTGTGTCTTAGCAGAACGATGACTTCGATGCAAAATAAAATTTACGCAAAAAATATATATCGCCAATTGCAACGATTTATGCCTCGAGTACGGTACTTTATCAGAGTAAGTTATGCATAGCAAGAATTGATTGTTTCAATCAGTACAAGAGATTTAAGGTATGTAAGAGTCCTGTTTATAGAAATCTCTCTAACTCATAATACACGAAGAACGCTAAACATGTTTAAATTTCTAACAAATTCGCAAATCTTATTATAACTCATGTAATTCTAGGTTTACCTCAATAAATATAAGCATGTCTTCGTTGACAAATCGTTTTAATATGTCGTCCAGCAAAGGAAGCTTTCGTGTTTTACCAAATTCATATGTATTTTCGCCTAGAGAGAAAGAATAGTACGCATTAGCTATAATTTTATAGATACTAATGCTATATAGAGAAAAATATCTATGCATAAACGTTAGGAAGGGCAGAATTTCGCTTTGCTAGTCTGACTATAATATATTTTTAGGCAATAGGAATTACACATAAATAATACGATCATATTATATTATAGGCATTTTATTGAGTTATAACGTTTTATATCTTGTTTATAACAGAGCTACACCAATTACTATAGCTGTATATTAAGTACCCATATTTATAAACTTACCGTATTTCATTGTTGCTTTCAAATTTAAGTCACTTAAAATCTCTGCGTAGGTCATATTATAGATGATTTTATCAGTTCCAGTCAAATGCTGCAAATATAGTGCAACAAATTTATGGTTACGATGGATAATAAGTTATTTACCACTTATCCAAGATACAAAGGCAGTTAAATTGAAAATATTAACTATCTTCTTATTACACCTTTCTGGCTAAAACAGTACTGATAGTAGCAATAGTTTTCCAAAGTATGATTGCTGTTATAATAGCGGCAAATAGGAGAGAATACATGGTATCAAGATGGCAGATGACGTATGATTTATTGGATTAGCAATTATATTCAATGCCGAATATAGACTGTTACCAATATGCAATTTAGAATTGCGTCTGCTAACTAAAATTAAATGAAACGCTAATATAATTGTCTAAAAAATTAAAATTACAAGTACTTTTTTACGTATCTTAGCACGGAAAATAAGTATATATCAGCTGCTTTATGCTATAGAAATTGCAGTTCTATAGCTATTCCTACTATATTTTACTGCATTTGCTAATTATCAATTTATACATGCTAATCTTAGTTAAGTACGAGCAACTACTTCCATATACCATTGTTATAATGCTACCATAAATTGAGAATGTACATTTATCAACTGGTACGTGAGGATATAGTGTGCAACCTGCAATGTAGTTGCTATCGATTTATGCCTAAGACGATAGCGTTCAAATAGTATTACTAATAGATGATATTAAATTTGTATATACGACGACGTAGAAAGAACAGGAAACGCCCAAATATTGTCTTTAAGAATATATATATCCATCTGTAAATATTTAGGTTCCAGTATATTTAGTACTGGCATACCAGTGGTTATGATTAGCTAACGTCGCCAAATACTTGAAGTATTACTACTCGTACATGCAAATATTTATTATGCTTATCTAGCTAACTAGTTATCATTTTTGATCTACTTCAGGAATGACTAATAATAACAATAATTGCTTGGCTTTTACTATTACATGGTATAAAATTAGACTTCTTAAAATTTTCTATGTTATCTGTAAATACAGTAAATATATTTACTTTGGATTAACTAATTTAACTTAAGTATAATTTTAAATAGTATCTGATAGTAATAACCCAAGTTTTATCAAGTGCGGCTAAGAAATTCTTTGCAATATTGAATGTTAAACTGACATGCCCTCATAGAACTTCAAGCGTAAAATATCCAGGATATATTATCATCGACTTTTATCTATGCGAGTAATTGAATTCGATTTTTTAATGCGGAAATACTCATTGCAGTTTTGTGCGTTACATAACTTAATTATGTCAGTCATAGCGATGAAGAGATACCGTTCTGATTTGAATAAAATAAACTGTTCAAGGAGCAGCACATACAATAATTTTCTGTGAATATCGTGCGGTTAATGGAGTCATTTAAGAATTTTTTTAAATTTCTGAAATTTATAGCTGATTTACCTCCGTATGCGGCTCATGAAATAGAACTAGTTGATCATCTTTCGTTAAGAATACGTCCAATTCGAAACCATCAGCGTTCGTATCCAATAAGCTGACGAAACCATCAAATGTATTCTCTTGATAAATGCGTGGATTGCCACGATGACCAATAATCAAGGGTCTATGGGTTTTATTATTTAAAATATGACCAGCCGGTATAGGTTGTATATGTGCATTTTTGGCTAGACAATCAGGCCATCGATTTTGTGCTAAAAGTAGTGGTAAGATGGTAGCCAATATGAGAAAAACTGAGAGCAAATTGAATTTTCTACTCAGCATCTTGATACTTTACACTTCAACAAAGCTGTATTGTATCTCGATTCAGATTTTATTTCGCTTCTTGAGCTACGTTAGATGACTGGCTCTAATGGTCCTTAATCATTCAATAATATAGGCAGAGAATGCCGTCAAGGCATCTCCAAATACTAATGCTATTGTCGACATCCTGCTAGATCAAATAAACATGTTTATCAACTAGAATATCTAATGTCTTCTTTATGAAGATTGATCTTGCCATCTGTTGTATATTTCAAGTTCGCTATTTATTTTCATTTCTGCACACGCCAATGATATCTATGATACACCAATCAATCATGCATTTGGTAGTTCTAAATGAAACATTTCGTCCACTGCGTTCTCTTAATCAGTGGGTGTGAAGTGTCAAAAATATTTTTAAATTACGTTGTGGAACTAAATAAAAAATTATTGGTGCTCATCAAAGTAAATACCACTGGATTTTGAGGTAGCACCTACTGTGTTAAGGTAGAAGAATTCTAATGCAATGGATCACTGCAATTATTTTACAATTTAGGTGAGCTATCAACGGTAATGGTGAACTGATATCCTCATTAGAGACTCCAGTAATGGCACCTATTACGATGAGAATTAATTAAAGATGATGAACTTATAGCAAGTTTATAATATTTGCAAGCAAGATATTTCGATCGTTGTAAATAAAAATATGGTGAAATATGTAGTTATGCAATGGCTCTACTCATTATACACCAGTCAAATTTCTAATACATTAACCTAGCTTAATCTTAATCATGAAGCGTTACTGTTGCTAAAATACCTAGTATTTATTTAATTACTAAAAGTATGCTGAACTTGCTCTTCGTTTTACCTGACTATTGCTTATTTGCTAGAAGCTTGCCAGCAGTATCAAATGGTTTCTACTATGGAATAAATATTCCGCTATCGCTGTAATTTTTCTACGTATTTTTAAGCTCCGAAAATGTTAACCTTTGAGAATTGACAGTTAACCATAGCAAATAAACATTCTGCTATCATTGAACTTACTTTATGCATTTATAAGCTCAAAAAATTTTAATCTTTGAAAATCGATGGTTATGCTAGAGAATAAGCATTCTATCATCACGGTAGTTATTTTAGGCATTTTTAATCTTCCTACATTTTTAAGCTCCAAAAATGCTAACCTTTGATTCTTAAAGGTTGTTACGACTTATACTAGAGAATAAATATTCTGCTATCGTTGTATTTATTTCATGGATTTTCAAGCTCCATAAATGCTAACGTTTGAGAATCAACCGTTTACACTAGAGAACAAAGATTCTGTTATCGTTGTACTTATTTTATGCATTTTAAGGTTCATAATACTAACGTTTGCGAAACAATAGTTTATACCAGAAAAAATATATTTTGCTATCGTCATACTTTCTACAGTATATGCATTTTTAAGTTCCAAAAATGTTACCCTTTCAGAAGTGGCGATGTACGAAATTAATAAGAAATATGGTCAGATATATTTCAGTTAGCTATATCAGATCCTAAAAGTGATTAGACCATATGAAATGGAGTCCATTCAATAACGGATTATATATCGATCGATACATTAATGCACTTAGGAGTTTGTGTCTCGTCTAAAATGTTGTCATTACTAACAATTTCATTAATTGGAATCGATTTCCTTCAAATTATCTCCATTGATAATGAACAATATTAATCGAAACCCAGTTGTGACCCACCTCTGCTAATATTCCTCTGGAGTTACAGGAGGATCATAGCATCGAGAATCAGCGTACCTGATTCATGATTAATCAATTAAATTGATAAGCAATTTATCCAATATTGCATATTAATTGATGTTCATGTATGTCTATCAATCGTAGATTTTGTTGTAATAAGTTAGATAATTAGTAAACTGAAGGTAGATCATCCCTAATATCCTTAAGAGATGAACCAAGCTTAAGGAGTAAAATGAAGAATAATCTGAAATACAAGTGCGTTTTTAATATTTTAGAGACACTTTATCGTATTTCATTTTTATTAACCTCACTCTTACCTTTAGTATTTTATGGATATCATCTATTTGATAATAAAATGGAGTTACTGTTCTAAAATAAGATTTACTTTATAGCTGAAATGATATTAACTCAAAGCTAGAATGAGCTAAATGGATGGCAGTGGCTGCTTTTTGAAGACGATAGACTAGCCATAATATTACTAAAAATTATCTGCTTTATTTTAACTAGTCAAGTTCCTGTTCAAATGAATGGGTATTTAAATATATATTCTACACAAAGCAAGATATTGTAAAGAAATTCGCAGCCAGATTATTTCTTACTATTGTACTCGTATAATGTACGTATTAGGGGAAATAGTCTATTCTATCCCGATTGAGCAGCTAATGACGACGTAGTCATGATAAAACAAATTAAAGCATGTTACAAGTATTATCTAAAAGGAATTGTGATATTATGAGAGAGTAATCTATGTTATCCCGATCGAGCAGCGTAGTTGCCATAAAATAATATATGTTATAAACAGTATCTTGAAGGAATTGTAATATTATGGGAAATAGTCTATGCTATTCCGACCGAGCAGCAATGGCAACATTGCCATAATAAAATGCATTAATACTTGTCCAAAATAGCATCTTGCAGGAATTGTAATATTATGGGAAATAATCTACGCCGTCTTGACCGAGCAGCTATTGGCACTATAGGTATGAGAAAATGAATTAAAGCTTGCTACAAACAGCATCTTGAGAGAATTGTAAGATAAGAAAATAGTGTATGCTATCCTGATCAAGCAACTAATAGCAGTATTGTTATACCAAGATTAAAGGATACTGCAAACAGTATCTTCAAGGAATTGTATGTAATATGGAGAAAACAGTCTATGCTAACCCAATGAAGCAGTTAATGGTAGCATCATCATGATTAAATTAAAGCCTGCTCTAGATAGAATCTTGACTGAATTGCAATACAATTTTATAGCGGCAATTTTGACAGCAAAGCCTTACTTTAGTAGATTGTCAAGTACCAAGCGCTATGATTACGATTATACTAATTCGCATCATCTTAGAGAAGACTGCCAATCATAGGTACTGTTTATTTAATTATAAGTTATGCATTGAGCATGTAGTTCAATATGCAAGCTATAGGACAGTAGACTACGAAAGAAGGGGATTAGACCTTGACAAACTAAATCGTGAATTCATACCAAATAGGGCATTGAAAGGATCTATCTTACTGTTCGGATTATCGCTCTATCACAAGACCAATTTACTCAAGGGTTATACTGGCTTTTTTTTATGATCGAAAATCGACTACCTGACTAGCGTCTTAAAAAGTAAGATGGCACCGAATTTACAGTGACCTGCTTGTCCTATTTTGCTTTGTATGAGATGGACTTTGATCAAGCTGTTTATTTGAATAATTGAAGGCGTAAACGATCTATAGACATGTGTTTATTTATTCTTACTTATATTAAAAAATCTTGCATGAAAGCTATGATAATAAGCAATGATGGTATGATCCTACTCTTACAAAATCTCTTATGACGCAGCTTTGTGGGCATGGTAGCATGTAAAGAACTTTGATTGGTTGACAAGATTAGAATCGCAAATATCATTTTTAAACTCGATTTCAGTGCCAATATTGTGCAATTTTGTATAGTTGAGATATTTTTATTCTCTTGTAATAAAGAAAATCTACTATTATCAGGGCTTTTAGCTTAATTATAATAGTTATCAATCCTTTTCATAGCATTATTTTAACATTTTTTAAGTTTGTTAGTAACATTCAATCGAATGGTAATTTTGTACAAGTATGTGAGCGTGATATCGAGCTATATAACCTACATGAAATGAACGAAATGCAGCCTAATTTTAAGCAGTATCTAATGATATCACCATCCAAGCGTATAAGTTTGATTTTAAGCTATGTAACATACATGGAATGAACGAATTGTAGGCTAGTAGGCTAAGATGAAGAGTTATAGTACATTAAAATGTGTGGTAAGTTAGAAAATTATTTGTTGCCAATTTTAAGCTTTATTTAATGATAATCCTGTCCAAGTGTGTGAGTGTGATTTTGAGCCATATACGATACATGGAATGCAAGAATTGTAGGCTAATTTTAAGCCGTATTTAATAATATTTCTGTCCAAATGTGTGCATTTAATTTTGAGCTATACAACGCACATGGATTGAGTTCGCTGCAAGCTGATTTTAAGCCGTATCTAATGATAAATCTGTCCAAGTTTGTAAATTTGATTTTGAACTATTAAATACCCATAGAATGAATAAATTATAGGCTAGTAAGCGTTAGTCTTAATGATGAAGTTAATTTGTCTATGATAGAGGGTGAAAGTTGCTAGAAGTGAGAAGTAAGTTAGAAGAATTGCTTATTACCAATTTTAAATAGTGTAGTCAAAGCCAAATAGTGGCCAAAACGTATTGTGTTTCGTTAATTACTCATTTGCTAAATCTAGTTTTAAATTAAACTGATTGCAAGTAACACTAAAGTACAGTATTCTATCGCAGATATTGATAGTACTACTCTACACTTTACCGCCAATCCATAGTGAATGATATGCACAGTATTGTAAAAATAAGTAATTATATTGTAATTATAAGGTGAATTAGATGAGCATATAATAATTAATATAGGCATTTTGCAAAATACCTAAAGGATTTCAGGTATTTTGCAAAATGCCTGATTTCGCAAATTGCCGTTGACAGAGTCATTCTATCAAGCCCATTTTTCAAGGATTCTAAGTTTTGTGCCATAAATCCATAGAGTCTAAGGGTAAAAATGTATTCTGTTCCGTCCTCAAATTTTTCACTATTTGCCTGACTTCGGGTAATTATTATGCATTAGCAAGTAAAGTTGTACTATTACTAATACTCTCATTTTCTGTAGCATGCTCCTGCTAATTTTATTACTAGTAAGAAATAATCTAGCTGTGAATTTTCGTTTAATGCATAACTTTGTGTAGATATATGTAGATATATGTACCCTTTCATTCGAACGGAAAATTTACTAGTAATTGATAATAATACCAACCACAGTATTGAATCGATTGCAATGCATAGACCAACTAACATAACGACAGAAAGTGGAGAAGAGGTTCAAATTTGTATAAAGTTAAATAACTTGCTCCTATTCTCTTTATATTATTGAATAAGACATGATGATTAACTACGCGTGATAAAGTACAAAATAATAGTGAAGCAAGTGGAAAAACTTGATTGTAATACATATTTTTGACCTTGCTAAACAAGTAAGACTAAGTAAATTAATGCTATAGCATTTGTGAGATAAGCGGGTAATTTATTTGAAGAAATATCCATTTCCTATTTTAAGAGGTGATTAAAATTCAGAGTTGAAGTACAGTGACTATTGTCATTCAATAATACTCAAAACTATTCGATATTGCGGAGAAAAAAGGATGAAATGACTAAAAGACAGCATCATAAGCAACAGAATGCGATTCTAATTATACCTGTTCACACATATAGAATATGCAACCAATAAGATATGTTTTAAACTATGCTGAAACGAAATAGTAGCTGAAATAAAGATAAAATGAACCCTATTTAAGCTATTAAACTATGTAGAAATGAAACATGAAAGAATGAAGGATAAAATGAATAAGGTTACAGGTAGTCAAGCGATCTGGCAAGGAGGCACCGGAAAAAGTTTTAACATAGAGTTCGAATATTTAAATTGTTAGCCACTGTACCAATCCAAATATGAATAACAAAATAGTAGCAGAAATAAGCGGAGTGGAAGGTAAGCTGCTGGAAATAGTACCGGTCGTTACCCATACAGGAGTTGAGCTTGTAGAATAGTTGCTGTATCTGCCGATTAGTTTGGCCGTTCGAAAGGGATCATCTGTAACTAATCGCTGCACTCCCCATTCCACCATAGCTTTATACATAGGTTCTGCAGCTTTCAATTGCTGATCTGAAGAACCCATTCTATAAAGAGCCCCAGCACCGAAACTCGGTTGATGACCATATTGCTTTGCCAACGCGGCTAAGGTTGTTTTTTGCAGATAATTGGGAAACAGATAATCATCAATATCAAAGAAAGCTCCTTGAAAAGATTTCAGGATCGCACCAGTTAATAATAAAAATTCTGTAAATTTGGGTCCATTAGGCAGAACGCGTAAACATTTGGATAAACTGGTAAAGTTGAGGTATTCCTTTTTACTATCGAAATTGGGAGTAAATTCTCCTCGAAATAAAAATCCACCTGTTACTAGGTTAGGATTGAGCTTTTTAATGACCATCGTGTTGTACGTATCGAACGAGAATATAAAAACTTTCGATTCCATATTATATTTGGCAATAAGATCCACTAAAGCCTTAGCAACCCTATTAGCATACTCGAAGCGAATACTGTCTTGCTGCGGTGATTTAATCTAGTTTGCCAAAAACAGCCCGATGCCCAAATGGTTTTCGTAGGAAAATATAAATGATTGGAGAAAAAATACATTGAGATTTTCATTGCTGATCATTTATACGAGTATATAGTATAGAATAAGACTTGATATTTGTACTTTTATACCGCAACCGTATATCATGTATTTTAACCTCTGTGTAAATGATAAAGCTTTCATTTTGAAACTTTTTATAAATATCTTCCAGGAGTGGAATAGGACGCCGTTTTGAGAATTTGTATCTTCTATTTCCTGTATCAAATGACATTCCCGAATTAATGGTGAATTACAAAATGATGATATCCGTTTCTTCAGTACTTTCATCTAATAGCAACGGTAAAATGATATACGGGCATGTAAAGGGTAATAGTAAATACTCTTTCTGGATAGTTAGGCACAGTATAGGATGGCAAATTACGCTTTAAATTTTTAGATTCACAAACCGGTAGGAATACTCTAATTATTATATTGCAGTACAGAGACATAGGATCTAAAAAAATGATACAAGGTATAGTGTGCGAGCTATTCTAATCACTGCAATAACTTTGATAAGGCATTTTCATATGGAAATTATACAGCTAAATTATACATAAAAAGCGTCGATCAATGTTCTTTAAAACCTGATGATAGCACGTCGCTTAATAACTATGATAACTACTAGTCAATAAACAATATTTTATAGTAAGCAATAGCTATCATCATTTAGCCTAGGGTATTCAAAGGTCCCATTATTAGTCAATAAATAACATTTATGGCAATCGATGTCATCGTTTAACCCATCGCAGTAGGTCTAATTCCTGGTCAATAACTAACATTTCAAGTAATGGCTGTCATTATTTCGCCTTCTGTAGTAAAAGGACCTATTACTGGTCAATAAATAAATAACATTCAAAGCCATTGATGTTATCGAATAGCTTACTACAGTAGGTATAATTACTGGTCAATAACTAACATTGAGAGTAGTAGCTATCTTCATTAAGCATTCTTTAGGAAAAGGTCTCATTGCCGGTCAATAAATAACATTGAAAGCAATATCGATATCATCGTTTAACATACGGTAGTAAAAGATCCAATTGCTGGTCAGTAAATTAAAAGCAATCGAGATCATTTAGCTTACCGTAGGTAATTTCGTCCGTAACTGTTAGGTTCGAAATTTCATCGTAGGTAGCTTCATAGACATTGATGTTGCGACCAGTCAAACGCTATCGGATAAGCATTAGAAATATTAAGCTCATTTAGAGGATCATCACTAAAATTTGCAGCTAGAAATAGTTATGAACAGGTTCTAATCTAGCTTTATGCTAGCTCTCTCCTAGCTCTCTTATTTCAAAATAAATTTGCAAATTTAGATGATCGCTTACTGCAAGATTGCCGTCGAAAATGGTAACCAATTCATCATCTGCAGTTAAAAAGACATCGAGTTCAAAACCATCGATATAAGTCTTATTTATAAGGCTTTCAAACCCATCCATCGTATTTTCTTGAAAGTGCATAGGATTGCCCCGATGGCCAATAATGAGTGGTTTCTTCTTAGTATTGAAGATATGATTGGAAGGAATGACTCCAGTAGAACCTGAAATGCAGTCTGGATATTTTTGGCGTGCTCTGTTAAATTTTCGCAACAATCTACCAACATCATCGGTTATTAGCCTATAACATATAGTTAGATTTACCATTAGACTTCCCTAGTAGCAAAGAAATGGTAAATGGTTATATTAATTATCAAGAAGATATTCTTAACTAGTTAGTAATGTTATACCAAAATACGCGTAAGTACTAATTTTTGTTTTCTTCAGAACTCAAGAATTCATCTGCAGAAATTCTTAGTAAATTATATTACACCAACATAAAGTACTAATTCCGTTTTACTCTTAAATCTAGGATTCATCTACAGACATTCTTGATAAATAATGTTACACCAACATAAGCACTAATTCCGTTTTACTCTTAAAGCAAGGAGTTATCTTCAGAAATTCTTAGTAAATAATATATTATACCAACGTAAAGTATTAATTCTATTTTACTCTTTAAAGTTAGCAACCATCTCCAGACATTCTTGGTAAATGATGTCATACAGATATAAAGTACTAAATTCGTTTTACTCTTAAAGCAAGCAATCATTCGAGGTATTCTTAGTGAATAATGTTACACGAATATAAAGCACTAATTCTGTTTTGATCTCATAGCAAACAATCATCTCTAAAAATATTCTAAGTAGATAGTGTTATACCAACATAAAGCTTTAATTCTGTTTTATTCTTAAGCTTAAAAATCATCACGATACATCCTATCCTACAGTAATAGCAAGCAATTTTTCATTTTATCCTGACTATTATGTCCTATTCCTTACGAATTTTGTTGAAATCCTTCAGCAATGCAAATTTTAGCTACGATTTGTCTTAGAAATGACAGTATAAAACGGTGCCAAGTTGTCGATTTCATGTTGTTAGAATCAATTCTATACTTATATATTCGATTCGCATACAACTATAACCTAGAGATTTGCACAGACAACGATCAGGCACTACACATATTATAATTTACAGTACCTTTTAACTCCCCATTTGATCATATTGTCAATTTCTTTTTCTTGAGCGTCGATTTGTTTTATCGTTTGTGCCATCCTATAGATAGTGTAAGCGCCACCACTAACCTGACCTCCGAATAAAGCTACCATTTGATTTTTAGTTAAATTACTAACTAAAGGATTATTATAGATTAGCGAATCCGTAGTAAAGAAAGAGCCATTATAAGTTTTCAAGACTGCGCCTGTTTCAAATAAGAATCTCATAAATTGCAATCGATCAGGTATGGCTTTGGAGCAAGCTTCTAATCCGGGGAAGGATCCGTATATGGCGTGACTGTCATAATTTACCGCATCGAATTCTTCAGGATAAAAGTAATTACCGACCACTAATTCAGGATTGCTCATTTTAGCAGCGCGAACTTTCCAAAAATCGAAAGAATTAACCACGGATTTATTTTCCAAGTTATACTTTCTAACGATATTACCAATAGCAGCACCGATTCTATTAACATAGTCCATATCTGGCTGTTTAACAGGTGTGTCAGGTTTCATCTAAAGGTATCATCAATAGTGGAGTAGAACATGAGATAATTGAGGATTGTTAAATAATTTTATGAAGATTATGAGAGATTGAACTAGTGTGTTAGGTTTAATCTACAGATATCCTAAGCGGTGGAGTAAGAACAAGACATTATCGAAGATTGTTTAAATAATTTTATAAAGATTACTAGGGAAATATTGATACTAATGATAGAGTCTTGATGGAGTAAAATGAAGAGGTCATGGATAAATATAATTCGGCTCAAAGTAGTTGATATTTATCCTTTCTTCTCCGATTATCGAAATTATACTGGGTACTACCTTATTAAATTATTTTAAGATAGTAGAATCACTGAATAAAATATGAACATATTCAAACTTGACATGGACGTTTTAAAAAGAGATACAATCACTGTCAAGAATGAGTTAATAAATTGAATTTAAAATTTGGCCAGGTACTATTTTAACACTATTATTTTGAGATAGTAGTACCGCTGTGGTAAGGAAAGAACCACAACATAATATATTGATGTATTTATACTGAATAGGAACGTTTAAATTAGGATATAAACACTAGAATTAATAAATTCATAATTGACTAAAAAATTTGGCTTGTTACTCCCTTACAACATCATCTTAAGATAGTGTAGAATCGTGTTAATAAAGAAAAATTATAATGTAAAATATTAACGTATTCAAACTTTATATGGACGTTTTAAAGTGGGATAGAAACACTTGAAATAATAAATTATCGACTCTAAAACTTGAACAGTCAGTGATAAAATGATACTAAATAAGACAAAGCAGTCTGATAGAAATTGATCCCAGAAGCAATAAGACAACGAGTCATTAGCTTGATATTCATTTTTACTATTCCACATAGATTTTTACCTCAATAAAAATCAGCATACTCTCATTTTCAAAACGTTTTAGAATATCGTCCAGAAGTGGCAGTGGGCGTGTTTGATTAAATTCATAGACATTATTGCCTGTAGAGAAAATATTTTTGAAATGAAATAATGGTCATTCAGAGCAATAGAACGATGATATAGAGATACATGATCACAGCACTTATATTACATCATTACTATCATATCAAAATTCATTATCATTCACCATATTTTAACTTCTTCTTCAATCTTAATTGGCTGGAGATTTCATCATAGGTCATGTTGTAGATAGTTTTGTCTGTTCCAGTTAAATGCTAGATATCACCGAAGAGAATTAAATCAGGTAGATGTCAATTTCTAATTTCTTAAATGATTTACTCCATTCTTTATGTTCTCTTTACTGCATTTATTCTACGCCTGAGTTGTACTATAATTTGAAAATGGTTACTGGTATCAAAGAGAGAATGATTCTGTAATACTTTGTCTAGACATCTATTTCAATTTATCAGACTAATTTTGAACATGAGGAAATCTATTGATTGAAGACTATGCTGCTATAAAGAAATGGCTACTGGATTTGCTAAGGAAAACTGAATACAAGTATAATATTTCTTTCACCATTTGCCAAGTTAAGCCTACGTACAGTATATAATAGCACTGCTACTTAGCACCATTTCGCATCGTGAGCATAATTTTTTCACCGTTTATGTCCTTAGTTTACTATAGCTATCTACCATTAACTTTAGGTGTCAACAATCGTTTATACAATGACAAGAGTTAAAAAATTGACCAATCTTATCATGGCTACGTCTATGTCTATAGTTTATTAGAACTATCGATAATAATTACTTAAGGAATCAATGATCGCTTTTTCAGTGAATAGAAGTAACATTAACAAATGTTATGATGGCTAATACTTTGAGTCATTTTAGATTACACTGAGTACCGGGATTGACCATTTCTGAGTCCGATAAATCTGTAACATGGATGACGATAACGTTCTAGCTTGTCAGAGGAACATTAAAAAGATTTGACTATCATTTTAAATGCTTGCTTTAATTTCATGAACAATATACACCGTTAGGTTCAACACAAATTGAAACTGGATTCTTAGTGTAATGCCTCCTCAGGCTGCTATAAGTTTAAACATCCTGATCTTTTAAAACATTTCAATGTATTGTGCATCCAGTAAAGCTCAAAACGAATCTTTTTCAGTTACCTCAGTGTTTGGCTCGTGGAACAAAACTAATTTGTCATCTTTAGTCAAGAAAACATCCAATTCGAAGCCATCAGCGTTGGTATCTAATAAACTTACGAAACCATCATATGTATTTTCTTGAAAAATACGAGGATTACCACGGTGGCCAATAATTAATGGAGGTACTTTCTGACGGAGGATATGCTCAGCTGGTATAGGCTGAATATGTCCACTTTTATCCGTACAATTAGGCCACTGTGTTTGAGCTGAAACTGAACTTAAAAGAACCACAACAAGTATCCCAGCGTAGTTCCACATTCTATTTCGGTTCATATCTGCCATTTGGTAATTTTGCTAATAACAAAATCAAATTCAAAATGCCAAAATGGAATGTGCAATAATACCTTTGAACACGACTAATTATATCATTTAGTGGGGTACCATGGTGGTAAAGTCTTTTAGGATTGGTCTATCATGATTCGTGAACTTCTTTTCCAGTATTCAAACCATACATGGCATCCTACTGGAGAGTGATAAACAAATTCTATACCATGCTTATTATTATCCTATTATTTCTTTAGATCTGATATGAATAAAGGTTACTTTTATGTTTCAAGGCTTTTTCTATAATGCACCGCCGAATCTATTATGCCCATTAAGCTAATAACGTGATCAAATTATTCAAATGCTCTTAATATCGGATAATAGGCAGTATCTACCAAAAGAATAAGTCAAAAATAAGTTTCTAACTAACGAATGACAGTACTTGTGAGCAGCTATAAGGCATATTGCAAGTTATCCTAATATCTGATGACTGTATTTGGTACAAGATTGTTTTTGTATCAACATGTTGCTGCTATAAAAATTAGCTTCGTTTTCTGAATAAATCATTTACTGAACTTTTAATGCATAACTATCTGATGACTGTACGAGTATAAGATCTTGATCAACATGTTACCGTTTGTCACGATGTTGATTCTTGTTATGTGTAAATTAATTCTAGTTGGAAGTGCTAATGGACGATGACATGATTATGTTTATGATATTGAATTTAACACCAACCATATTATCTATCCAGTTATTGTTAATTTTAGTCTCTTAAATGATTTAGTGGTGCTGATTCTCTAGGTCTTAATTAATCGTTAATTGATTTATATTAATTAAGGTTGTTTACTGTTAGATTCTATAGTATATTATATTATAAATTTATCTCTCATTCTAATATTAATGTAAGTAAATTATACAACCGGCATATTTCAACAATGCCCCATTCGTTTAAGGCAAATGTACGTAAGCCAGTGTAGCGAATTAGTTGATTAGTTGCTATTTCTTTGTTGTACGATAAGGTCTATACTTTTCGGGTACTCTTAGAATAAAACTCATTCAGTTAAAGAACCTTCTAGCCACTTATAATACTTGCGAGTCTGTAGTTGGTCAAACTCGTGGTATTTCTCCTTAGTTAGTAAGATTCCTGAAGTAGCTAGTAGCCAAGTTTGGACGATCACAAAGACGACGTTGTGACACTGTTATAAAAATCGGCTTCGTTTTATAAATTCTTCATTTGCTGAACTTTCACACTCGTAGAACATTCCTTATAGCATTGGCTATGGTTCACGAAATGAATTGGAAAGAAATTTTATTTTATTGTGCATTCTATAGAACTAAAGCGACATAGCAGTTTAATTAACAGAATGACAATAAATTTTGATACTAGACATGGTTACTCTTAATATGCCCAAAATGAATGATGCCTTATTGTGGAATGGTACTTATGAGGTAATCGAGCCAAATCGAATCGATTGAATCATGGAAAAGATGGAACTACTGTTATGTTTAAGCTAGAATTAGCTATTTAGGCTTGATAGAATCCAGACGGCTATCTATCTGGCCGCTAGAAAATCATTTATTTATTATTTATTATGCATGCGTATTTCAATAACAATTCAGCGTCGGAGAGCTATTGCACCTACATTGCATGATATTTGTTGGTATGAATGGTTTATTTGCATTTCCTATAAATAATATTGAATCCCTTATTATATAAAGAAGAATAAACGAGTTGGACGTAGACTGTGATTATAAATATTCCTAAAACGTGTTACTCAGCCACGATAATGTTGAAAGATCAAAGACGGCGAATAGTTTTGATCTTAAAGTATTATAAATATTGACCTTAAATTTGAAAATACATCTCGTTTCCACGATTCAAGATTCTTATGATAATATCAAGGTAGAATGATGCAAATTTTATTATAATTGCCAATTAATTTTAATTACAGCTATCTAGTTCGATTGTAAAATAATCTAATGTATTCCTATGACTGTAGTTTTACTTTTTTAAGCAATAACCACCATCAAACTACTGCTTAGAGTAATTATCAACTATTTTAAAATGAACTGTGCTCAATTTAAGGGCATTTTGACTGAAATATTGGAATATTATCGGTAAAATGGAGAAATATAACACAATATTTCATGGTGCTAAAGTCAAAACATGAGTTAAGAACGATAAACATGAGCGTGAATCTTGGACATTCCTTGTTCTAGAATCCATAGCGTACGGAAACTTGTTTTAGACAACTGTTGGGGATTTTGGAAAGATCACACCAACAATTTTTAGGTATATAATATAATATTTAGGTTATGTCGAAAGCTGAAACGACAATGCAGCTTTTAAACTGAGCGTAATATAGTACTAAAATTGAAATTGAATTCATTTTTGCCGTTATAGATTATATGCCGAACCTTTCTCAGGTCTAGTAATATCTTAAAAATGCTAGATAGAAGATAGAATTACTGAAATAATGTGCGAAAATTAAAAAATAAAGGCTATGAGTTAGTGAAATTGAAATTTGAATCCAGTTTATGTTCTATACGTAATTAAATATAAAATTGCAAGATTTGGTGATTTATTGATAATATTTTAGATAGACGGTAGAATTGCTGAGATAATGTGCGAGATTTTGAGAAATAAAGGCTATGGCCTTTCAATTGTAAGATTTGGCAATTTATTAACAATATTAGATAGTGGATCGAACGATTGAGATAATGTGCACAATTTGAGTGATAAAGGTTATAAGTTAATGAGCTGAACTTTGAATTCAGTTTGTGTTATAATGGAATATATAAACGTAAGATTTGGTAACGTATTGACGATGTTTGATAGAAGATAGAATTACTGAGATGATATGCTATGAGATAATATACTAAATTTGAGGAATGCAGACAAGAATTGTGAATTGAAACTGGAATTCAGTATATGCTGTTAAAATTTGTAAGATTTGGTGTTGTATTGATGATGTTAGATAGAGGATAGAATTAATAAGAAAATGTGCGAAATTTAAGAAATAATGAGTTAATACATTGAAACTTGAAATCAGCTCATGCTATTATAACCTGGGGGATTTGGTAATATATTGATAATGTTAGGTAGATGATAAAATTACTTAGATAAAGCGCGAAATTTGAAGATTAAAGGAATTAATAATTAAAATTTGAATTCTGTTTATGCTGTTATAATGGAATAAATAATTGTAAGATTTGGTAACATGTTACTAATGTTAAATGAAATGATGAAATGACTGAGATCATGAGCAAAATTGAAGGAATAAAGTCTTTGAGTTAAGGCAATAATGAAATGATCGATTTCTGTTAGAGTAATAGTGTAACGAGGTAATAGAATAATCTACCGTAGTATGGTGTAACAGATAATGATGCAAAATCATCTTTTCAACTTTCTCATTTGTTTGGGGTCATGAAGATCTTCTTTATTGTATTGCTGCTGTTATTAATCATACAGTAATACTCTTATATTGAACGTGACAAGAAATTCAAATTCTTTGCAAATAATTGAATCTATCCAAGTCTTTTGAGTAGAACTTAGCAATTGCATTTATAGATGCGGCAAACCGTGTCACTTTAAATCGTAGATAATTTTAAGAAAAGGATAACATAAATTTTCGAACAATTTAACGTGTTATACAAGTTCGTATAGACGCATACATCGCCAGTCTAGCAATATTGCTAAGAGTTGATCAGGAAATACCAACTAGCTCAGGAATAGATTAGCTGTTTAGCATTCATTCTCTTTCATGTTCTCTTTCATTACACAATTACTACCAGTACTATAGGAATTGCCACTTAAGTAGTAGTTAGAAAGTCGCCTTAACGAATGTAGATAATAAATTTCTTCAATAAAATGGTTAATTTTACAAACGTATTCCACAGCAATATAAAACATTACAGCTACTATTTTGATTCATCTAATCATTAATCAGTTTCATTCTAAAGTTATAACTAATTGTATCCTAAATTGAGCATCTGAAGTCAAATAGTTAGCTTGCATACTCATTGAGTATATATTAGTGATAATTGTTATTGTTAACGAATAAATTCGTTAGCAGGTCTTGAAAGATGGAAATTATTACAAATATGGTATTTAAGATAGATACAGAACGCGAAATAAATCGCCAACTGTTGAAGGTTAGGGTTAGTCTCTGGAAATTGAAGATTTAAATTAGAGTAATTACAAGTTTTCATCATCCAAGTGATAATAACAGTTCAATCTATGATTATGAATAAACAAAAAAATGCTATGATAGACTAGAATCGATATTAGTTAAAACCACTCTTTCAGGACAGGAAATTGATGCAACTAGTAGCTATAAATGCTGTAATAGCTTACAACAGGTCAAATTAATAATAAAAGGGGAAGTGATGAAATCAAGTTAAATTTAGATAAATTTTTTTATCAATACATCGTCAAAATTGAATGCTGGCTTTAATATCTATCGAAAAAAGACCAGCCAATGAATCTCTTTTCACTTCAAAAACTTTCCTTTTTCTCCTAACTGTTAAGGCTAGTCAGGGCGTTATTGGAAGGCGAGGAAGGTGATAAATGGCTACTGCTACTTGCACTGCTACATTTAGACGGACTTGAAATAGATGCATAACTCGAGTAATTTGCTTCTATAAAGCGATTGATGGATATATCATCAAATGACTGCGCATTCATTCCTGCATATCGGTCTCCATTTTGATCGCCAATGTAACCCCATTCGTCGATTGTACTTTCACGACTAGAGTAAGGCTCTGAATAACGCCTTACTCGATTGCTTTTCTCCTTTATATTTTCTGCCACTTCCGAATTGCATTGTGCAATTTCGTCAATCTGTTGATGATCTGTCGAAGGTGAAGGTTTTGGACAAGTCTGTAATAACTTTTCTAGTTCAGACGGTCCATCCTTTGGCTTTTGACGTTGATATTCAATTTGAGTTTTCAACCATCGAGACATGACCATTTTTTGCATCAATTTCTGCCTGTCTCCTTCTGATAATCGACGTCTTTTATTCAAGGCATTTAATAGCAGTGTGATATTTCCAGCTTTAGCTTGAATTTTACATTGACGCTGTTTGCTTGTATTTCGACGACCTGCCGTTGATTTCTTCTTACCCATATTCAATCTGTTTTGCTTTTCATAACCTGAAACTGATGGTTTATGGCATAGCGGCTTAGGTTGCGCTTGTTGAGCTAAATTGGCCTCGGTACTCATCTATGAAAGATAATTAAGGTATAATCATTTAAGTAATTTACCTCAATAGCTTAGTAATTATTAAATCTATCTTTAACTATATCTGGTAATGAAAACAATTAGTAAATAAGCAAGTCTAGTTAATGCAGTAAGATATATTGCTTTAATCCTTTCTTACCAGCGTCGAACTTGAGGAGTAACTTTTTAAGTTCATGGTAGCTGAAGTATCTGGCATCGTGTAAGAGCAATTGACTAATTCTTGTTGGTTGGGGTAAGAACAGTTGTAATTTTTTCGGCTATCTTCACTAGTATATTGTGTAAAACTGGGTATAGCTGTATAACCATGACCATATTGAAAGATTGGTTCTTCCATGGATAAGGTACTTGTTGTTGGATTAATGATAGGAGCAGATGGGTAATTTCTAGTGGTCGCTGGATAAAATAGGTCGTTATAATCATCAGAGCTTGTACTAGCGAAAGACTGATCGATATCGACATTCGGCGCACTAACAGAAGCTGCCATATCATGAAGCTGAGACATGGTAGGCTCTTGGTTTGACATGGCAGTCATGACTGAGCTAAAAGTAACATTATCACTGGATACTGATGTTGAAGTCGAGTTAAAATCAAATGTATCCATAGAAGATTGACTGATTGGGCAAGTGCTGCCCGTTGTTGTCGTCAATGCTACCGAGTGTTGTGTTGATGGATAGGAATAAGCAATTTCTTGATCTAAATCAGTGGTTAAATCCATCATTTCTTCAGTAGGAGATCTCTCATTGGCTAAAGGCGACGGCTGATATTGGATATCATTATGCCTTGATGGTGAAGGATTTCCTGCCGTAGTGATTATGGGCGAAAGGGGATCCGAAATAGGGCTGTTCGAGTTGCCTATGCCATGGCTACCCTTAGAAGTATCATTTTGGTAAGCTGGCTCAGAAGATGCTTGAATTTTATCTTCTGCTTTCCTAATAATTGAAAGTTCTATTGATTAATTGTATACTTCTACCATATTCTATCTCAATATACGAGTATTACAGACAAGCAGCGTAATCGACATACCTAATGGCAACGTTGTCACTTATTAAGTAATCAATTTCTCCATTCTGTTGCCGAGAGACGCCAATATTGGATTTTAGCCATGTACAGCTGCCACTTTTCGTTAACAGTCGGTACAGCACATGATGACAATGGCCTTCATTAATGGCTATAAAAATAACACGAAACATGGTGATGATTAGCAATTGAAAATTGATGTTAGCCTTAGAGTATAAACTTGATAGACTGATAGCACAAAACATGGCGGTAGTTTACGATTGAAAATCAATGTTCTGTATTGCTTTCACGTTAAAGTGCAAACTTGATAAACTGACAGCGAATAGAATCTTAAACAATGTCTGTCATGGAAAAGCTATGGTTGACTTTAAAGGTTATATTTGATAATAAATAAAACTTTACCAATTATCGCATTGAATTTACTAACTTTAAAGATGCCAAGTTACATTACAGTAAATACAATCGGATCTGACCAATTTGATAGGCTGTCTATCGCAAAATTTATTGCAATAACATCGTAGTAATTTATTGTTTTAATTGTAACATATCGAAATAGATTGTAGAAGGTAGGATAGGAATCATTTGTTACCTGATTTTTGGGCTTCCTTCAAGATTGAAACATCTTCCTCATGAATATAGTTAAATATTGGCTGACCAATCATTTCATGGAATGCATACCCAGTAATATCAGTAAATCTGCAGCGTATTAATATACAAAATAAATCAATTTCTGATTATTTATAAGCTATTTAGTAGAACATGATGTAGATGAGAACAATTTAAGTATTACTTGGCCGTTAATGACAGTTCTGCTTTTACTGCTACATATGAATTCTATTACTACTGCACAAAAAGTATTCTAGAACGGATTTCGCTATCGTAAATGAAAGTGACGTATGGAACAAGCATATTCTACAGCGTAAAGAAATACCGTTGATCAATTTGCTGCACAATTCCGTTAACATCGCATAGCATTCTTGCATTGCCATTGGGAAGATCGCAAAGCGATGAACTTTTCCTTTTGCTAGCTAGTCTTGCAATACCGGTTAACCAAATATCGCGCACCAACTCAACATTATTAGACCCAGATGCTGGATTTGGTGAGGCAAGTGGAAAGCAAGAAGTCATAGCTAGTCGGCTAGATGCGGATAAGCTATAGTGATCTCCAAATTGGTTATTGCGTTGATTTAGTGACTGCATTTTATCAACCGCTGTAATAGAATAGATCAGGAAATTAAAATACGATAGAGGTAAAAAGTTGTTTACAAAGCCTTAAATTACTCCATGCCTTGAGATTGCCTCTATCAGATGTATTTTGCAATTTTAAATGTTAAGATTATTGCGATCAACTAACCCACTTGAGTGCAATGTATAAATCCCGAGCATTGCAATTTGTAGAAAGAAGTTCTATCGACATTTTCAGAGATTCTGACTGCAAACGATAATTTTTGTCTGTTGCAGTGATTGCAAAAAAATTGAGGTTTGACCATTCCTATTGAAGAGAAGGAAAGAATGGATAACTTTAAATACGTTCTAAAACGGCTTAATCTTAGAGATTTGCTAGTTTTATATCCGGTAGATCATAAATAATGGATACCTTTGCAATATAGCTACATACCATACCGTACCTGATATTGCTGAACCGATTGAGGAACCAGAAATAGCAGGACAACCTGTTGAGTGATTGTGGAATTGATCTTGCAGTTGGATTACATCTTCATGATGAGCATAGGTGAATAAATTTCCTCCAATAACGTCCATCTACACCAAATTAATCAAGTTGATAAATATTAGATATAATATGAATAAAGGCTCTTCAATAATACTTAGTAACCAAAGCTAACTAGGCCCATTGTGAAATGAAGGCGATGAATGGACATAAATTCTTAATTTAATACAGCTACGTTGTTTCGTTAGGTAATTTTTTACTTCAAGGGCTACCTTACATAGTATAAACTTATGAAAACAATTTATTATAGATCATGAACGGTTTTCGATGATCGATACCTTACTTTCTAATCATACTACGACTAAAGATTATCAAAATGTGAGGTTGCTGAAGCTCCATCAAATTTTTTGCTGTGATATATCAATTTTAGTCTAAAAATAAAGCGTTCAAAAGCGATTTTCCAGTATTGTGTGCGAACGTTATGTCTTAATCAGGGTCAATAAAAATATGTAGTAGTTATTCCTTGAAATATAAATGAAATCATACCAAAGATCGAAAGCAATTTCTATTGAAGATTATAATCAAGACAATTTGATCCGTGCTTTCTATTACTTTAATAAATACTTTTAATGTATGGCACTAAATCATGCTAGAAGTTCCATATTATTACCTCGATCAATTTTTTTAAGATCTGTGTTTACAAGTTTATTAACGTTCCTACTATAAAAAATATTGATTGATAATGCTGCAAAATGTTCATTAATTCATATAATTGAACTACAGCTGCAAACATAGTCTGATCGGAACATAAAGAGAATAAAGTATAAAATAGAGGTAGAATTTTTACCTTATTACACTTAAGAACTGTCTCAATACTAGGAGAAACGAATAATATATGGCCTGATCGTGACATGACGAATAGAAATCCATCAATTGCCTGCAAAGAAAACGAAATTGTCAGATTTAGATTCCATGATGTGCCAATATCAAGAGCTAAATTAATACATCAGTGAAAGCAGAGATTTTTACTTCTAACGCCAACTGTGATAATTGGTAATTATCATCTTGAAAATTTGAGGATGGCTGATTGTCTGATTTAACATGATTTAATCATATCGGTTAGAAAATTAATAATTTAATAGCTGAATCATATCTCTGAACATAAATATGCCACTACTATACTGATATATACAAGATACAAATTTTGTCTAGTACAACAAATTTATCTTACCATAATCTTCCTGTTCTTGAGTACTGTAAGTCATCAATAGTCTTTCAATGAAACTTTTAAGTTTCTCATCACTAAATTTACTATCAAAATGAATAAAAGTACATTCTAAGAGATATGTATCAATAGCTTATTCATTACAGCATGAAATTCTTATTCTTAAATTTGCTATTAAATGAATAAAAATTTATTCCACGAATATATAATATCATTAGCGTATTCATTACGACATTAAATCCTTATGCTTAAATTTGCTATCTAAATGTATAAAAATTCATCTTAAGTATATATGTATGTCATTAGCGTATAAATTCTAGATAAAATAAATTCTTTGTCTGTCTTAATATGTATTGATAGCAACAATACTGTACAAAGTATTTTTTATAAAATAAACTTATGCTCGTGTCTGATTTATTCACGATAATTTATTATCATACAGATAATTTTATAACAGATTAGATGTAAAGCAATTCGAACCGTAATGAATCGTTTAAGTAAAAATTCAAGGGATATGCAGTCGTTATTAAATTAGCACATTTATTTACGTGTACTAATAGAATAATAGTGTACAAATTATCCTTAAAATTTAAGACTAATCTCGCCTCTAACTACCGTTTGCCGTGACTGATTAAATATATTGTATTAAATTTTCAATGGTAAATTAAAATGTCATTTAGCTCAATTAAACTAATTAAATAACATTTATGGGATATATTTTTGCGGCATTTATAGCAGATACATTCCTATATGCTTATAGTCTAATCTTACATTAATTGTTTATCAAAAAATCTAGAATACACCGTACTTGTTTTTAATTCTATAATCATTAGGGATCACGCAGATATTTGCTAAGATACTTCGATGAATACAATTAAATGTAATTAGTACTCAAATAAAAAATTAAATGAGATATATTTATATAAGTAACTGCTAGTATCTATATTATAATTATATGAAGACTGGTTGAATTTTCCATATAGGCGTTTAAATAAGATTATACTGATGTTAATAATGGATTGAAAACTTTTTCATTCTGTTTATTTGAAAGAAAAAATGCGTCTGTCGGCTTGTTGACATTACTGGTGCGATATCCGATGGAACGTAATAATATTGGTTAGGTATAATTTTGAAAGTTTTGTGGCCTTACAATTATCTTCGAAATTATGCAAATAAATAAAAGGATTTGTATACTTTGTATCGGTTAATCTTATAGAGTAAGTAATATATTAGGTTTGTTTTGAATAATTATAAATTCATAATACCAAGTTATAATCACTAATATTAAGCTGTACAGAAAGCTTAATTTGTGGCACGATTGCTACGATAATGCGCAAATTCTTTATCACGCAGGGGTCTAAATTAATTTAATGTATAAGTGTATTCTCCGTATGCAAATGCAGAGAATAGAAATGTCTTAACTGTTTTGAAAAAAAATTTTTAGTTGTATCGTATGATTTTTAAGATTAATAAATACAGAAGTCATTTTCCGCACGTTTTTAGCGTCTTCTTAGGTCTGAGTTGAATTTTGGTGATTTTTTTATCCTATGTTTATTCTAAGAAATCCTATTCATGGTACAAATCTATTTAATACTGTTGCATTGAATGCTCATAAAAGAACTTACGTGTATAGATGCTCCTCTTCTTGTGGATTAATCGTTTCCATTTTAACTCAATTTCCAACGATTATAAATTAAAATCGCTATATAGAGATGAAATCAATTTGAGTAAACTTAATTATCGGGAAAGAATTGAGTTGATGATAATTAGAAGTGCTGAGATGAAAGATAAGCATTTAAAAATGAAAAATTTTCCCTTTTTCAGACAAAAACATTGCTTAACATTAGCCTCTAATATTGCATGAAAGTTCAATTTTTTACCTTCAAAATAGGTTTAGTATGCCTTTCTTCTTCAGTAGTGTAAATGTTACTTAGGGTTGTTTCGTTGAGGTATTCACAGGTTAACTAAAGTAATTTCAAGGTTCCTAAAGGAATTTATCCTTTGAACCTCAGTAAAAGTTTATTTATATTCTTGTCCAAGTAGCCAATCAATGATTTTAAATAAGATATTCCAATAAATAAATCTGGCGACACCCTCCATCATTTATTCAAGGCAATGGTATTATTTTGAGTGATAATATTGTCAGTACCATGCAAGAATGCTAATTAGTCACGAAAGTAGCACGAGCTAGTCCAATGTGATCTTTCATGATGTTGAAAGCTATACAGTGAAGGCGATATTATTAAAGTTACGTCAAATTGTTATAGATATTGCTAAAATCGCTGGCAGGTGGTCTCTCTAGTTCAATATAGCCAATAAAAGATATGGAATGAATATGAGGTCACGGCGGAATTTATTTATTCTTGGAAGTTGTTTAGATTTTTAAGCAGCTTAGAATAACAGCAAGCTTACTGACTTAAGACAAGCATGAAATTTTACTATATGCATGAATATGCAATAACTAGTCACGTTTAGAAATAACTGCAGTATGTTTCAATTTTATGAGTATAGATAGTCCAGCTAAGAAATTTATGACGTATTCTCTCAAAATTAACTGCTAAAAAATCCATCATGCATCATTTTTTAATCACCTAATCAAGTATTGCACTTAGAACTTGTAAGTAACTAGAAGTAGTCGAGAATATCGTCTGATCTATGCTGAAGAAATCAGAAAAATTATGTACTAGTAAGTTATTAATCAGGCTGATTTAAGATAGCATATAAATTCTACAAGCCGATTATTTCTTCCTACTCTATATACATTTAAATCGCTAGCGATTATGCCTAAATGTTATTATTGATCTCAGAAGAACTTAGCAAGCACTACTGATAATATAGGATAGATTTGGAAGCAGGCAGAATTCATAAATTGAAAATTTAGAAAGTATCGAAATCCCTTATAATAGTTTATCATATCTTTTTGCGTAATACTTGGCTGTATTTTGATTTGATAATTTTATACACGTATAACTTCTTATGGTGTCGTAATAAATTCAAGCAAATGTTATATTCAATTTATCTGTATAAATGCTAAATATTAGTATAAAAAAGTCGTATATTACGACTTCTTGACAGTAAACAGTTATGTCTACTTAGTTACTTAATATTGGGTAACAATTTTTTTGTAACTTCACTCTTTATAAAATAGGATTGAATTAAGAATTAAAAAGGAAGGATTTTGTCAAAAATAGAACAAGAGTATAACTGTCAATTGTAGTCGTATCTTACTTGTCTAATTATATTCGGCTAAATCTATTATCATCAGTTAGATTGCTCAATATTGTAGTAACTTCTCCAAAATACTTTGGAATAATCAAAATACAAGTATATTAAGTATAGTCTTTGATATAATCTATTCGTAATTATTCATCAGAGGATATTGTATCGCTTCACTTGGACAGTACGGGATTTGAGTTATCTCAGTAATAATTTAATTTTAGTTGAAAGTGATAAAAGGAAAGTTTTTAATAAACTTTATCGTCGTTGTGACAAATTACGGCTTAGGTCTTACCACATTCTGATATCAGAATAGATTTTAGTTGTTATTAGCTTTTTTACGATTGATGATGGGGAGAATTTAATTTTACAGTATTTAGATAATCTAAATAAAAATTAATATGAGATAGATAGTTGTGCGAAAGTCATAACCATGTAAATGCAATTTTACCATAAATTATTGCATTGAATTTTATAGCCTGAGTATAAAGTATAAAAAAACATTAAGTTGAATTATGGAGTAATTTGAGTATAAAATTTAACAGCTATTTTCCTCGTTGTAACAGATTATAGTTTAGATCTTACATCATTCTGATATCAGATTAGATATTACTTATAACCAACTTTGTTTATAGTTGATGCATGAGCAGAATTTAACTTCGCAGTATTTAGATAATCTGAATAAAATTTAGTATGAGATGAATAGTTTATGATAATCATAAATGCAATTTTACCAAAAACTGCGATCATTAAACTTTATAATCTGAGTATTCTGCGAAAGAATAATGTTGCAAGAATGCATTAAGAAGCCAGCTACTAAAAAATTAATTTGATATGAACGGTATTGCTTTACAGCATTTTTATTTTTAAAGCTTAGAAGAATTTTAAAATAAATATCTTAAAAATTCAAACGAGAATAGATATTTGCATTTATCGTTTATATAAATTACATGATCTATACTACGGTATTCGATACTTAATTAACCTTACGAGATTCGTATGCAAATTTAATCAATAACTTTGGTGGAATACAAATCTGCCTCTGCTAAGCTTAGGCTTACAATAAATCGAGAATACAAGATAGATTGAAACGCTATAAAATAACTATAGGATATTGTTACCAATAGAGCACTAGCTGCGTATTGGCACTATATTGACGATCACTAAGGTGTTCATTATTAAACAATTTCAATCAATTTGAATGCTTGATCATATTTATTATTATTGTAAGAAATTCCTTTTTAATTGGATCCTAGGATTAAACATTTATAAATCAAAAATGAAGACAATAAATTCATTGGAGGCATTCCAGCAATGATGTTTATTTATTTCCATCACATCAGTTTTCGGAATGATTAATACAATAGAGTCTTATGAAGGCAACTACTAAATAGATCGACATGCAATCTCTTTATAACTCCATACTTCAGTATTAATATATACGAGGATTTTATATTTATGTGATACATGAATCTAGTACATATTCGACAAAAGTCTTGCATATCGTATAAATATAGCCAGTTTATAAGCAGATAAGAAAAACAGAACAACACAAGTTATACATTCAAATATATCAATATACCAGTGATTATTATACAGAAGTGCTAAATACTTATATAGCGAGATATAAAAGTAATGCATAGTTAATAACATATTTATAAAATTTAGGCGGCAATATGCTATTGTTTTCAATTGGTAGTTAGCCAAATGGATATGATGATGATGATACGGTATAAGGAATTAAAAATTTTATTGTATACTGCTATACGCTGTGCTTAACCATCTAATTTAAATCCATACATAGTAAACACATTCATAAGTCTAACTTCGATTTTAATCCAATAAATTAAGGTCATAATGTACGATTTTATGATTTTATGTTTTTAAGCATGGGTAGACAATATTTTGCTGAATTTCTCAAGATTATTATTATAAGGACTAAAAATTATTTTACTGTACACTGATATCAGTTATCAGCTGTAATATTATTGAAAACTAATATCTCACTCCCCTTTATCGTATGAGGGTGCAATTTTTATCGCATTTACATTTGTTAATGAGGAAAGTAAGTTAGCTTTGTAAGGTATGTATTCATTATGCTAGCAATATACAATTCTTTTTCTTTGATCATATTGTTGTCAATATCTTCAATATTCCTAGTTCCATGTATGTATATTTGAGCCATATCCTCTAAATGTCAGAAAAATACTAACTTGAAAAGCATGGTAATCCTATTTAGTCATTACTGATTGGATTATCACATGTTGCATCGTTTAATGCCTACTAATTTCAGTACTGATATACAATATTAGTAGAATTAGCAAGTAGTAAGGTCCGATTAGCTTCATTACTTTAAGGTTCTTGTCAAATTGGTAGATAGCGATTTTACTTAATCAAATATTTTCGGCACTATATCTATTACCTAGGCTAAAAATCATGATTGATGTTAGATACTGTAATATGCATAGTACATCTTCTGCCGGATTCTATAGCAGTCTAACTGATCATTCATTCAGGAGGTTTTGTTTACCAATATTTTTAGGATGTAAATAAATGCTATATATTAGCGAAATATCATGATAAGAGACTCTAAAAGGCTGCAATTTTGAATCATTGACCTAAATATTGACATTAGCTATATCTACTTTCTTGAAGTGCGTTCCATAACTGCTTCCCAGAAATTAGTATGATAGTACTCAACGTATATTCCAAATGGTAGATCATGACATCTTGTCGTATAAGTAAAAATAGCAATTATGAAAACATTCCCGCGTACAATACGCTGTAATGATACAATTATTTTTCTCATTTTTTCTTCAATAACACTGCAAAACATTCCCTTTGCTTAAAAACACTTGCCATTAAATAATAGCTAACAAATAATTTCCTTTTTAATTGTAGAGTAAAATTTCGAATACGTATAGGCTATGAATATAGGGTGATTTAATTTTTTCCAATGGCGAAATAAAATTAGCAGTATAGTTGTTAAACATGATTATATTCCGATTACTGTAGTTATGAGCAATCTTCATTAGTTGTAATGTAGTCGTTAGTCATGACAATAAGCTTCTAATGTTGATATACTTGTTTTTCAGAATCAAAATTCTGAAATATATTATAAATGAAAGCTTAATAGTTCTCTATCTGCTCTATTGATAATTTAACAGCAGTTATAATAGTATACAGTAGATCAATAGACTGGAATCAAAAATAAAACAAAATGCAATAAAAACAACAAATTTTTTAACCAGTTTTCAAAAGGATTCAATTTGGACTGATGGGTTATAATTAATAATAATAGAATATAATATACTAAAGTCATTTTTAATCATTTACCTTAGCTGTTTATTTCATACTAAGAACAAAGCAAGTTTATCAGTTGCTTAGTTATATTAGTGTGTAAGTAAATGCTGAATATAACCAAAATATGCCAAATTTATGAAATTTATACGTAGTTTTTTTTATAGAAGTAACAATGTCTACTTGAAGTAAACAGGCATCTACTAAAATATAAAACGATGCATCCATAAGTTATTATTTTGTATATGTCAATGGTGAAATAAATAATAAACATTATTAAATTACGTAATACATGCAAATTTGAAAGCAACCGAATATGGTATGTATGTAGATACATCATGGTCCTAATGCAAAAAATATTTTTCGTATTTCAGTCAATTGCATCCGAGCAGATGTTGCTTCTACGAGTATACACGAAACTTTTGTCTTGCTTCTTACTAAATATTTTCTAAATATGAAGAGTTATTAAAAGCTATAGTTTACTCTTTGATGTAAATAAATATAGCTCGATATTGAAGCTATCACCAAAAAATAGTAATGAATTTATGCATGAAACGTAGGATATTAATGTATTGCCGGAAAATTATAGGAGTTATTTTTGATGTTATAGCAAATAAAGCAGTCTGGTCTGCTTAATTGAGGACTTTCCAAGTTATCGTTAACTATTTGATACAGGAAGCTCCTTCTAGTATATAGGAAAATACTGTATATTCGGGTGTCAGATGGATAAATGCATACTCGTAAATATTTATGCGTTTAGTTTCAAAAATATTGGAGTGAGAAATACAGAAATTTGAAGGAGTGATGAAAATTTTACCCTTGACAAAGATTTATTGCTAGAATAGGTTAAAGAGTCATATAATAATGTTATTAGTATCTCAACCGTAGGTGAATTTCGTAATTGTTTCATGATATACTAGACAGACAGTAAATTAATTTATTTACCATATAGACATAATGATAAATTTATTTCTCAATGGGGAGTATTTATCAGAAAATGCTATGCTGGATATGTGGTTGATTAAAAATAAATAATAGCTTCCATTTCAGCTTATAGTGCAGAAAGTAATGATCCCCAAATCTTAATTACAGGCATATTTCTTGATCGTAAATGATCTAGATACGTTAGTTTTATCAATTCATCTGAAACCATCAAATGGAATATCTTTTTCGACTTGCTTCAGCGGATATTGCTGTTGGTATAGATCAGCATTCGACACTTTTACAAGCATTTTGTAGCAGTAGCTATAACCTTAACTGTATAGTATCTATTATAATTAATTATAGAAGTCACATAATGATAACAAACCTTGGAAATGCATCATTCCTAGCCAATTATGGCTAGGCTCAAGTTATAAAATAATCGTCTACTTGTAGTACTTTGTATATATAAGATGGGCGTAGCTTGCCTGGCCTTTGCAAGCTCAGCAGGTGTAAAAAATTGCAGACAATACAGTCTTTGCCTAGAGCAGGAATTATCGAAGAGAGGTAAAGACAGACTTAAAAAAGTGCAATAGTATTTAGATGGCAGTAAATTATTTTTTTCTTTATTATATGAGGCTTGTATTATGATACTGAACCTAATTAATAAAATCAAAGATATGTGCTATGCTATAGATTTTTCATTGCATATTTTTCAGGCTATCAAGTCAGAATTAATCCTGTTTTATTATAAACTAAGTTGCAGGCGATCTCGTTTACTTCCCTTATTTTGTATTCAAGATAGCGCTTTTTTATATAATTTTAAAATGCCACCTTATCTGAAATTTTCTCGCAATTCGTGACTGAGATGATTTAATATCGTTAAATTGAAAAAGATGTAATGCTAGGGTAAGGAGAAGGCGGAGTTTGTATCATAATTATGCATTGCTTGATCTCCTTAAACGCATTATAAATATGCCATACATAAGAATAATGTATTCTATGCTCTTATATATATTATAAATGTTGTGATGCGTCTTCGTTTACGTTTGATCTTCACCCAATATAGGCATCCTGCTTGTATTGCATTCTATGCCTACCCTAATTGTCTAGTGGTGCAGCCGTTGGCTGACTATAATAATATGTAATATAATCAAATTGCATATCATATTTGCCACTATTTTATGGTAATATTAGATATGATGTGTTCTGTAGGCTTATTATTTATTTATACACGTACGAAAGATATGGCCTACGTACTACCATTGGCAGGCTGGGTATATTCCGATAGCCTTACGAGCATGTCATGCGTATTTACGAAGTCAATAATATAATTTAGCTTTTGAATGTTAATTTTATGCGGCTATTAATATTAAATATGAATAATATACATAGCACATCTATAGTGAGAATATTTTTTTTATATAATACTTTAGGACTAACTAAATTAAATCCACTATATAAACTCGCACATATCCTAGGTAAATGCTAAATCAATTATTACAGCGTCTAGATGCAGACTTACTGTATTGTGTCGACAATGGATTGGTACTTTGCAGATAGTGATTTAATTGCATATACAGTCTTAGTTAGCAGTGAATTTATTTTATCCTTTTCCTTATTTTTAAGAGTAGAACTGCATGTATTTCGTTTACTGTAGCTACTGAATACTAAATACAGAGAGCATAGACAAGTATAGACTCGTAAACTAGAGTATTAGAGATCTCGCTTAGGACGATTTCGTATATTGTAGGTATTCAGTTCATTGAAATTAATATTGTTGCTCTACCTACGGCTTCCAGTTAGGATTTTTTTGCAATGCGGTATGATCTAGCAGTTAGTTTTCCTAGATTACGTTTATTGTGTGTGATCGTGTCTTCAAAAGTATTCTGTTTAGAACTTGATTTCTTGCTGACTTTGCTTTTTACAAAATGGGATAAAGTATCTTAAGTTGTTACTTACAGACCTTCCAATATTTTATATGACAATCGAACGTTCAACTTCATCTACTTTTCCATAATCTTGCAATTTTAATATCTAAAAGTTCGAATATATTCAGTGCCGCAAATGACTACGGTAAGATCTGTCAATATCATGACAGAATAGATACCAGCACAATCTTACCATCCAATTTCATCTACGAGTATTTTCGTCCAATCATATAATTTTGATTTGAAGTTAATTTGGGCCCGCATTCCATGTCAGTAGGAAAATGTACTCTTAAACCGTAGTAATCATGGACACCTACCCCCAACACGACGTCACCGTATAATTCGAGCTAAATTCTTCTATCTTACTGCATAGAATGAGATATTGCCACCGTAAGTGCTATAGAAATTGTAATTGTGCAGTGGATAGGCTGTCATTCAAATTAAGGCGATCTCTACGGGTGTAATTTTGAAGCAAAAAAACTGATGTGGATGGGCACCAGCATATCAATGGACTTTCTCCATCTATGCTGCATACATCGCGAGGAAAACGAGCCCAGAAGTTGTTTTAAATTAACAACAACTACTCCCCATACCACTTCACCTTACTATTCTAGCTAAAATCTTCCTTATTAATACACACTATGAGAAATATCGTCCATAAATGCTATCGAAATTGGAATTGTACTATGGGTATTTGAATTAAGACGAAGTTGATGGCTGCAATTTCTGCAGATAGCCTGATATGGCGGACACCTGTACATCAGTTAACTTTCTCCATTTATGTTGCATACATTAGCAGGAAAGTATGCTCAGAAATCGTTCTAATTATGGGGCAGCTACTCCCTAAACAACTTCACTTTAGTATGCTACCTAAATTCTTCTAGCTTAAGCAGTTAAATCCAATCATTTTGGACGCTTTCATCATCACTTAGACATATTGCTGAATATAAAAATGTCTGCTCATAATGCAGGATTTATCTCATAGAAATCGAGCTAGGTGTATCAAACATATAAAATTGATAAGGGATTTGACTGGATTAGTTAGCTCAATCGTTCAGGCAAGATAGGCAGGCTTGCTCGGCCGTCTTGGCACAGTGCATAGAGGTACAGACGTGCGGACGGCAATGGCTTTTCCAATAGTGTTCTATGATGCCTTCGGAGCGAATAAAGTAGCAAATTGTGCCTAGAGATGTTGGCAGTAGCTCGATATTGATGCTATTTTCCTCTAATGTGAATAAGACTAGCTAGTTATGGCTTCTACTACCTTATAGACGTACAAAGCAAAGAGTGCAAGCTAAGATGAGAACTTGATCACGATTTCCAATTGCATTTACTTGCTACAAATCGATTGATTGGAATTATTACTCTTACCTAGTTCTAATTTGTACAGATTGGAAGTTGTGGATGCTAGCTATGGGGCGATTAGGTCACTTTCTATCCATAAAATACTCCATCTCTGCTATAGGCAAACAAATCATCATGCCTTATCCATCATTACGGGCTGTTGGCATCATGCCGCGATATATCGATAATAACGCATCGGCTTGGATGGTAAATCGTCGTAGTCATTATTCTAATTCAAGGCGATATGATGGCAATCGACAGATATTACGTTCTAATTGCGATCGGTATCAAAAGATTCCATCGAATCCTCTCTTTAGCATGGAACAGTACAACAAGCCGAAGAGTAGAACTTTCACTACGAAAATAGTGCAACATTTCCCGAATAATTTTCAACCCTATCTGCGATTAATCCGTTTCGATCGTCCAATTGGTACTTACCTATTATATTTGCCTTGCACTTGGAGCATCTCGATGGCCGCTACACCAGGCCACTTGCCTGATTTGAAAACGTTGGCTGTATTTGGAATAGGAGCATTAGTCATGAGAGGTGCAGGGTGTACTATTAATGATATGTGGGATTCCGATTTCGATAAAAAGGTAAACGATTCTGCGATACTACATGTTAGGGTGTTTATCTTATTTGAATCATAGATTACTTTATACGTAGATATCGTTAATTATATGGTCTATACAGTATTCCACATAACAGTACAGTAAATGCTTGAGCAGATTTATCTTCTTGCAATTTGGATGCCAACTGCTGTAAAGTTATTCATGGAGAAGATGGCATATGATAGCTTGGCAAGCAGTAGAGTGTCATTTGTCTATGCAGTGTTCCACATAACGATACAGTAGAATGGGTAGATGTTTGAATGGATTTATCTTGTTGTAATTTGGATGCCAACTGACGTAAAGTCATTCAAGGAAAAGATAGCTTATGATAGCATGGTAACCAGTAAAGTGTCATTTGTCAATGCAGCGTTCCATATAACGATACAGCAGATGCTTGAACAAATATATCTTGTAATTTGGATGCTAACTGCTGTCAATAAAGAAATGGCTTACGGTAGCCTAGCAATCAGTAAAGTATCATTTGTCTATGCATTATTCCACATAGCGATACAGTAGATGCTGAAATAGATTTTATCTTGTTGTAACAATTTGGATGCCTACTGCCGTAAAATTATTTAATGAGAAGATGGCTTATGGTAACCTGGCAATCAGTACAGTATCATTGCACGTACTTTTAACGATATCCTTTTCTACTGGCTGTGTTAAGGTGCTAGCTAGGCTGCCATAGAGTATCTACAGGACATAGCTTACATTGAATTAATGAAGAGGATATACTGTAGTATTACAAATAATAGCTATTTACATAAATGGATTGAGTTAGTAGAATGATGTATCTTATAAATGATGGCTGCATTACATAATTTACATTTAAGTAGTATGATGCACCTGACAAATAATCGCTACATGGTACTACTTGTTGTTATTTTGTGCTAGGTTTTCCGAACCCGTGATCGTCCAATTGCTTCTGGCACTATTGCACATAAACAAGCATTGGGATTTTTAGCCGCACAATTGACTGTGGGTCTAAGTATATTACTATCTCTTAATCAATACAGTATCATCTTAGGAGCATGTTCCGTCCCGTTTGTAATTGTCTACCCGTTAATGAAACGTTTCACTTTTTGGCCGCAACTCTTTCTTGGTAATATAGCTAATAGCGATAGAATTTGATTGAATTGATTTACAGTCAGACTAGATTTTTACTGGCAATAATTAATTAACACGGTATTATACAGTCTACTGGTATTTCCTGTGAAGAACGCTAATTTTTATAAATGCATACTGTAGGGATCACTTTCAATTGGGGTGCTTTGCTAGGTTATGCTGCGGTCAATGGGTATTGCGATTGGAATGTTGTTATTCCATTATATGCAGCTAGTATCTCTTGGACGTTATTTTACGATACAATTTATGCCCATCAGGTTATTTTAGATTGCTATAATGATATAACACTAATGTCCAATTAACCTATAATTCATTTACACTATTTCCCCTTGACGAGTATATTTAATACTTTAATGAAATCATGAACTAAAATTATTGAATCAGTACATAGAATTTAATCCTAAGACTAATTTTTTATCTTTTTAAAATGGAAAGGATAAAGATGACGATCGTTTCATTAACGTCAAATCCACCGCTCTTCTGTTTGGTGATAATACCAAACATTGGTTATCACTTTTCGCCGGTATCACTACGACTGGCTTAGTATTGTCTGGTCTATCAGCTCATCAAACTTGGCCTTATTTTGCTGCTGTTGGAGGTGGATTTGCTCACTTACTATACCAGGTTCAATTATATCAGTGACTACAATTTTATACGTTTAATATCTTGCTACCGTACTAGGAAATATGATAACAGTGATATTTACCTTTGTCTACCGTTTATCTAAAAACTTGATAAAGTCTTGATAGTCATTTTGGCTAACCCTTTAATTGATTTTTAGATCTACAGTGTGAACATATCTAATACCGATAGTTGTCTGAAAGTATTCAAATCCAATATGTGGTATGGCTTAATCATATTTACTGGTATTATTGGAGGTAAATTACTACTAAGGGAAGGCAAAGAAGAACAGCAAAGTAGTCAATGAAATAATAAGTCTTAAAATTCCATGTTACGCATGCACAACCACTTTAAAGCTTGCGCTCTCATGCATGGATTTAAGAAATTTAATATGAATATTTCTATAAAGATACCTTTAAGTGATAAATTAATAATAATCAACTATTTATTGTAATTTGCGATGTACTTGCATTGTTTTGAGAAACTGATGATGAAATCTCATGTAGACTAAACTAGAAAATAGCTATCTAAATAAAATTGCAGGCAGCTACACCTTTGCAGCCTCAGATGATTAGAGAGTATCACTCTGTAAGAAACTTTTTAAAGATTGTCCTTAGTATCAGCGTTGATGGTAATGAAAGTTCCTTTGTGGCTATATTGTACGCTACCACAATGCTAATTTCATAGTATTATAACTAATAGCTTTTTGTTAGATTTTTAGTTCTGAAGCTGCATAGTCAAATTTAATTTCTACTCTTCATTCTGAAAACGTTTTAAATTTTAGAAAGGATAGTAGCAAAATATATACATTATGCTTTAATAATATGCGAATACTGTTTATAGATCACTGTGACAACTGCATATTTGTGCAACGTCTGTAAAATTTAAATAACATTTTATACTGCTATTTTTCGGTCTATAATTGCCATTATACCAAAGTAAAGAGTAATTTGTAATAGAAGAATTGCTGGACTATCAAATTACTGTCATAGATGATAATAATACGTATCTTTGTTTAGCGTTATACTTTATGCTCGTAGTAGGTACTTGCAGTATACGATTGTCACAAAACAGCTTTGCAACAAGATAACGTAATCTACGATCAATAAGTCAATTCCTTGAACTACGTATCAAGGAACGATATCTGCACTATCACGAGCACTTTTCCTCTACTAGCAGACTACACAAAGACTTAAACGCCTCGTATTTTACGTTAAACACTAAGTTGGACAATTCTTCTTTATTTCACGATATACTGCATTTATATACTATTCCTCAATAGTTCATGAGTCATAGTTAATACAATTAACATTAGAATCATTTACTGAATTAGATATTAATTTTAGCTACTGCTCTCTTAATGCAGACAACAGTATTTACGAACATAGACATGTAATAACTAATACAGAATAGTCAGATTACGATATGTCCTATCACGGAACATTTCCATGATAATTTACAGTCTATCATAAGTAAATTACAATCACAATGATTCGAACTGTAAGCAGATGATTTGCATTCCCTATTATAACTATTATAATTTCAGTATGTGTATAAGTGTCACTGTCATAAAAAGTCAGTGCTATATTAAAATACAGTATATCCAAATTAGAAGTTAACTAAATAAGGATAGTCTAACAGAATTATCCTAACAAAGTTATTTCTACTGTAATACAGTATTTAACACTGTAACAACGATACCTTACGATCGTTACTTGTAGTTGCTAGTAGCACTGCAAAAAAAATCGGTCTTCTGATTGTAAAGTTGTTACCAAATGATAATATATTGCTAAAACTGATCCTTTTTAACCCTAACCTGTCCAAATTCTACCGATATGTAGTGCAAATTAATGGTATTGCCGATTAAAGTTTGCGCATTAAACAGTAATATATTTACTGAGAACCAATTCCAGGTACTCTAGGATGACCTTAACTGCTGGATAGCAATTTTTCATAAATTTATATAGATAGATGTAATGATTGAATTGTAGTTTTATTGACTCATTATTCCTGATAATCTGCTACTACGTATATAAACGTTATTGATATTCATTTGTAAGCAAATAAAATTTAATTTTTTATATCTACGGTAGTTACAAACATTATTTATTAAAGCTTTAAATATGCTCCAATGATTACTAATATCGAGTAAACTGGAAATGCAATCTAATAGCCTTATTATGAACAATATAAAATACGTTTCATCGAATTGAAGTTGAGTTTAAGATGTGCACAGATATTATCAGTTAATTCATTAATAGAACGGAGACTTAAGAGATCTATCGCCCTAATAATGTAGTAAACCAACTGAATTCAGATGTAAAGCAAAATTTATCATCATGAAAAGTGCATATCGAGTAAAAATATATAACAATTAATAATTTTAATTATTTTTACCATACTGAAACAGAATAGGATGTAAAAGTTCATAGAGATGCCAATCAACAAACAAGATATTGACAATTACATTAATCTACTTGAAATGAATAATTCTATCTGCAGATAGAATTGATAGCATGCAAAAAAATAAAATTGCAAGGATTCAATTATATCTTAATTGAAAAATGTCATATTCATTAGCAGAATATTTTAACAGCTTCAAAGTAAACAAATAATAATTGAAGAAGAATGACTATTTCTGCCTATGGACAGCATTAAAATGAACTAAAAATTATAATGGAAAATTTGAACATTAACAAGTCGTAAATAGCATGCTATCTCGCCAAAAAGCATGCTGTAAGACGTGCATACTAGATTTAGCCATTGGCTTGGCATTAACAATAGGTGTTGATCGATCTCTTGGAAAGATGGTAGGTGCAAGAAAATGGATCTTTTGGATATTCATGCTTTCAATGTATGCTTGCAATGAACTGTAGAACATGCCTACTTCAGTTGGGCCGTAACTACCGTCAGAAAGAGTAACATGGCCACCTAATGCGATTATTCTCTGTGATTATAAAGCAAATAGTAATATAGTACGGTTAGTATTATTCGGTAAATTTGGAAAATTATGTATCTCAAGAAAATTACTTGCAAGGTAAAATAAAAATGAATAATTCTAAGCATCATAAGTCTGGAAAATCTTGATTACCCGTAAAATATGGCGCTGTGGATAAGGATCATCTAATTCGGTTGTTAGCGCTTTACTATTGATTTCAAATAATCCACCATATTCGGCAATGTATCTTATATTTCGATCGATTTTTTCCCAAATAACTTCTGTTAATTCAAAATTTTTCCTAAAGGTGTAAATTAGATCGAATTTTCCAACCACTTCTGGATGTGTTTTAGTGACTAATTCATATTGGCAATCGAAATATTCACAAAATAACTCTTCTGTATTGCCAACAGCTTCTTCGGCTTTCGTAAAACTATCGTTGTTTATATCGATCGGAATTCCACGAATATGACGAACCATTCCTACCACGTAATCAGGATTAAAATGCTGACGAGAGTCATTAATATCTTGGATAGAATCAGCTCCAAAGTAGAACGTTTCCATACCGACTAATAATTTAATATGCTCTTTGTAATGATGCTGCAAACGTCTAGCTTCTCTTATGTACTTTTCAAAATTTTCTTGGAGAAATTGGACCGTTTTCTTTGCCTAAGATGATTAAAAATTTTACAACATTGATTCATGATCAGGTTTATTTCTTCAATTTTAAAGAGAGAATTAATCTAAGCCAGTACGAATATGAACCAAAAACTATACTACACTGATTAATAATTAGTTAGACTGAATTATCTAAGCGTAATGGGATAATAGATCTTTCAGGCAGCATAAAAGCAATACAAAAATTTTTACAGCACTAATTTATGATCAGGTGTAATTTTAAAGTTTAAAAAGACAATAATTCATCTAAGACAACACGGAAATAACACTAATGTAAAATTAAATGAGTAGATAATATTTAATATTAATACGGAATGATTTTGCAGCTCTTGATATTGATGTGTAAGACTTAATTATGTGGAGTAGCATAGCCTGGATTATAGCTCTAAAAATAGCTGGTAAAGTTTGCGAACTACGCCAACTAGCTATTGATAGAAATATATAAGCAAAAATTATATAATAAAAATGCTCATTTATGAGTAAGCTACTTTTAGAGTAATTATCATGAAAAATAATATGTTTCAAATATTAGCTATAATTATTATACTAATTTTAAAATGAAGATTTTCTCCTTTAATCGCCAACTCTGCTTGGAGGTACAAGAATTGATGAAAGATCGATTACGCTATGTGCAGTTATAGCACGTTACTAATATCGAATTAAGCTCATAACCATATCAAAAAGAAGATGGCGCTTTTTTTAGGGGTATTACATAACTAGTCAATTGTGATGCTATAATCAATGACGAGTTAATTCTGGATTTTAAGTGCATTAACTTTTGAAATCGAAATTAAGTAGCGCAAATATTCAGAAATCAATAGTTCTCGCGAACAGTGTAACAACTAATAAAAGATACCTCTTGATCAAGATACAGTAGCATGCTAAATAGGGAAGAACTTAAGTAAAGCCTTGATTAAGTTAGTGTTAAAATATATGTTTTGTTTCAGTTTTATAATTTACATCTAATATTTTGGAGGTAACGTTGTTTGTACGAGAGCCATGTTGTAGCGATCTAAGCATATTAATATTGTAAAAATTCTTCAGAGTTAATTTACAGAAGGTGCTAGTTGGACACATTTTATCGTGTGTAGTTCAGTAGATTTACGTTACATTTGAAATTAGAGCAGATTAGTACATTTAGAAAATTCAGTAAAGCTAATCAGACTTTAAACATGTATTATAAGTAGAGTAGGCTATGATTAGCTCAAATAACCTGATTTATAATCTAAAAGCTATCCTTAAGGCGAGTAGCTTATTTTAATCGCAAACTGGGAGTTGATCAAAATCGATTATGGAATCAGGTCAAATTTATCGATAACTAATATGTCATTGCATGACAAAAAAACTAGTATAGTAGATTACAATGAAGTAAAAACCAAGGTCATTAAACTTTAAATTATATATCACAAGTTTGGTGGACTATTACCGGTTTAAGTGGTTTAATCTATCCTGTAAAGCTATATAATGACGAATAGCCTATTGTAATAATAAACTCATGATTAAAATTGATCGAGAGATCAAATGCAAACAGATCAATAACTTGTTACTGCTGAGGAAATATTACTATCGTAGATTGTAGCGCTTTAACTATCTTAATTTGTCATCTAGAGCTTAATTCACAAACAGATAGTATATTACAGTAGCAAATCAAAGATTTATAATGAAAATTAGATATCATTGAATGAATATTTAGACATTATATATGAGAAATTTAAATGATGATTTTACCTATCCCAAAAACTTATTTACCATCTAGAACCTACAGTAGCTTAAGAATCCAGTAATTCATTATAGCAATAATTCCGTGATGCTCAACTTAATCATGAAAAATATCTAATTTTATCATCTAAATCTTGACTCAAAGACAGGTAGCGCATTAGAGTAGCAAATACATGGCTTATCATGGGATTAGATGCCATTTGATGAATGATTAAACATACTATATTACATCATCAGAGAATATAAATGATGATTATACTCGTTTTATAAACTCATTTTACCATCTAGAGCCTGGTTTGCGAATGAATAACTCCAGGATGCTGCAGTTAGTCACTTTAAATATCATTCGCAGCTTAACTCAGAGATAAATAGCGTATTACCGTGACAATCTCAAGATTTATCATGATATTCAATACCATGGAACGAATAACTAGACACACTATATAGGATAAGAGAATTAAAATGGTGATTATATTCGTTCTAAAAAACTCATTTTATCATCTAAAGCCTAAATAAAGACTATCGTTATGAGTTTCAGCAATTACTCCAAGACATTAAAAGTTAATCATGAGACCAAAACTTGAATAATCAATACGATGTCTTATATGGTAGTATAAGGAAATATCAATTTGCACACAAGATCGATTAGTTTAACAGATAAACTACCAACTTCTACAGAATTCTTTCGATTGGCTACGTCGAGCTATGTATACGGGATTATAGATTGCTGGTACTCTGAACAAATGCTATTTTACAGTTTAATTTTTAGGACAATTAATTTATTCTTATGAATGTCACACTTAAGCGTATCCAGCGGCAACATTAAATGAAATATTTCATTGCTGGCTTGAATAATTATAGTTGTTACATTTAGATCACATACTATGGATTGGTGTTCTACTGCCACTAGTATCATGAATAATAAAGTGCCATATAAATCAAAGTTATCAAGATTAGTTTGATATAAATCCATGCAAATTGACGCCATTTAATGCAGACAAGGTCGTTCAAAAAAGTTTAAAAATCGAAATAATCTTACGATGAAAAACTCAATATTATTTTAGAGCAATGGCTATTTAACCTCGACTTCTTCTTTATATAACTGCTCTTCTTTATAGCGAGGCATCGATTCGCTCATGCCAAAGTAAGCATAACCAATTTCAATGGCACGCAAAACACATGATTCTAAATGGCCTTTACCAAATTGGCAAAATTGCCCACTATGACTGTTATAAGAGAATGGCATATCGTTTTTCTTCTCCTATCAAGTTGATAATGTGGTCTAATTTGTACAATAGGAGCTAATACCTGCAACAAATTAACGAATTTTTTCCCAAATCGAATGGAACTGAATGGTATAATGTTATAAGAATAGACTAAATATTGGGGGTTAATATCGCTCTCGTGATACTCCCTACTTTAATAGCCTTATAGAACTGGCTATTGTAGATGTAGCACTATATCATCCAAATTAAAGAATTTGTATGGCCTTCAGTTTGTTACTTAGCCCAATGGCCTATCATCATTGAATCCTCTATTTTAAATTGATGGTATAACGATCTAGCATATGTTCATGCCATATGGTCATGAATAGATCGAATTAAAGCAACACTTTACAGCTTAAGCTGTTCTACAATCCTCATCATATCTGAGACTTATCATATCAAAATCATTCATTCTAAGTGTAGTTGAAATCTTTCAAAGGTATGTACGAATCGAGCATATAGGATTAGGTAATTAATGTAATTTTCAACCTAGAATGCGTTATTAGCAGTAAGTAGATATCTTCTTTTCGGCTCAAAGATGGGCTATAGCACGGATATCAGTATACACTATTCCCGTAGAGCATAACTAACACCATTATAAAAGGTATAAAATTCATTATGGTGCTACTTCCTGGGAGTGAATGACCATTATAATATGATACATTACAGTTGATTTTCGTTTAAACTGCTATGAAGGTGTTGGCTCTATTGGACTTTATTTCATGTCGGTAGAGAATATGAACAATTCAACATCAACCCATGTCCAGTTTTCAAAATGAATTTTATAAGTTTAGCTCTAAGATTGACTAATTAATTATCTATCTATGAAAGAAACTTATAATTTGTCTCTTGTACCTGGAATGAGGAAGCAATCTACGACAATAAAGTTTTATTAGCAAAATCAACGATCTTGATATTATTATTTTGAGATATTTTATTGCATACTAGCCGAATCTGTACACCCAGATACAAAATAAATATATAGTATGCACACATTACAAAGTCAGATCCGAGGCTTATAACTTCTTATAAGCTGTCGATAAGCCTGTATCCGAAGAATTTAAAGGCGATATATCATACTTATTGCTCTGGATAGTCATTGTCAATATCATTCAGAGCTATGTATAAATTGAGCCAATTGGATTGGGTGATTAGGGTTATTATCTTTAATTTAAAATAGGCTATTAACAGTGAGTGGATATTTTCTTTTCGGCTCATAGATAGGCAGGCAGAGATATCACTATAATTATTACGGTAGAACATGATAAATACCATCATAAAAATATAAAATTCATCTTGACGCATCTTATTAGGAATAAACGGCGATTATAATGTGATAGATTGTAGTTGATTTCGTTTATACTCTGATGGAAATACTAGCTCTACTAGGGCTTTATTTTATATCGATAGAGAATATAGGGTGCATTATAATTCAATATCATCACATATCCTTTTTAAAGTGGATTTAAAAGTTGAATTGTAATATTGACTAATCATCTATTCATGAAAGATGCATACAATTTGTCTCTTGCATCTTGCATGAGGAAGCAGTCTGCGGCAATAAAGTTTTGCAAGAAGATCAGAGATCTTAATATCGTTTTCGAGATATTTTATTGCATGCAGAAAATAAAGATGATTTATCATATAAAATACTCTGCATAGTCATTGCAAATATTTCGCAAAGAGAAGCTGAAAAGTTAAGGATATTTTATTGTATGATTTATTTGGACTACAGAATGGCAATAAAAATGCCAAATTGATCAGAGTTATATTATATCGCTTAGACCATGCAAAGGATAATTTATTTTAATATTATTCTTACACATTATCTCTTAATCATTGGACTTGTGATACTTTCTTCATTATCCAAAAAACTAGGAAAATAATATATCTTGTAAAATAATATCCGCCTTAATCGTAATTTATTCTAAATCATTAGTATAAATATGCTTATAATTCTTTTATAAGTTAATCGTTTTAACCTATAAGGCTGAAGCGATAATCTTAGTAAAATGGAATCTGATATATCACGCCAAAATAAATTGCCATCAGTTCTGAACTCTACATAGAAATACGCTTAAGAGATTAATATAATTAATTAGGAAAATGAATTGCTAGTACTTAACTCTGCTAGTAAAATAATTTAGGATCATAAGAATGAATAAGAATGATGAATTGTGAAACAAAATTTACTATATAGTCTCAATCTAGCAAAAGTAGTTCTAATTGTCATAAGAATTCTTTAAATTATATAGTTTGTGGGAGTTTATATAAAGCTGAACATTTACAAATTATTGTCGTCGTACTCTCGACACAAGGCATTATAAGTGCTTTCAATGCTTCCATATACATAGTTTACTTTTCTAAGCTACAGAACTTCATAAAGCAGATTTAATTTATCAATCTTGGTTGATAAAAAATACCCAGCAAAATAAAGAAATGAATAATATAATAAATTAGTACCATTCTACAGTATTTCTAATTTATCATGATACGAAAGAAATTATTGCCTAACCTTAACTAAAGCTGTCAGCTAACCGATATGGTACAAAGTTTAAGTTGCCTATTCTATAAACCACTTGAATTTTTTACAACTAAATTTGCAAGCTTTCGAAAAATTAATCATATTATTGCAAGGCTGATTAATCATTAATTAATAAACAAATATGATCTGGAAGAAGTTACCGGTTTATATTATCGATTACAGCGTTGTGTAATTAAAATATGAGTATAGTTAATTATCTCTTATTGATGAACTATGAACCCTTTCCCGTTCATTGTCATTGCAATCAGATAAATTTTTAACGAGCGCAAGAATGCAATTACACTGACGTAATAGGGAATGATCAAGTTTAAATTTTTTGTCCGCTACATTATCAATTTAAAGCCACTTAATATATGATTAAACTACTAGTAAATGAGCTATCGGGTGCAATTTTCGAAGGGTAATATAAAGTTGATAATTCACTCATATATTTCTTAAAAGATATTTGCATACAGTTAAAGTTTCTATAGATTATCTAAGCTGATCATATAAATATTTAAATAAAGGTTTAGAAATACTAATTAATATTCTAAATCAAGAACTGACGTAAGGAGCTTACGCGAATGCACCAATTTAATGTAATTTTCAAATTATTGTATGATAGCCATCAATTTTTATTTACTACCGATAAATTAAGCTCGTAAACAAAAGGTTTAATATTTAAAATTGTAATTTGCTTGCTGTGATGTTTCGGAAAATTGAGAGTTCGGCATTAGTCGCAATAAAGTACAATAAAATAGTTAACGGAAGAGTAATCTTTATTGAGCTAGTGTAAGAGAATAATCGTGTAAGATTATCGTGCGAGTAACGACCTGACTAGTCGAATAATTACAGTAGTGTAGAATATGTAAAGCGAGCAAGCTTACCGTGTAACTACGAGAAATAACTAATGAGATAGGCGAAAGAAGATAGCTTTCATAATGTTAAGAGCACGGCAGGAGGAAATTACTTATAGACACGGATGATTCATAATAATAAGTTACATCTATGTAAGGATAATGCTACGGTATAATTTAGCTAGAGTCTAAGAGATTTCCACGGTGTAAATTGTTAAATATAAGTTAAGCATATTTAGAGTTGTGTTACAGTCTAGTGGAAATTAATGTTTCACTAAAAATGGTCTATACCGTATTTAGAAGTAAACACTACACTTGCGTTTTTACAGATGGCAGTCAAACTATTCTTAGAAATGTGGAAGCACAACTAAAGCAAAACACTTTCGGTACACTAAAGTCCACTCGTGTTTTTAAATATGTATTTACACTTTCGGTTAATGTAGATACATTATTCCTAATCTATAATCCACATCTATTATGACTAAAAAATCAAATTGTAGGGGCGTAAAATGATTATATGAGTATATTGTAAATATTATGCCTAATCGAAAATAAGAAAATGATATATTGCAAATATCCTTCTTAAAAAAACTTCCCGTGATAAATTTGAATGTAATTTAATCTCTCAATGCTTAAATGCAATGGAAAAGGTAATCTGTCAATCGTTAAGACCATACCCGGTCATTCCAGTTCCTAGTAGTTTATAAATAATGGCTAATCAATTTTTACGATATCAAATAGTTTTAATTGTTATGGCAGCGCGACTTCTAACATAGTTATAGAATGTGTATATGATAAATTAAAATTATCACCTTCGAAAGCATTTTAAAATGTTTCAATTCTTATAGTAAGAATAATAAAATAGCCACTACTAATTCTTGTGAAACGAATTATAAGCTTGCGAAGAACAAAACGTATAAAAATTAACCTGAAATGGTAATTATTGGGTCTAATAGAAGCAATCATTTAAGATGGGAAATTAGCTATCCTATATGTAACATAGAATAATCAACCTCAAGGAATTTGTGATAAATTAAGCTGCTGATATCAGCATGCGAAATAATAAAAAGTCTAATCGAGTTCTTAAAAGATAGGAAATGGGCTTTTGAAGATTTGACCTGTAAATTTAGCTTCTAAGAATTTGCAGAAAATTGAGTTTGCTAAAAGTTATACGCAAAGTACCCTGAGTTCATTTTTTATAGAGTTATTAAAGTAGGCAATCGATTATCTGTTCATATTTGAAAGAAATAGTGCAGTTTGCAAAATGACCGACTTCGCATACGATCACGTTCAATGACATAACTAACTCGCTTAAAAGGGTAAAACAATAAACCTTGTAAAATAGTTAGCATGATTTATTGATTATTTACCTATGAAATTTAATAATAATTGTAATAATTTGGTAGCAAATTTGACATTGTATGAAATATTGAGTAATGATTACACCTTGAGAAATACTTGAATTGTTTAACTTAATTTTCTAACGTAAGTGCTCGAATTTCTATCTGCATTCGATAAGCGAATAAAGTTAAGATCTTTAGTTAACCTAAAAATTTGCGATTAAAATCGTACAGTTTTCCAGCGTCCTTCTTTGTTGCAA